GCGCAAGAAGCATTCGCAAGAAGCATTCGCAAGAAGCATTCGCAAGAAGCATTCGCAAGAAGCATTCGCAAGAAGCATTCGCAAGAAGCATTCGCACGGCGTCAGAAGTTACGACAGCAACGGAATATCACGCAGAACTTACGAGAGACGTCATGATCGACCTGTTGTCTTATCGGTCGTCTTGATGCCTAGAAATGGAGTTTAGCATTATGAGGAGTTCAGGAACTGCGGTCCGTTTTGTTATTGGTGCATGAGAGCACGATTAGTTAGGGATAGAATGTATTGTTTTACATGATTTGACTGTTTCATGACGTGATATCTGACCTATGGCAGTATCTAAATTCTTCTCTATGGTCGTCTTAGAGGAAGAGGAGGCTAAAAATATGTTGAATTAGGTTAAGCTTGGCGAGGTACGCAGCTAGGTGGGTTAGGTTTCTTTAAAATGTATATTATAATGTTTGAAAGTTTATCCTCATGCAAGGTCCGATGCTCTTCCATGGCATTAGAAATGTGAGTCGCAAGTATCTCTCCTACCAAACCCTGGTCTCCCCACACAGACGCATTCAAACCATCCGTTTGCATGGCGACTCTCCATGAAACTGATTGGGCTGAACAAGTTGATCTGGCTGAACTAGGCTATTGGAGCCGCGATGCTTAGAGTACCCTAGCCCGCATCGCCATCCTTATTTCTGCATAGACTTCGAAATTACATATGAGGATAGATGAATTTTACTTGACTACGTAGTGTATATGAATCAGTTGAAAAGAGCGTCCTTCCCTAGCCCACTCTTATCCCAGGTCCTAGGTTTATGTACTCCGCTGTGTGACGCGATGGAAATCCATGGATGCCCCATGATTACATGTACGATGTAACCGGGCTCTCCAAGCTCTTCTCTTTCTGTCCCATCATATCAGTGACCCTGCCCCTTTGAGCTTCAACTTCAATCTCTGCAATTCTTCTACCTCGGTGTCACGGAAATTTGCGAGCATCTCCTATATCCTTTTTGCCTTGTGAATACCGACTTCTTGGGTTGCCGCCATTTTCTCTTGTCAATTCAATTCAAGTCGACTGGTAGCTAACATACTGTTACCTCTTCCATAATCCTTTCATTACTTGGAGGCCCTGTTTGAATTCTTACACGATAAATCTGTCTACCATCGAGATCAAAATCACAGCATTAAATTGGGGACCGAAGTTGTTCATAAAGGCGGCCACTTTCATCCATATCAGGAACAAAAATGTGTCCCCGGCACTGAAATATCAACATGATGAGGACACATCATCAACTTCATTGTCTAAGACATTCCATCCCGCGTTTGTTGTACTCATGAATCCATCGCTAAAAAACTCAACAAGCAAAGGATTGATAAGTCTCTTACACGCTGAACGTTACTTCTATTATAATTCTTGGGCTTTTTACTATTGATTATGTATTATATTGTTTTGATTCTCATTTTACTTAACCATGTGTGGTATCTTTCACTACCCCTTTTTAATAGCACTCAAGCTTTATTTGACATTCTGCTATACATGCTAATCTATAAAGCAAGCAGCTTATTAATGTAATTATGTTATTGAATCTAACAATTTCAAGCCTGACATCGTATAATCCGCTATTGTGATGACGCGATTTCTTAACCAATTATATATACAAGAAAAAGGGTCTTGCTGACCCCTGGAGATATGTCTCATGTTCGTCCAAATTGTCATAAAAATGTTTTCATTCCGTCATATATTCCAAAAGCATGTCACTATAATCATAACCCAGAGAGCTGACAGCGAGGCTCGAAGACCTGTCGAATCGTTAGCGTCACCATTCTCATCATCGGCGTCGCCAGTATTATCATTGTCATCATTACCTCCAGTATCTCCGCTGCCGCCACTCGATTCTCCCTGCTGGCCGACTTTGAAGCCATTTTCTTCTCCGCCGAGGTAGTACGATCCCAGCTCGCTAAGCCCGCCGTCACCCTGGAACAGAGCTACTCCATCACCAGTCCATTCGTTGGCTTCCTTGGGACGGAAAGCTCCGAACCAGGCATACCTCTCCACGTATTCCAGCTTGTCCAGATACGGAAGCGTCTGGTTCATCATGGCAAAAGTTGTGTCTTCGTCTTCTTGGGGCAGGGCGAGCTCTTTCACCCAGATCTTCAGGTCGCTTTCGAGGCCGCTGCCGCTTTGGTTGTACCACTCGGCTAATTGGTCCAACCAGGAAGACAGTCCTTCAAATGCGCCGTAAAAGTGCGCTGTTACGAAGTCCGCCGGACACCCGTGCTCCGAGTCGATATCCCAGCACGAAGAGTTAAAGTCGTTCAACCATTCCAGACCCCTGGGGGACCCGGTGACGCTCGGATGAGAGATCTGGAAGCGGTCCCGTAAGGGCACGATTCTTTCGATATAGGCCCTGGCTGCATCATCGGGACTAATGTCAGAACCGCCGGAATCTGTGGAGCCATCAGGCTCGTTAAAAGTGAACAGATGTTTCGAAGAGCTCGGTAATCGGTCCAACGCGTCGATGTTGTCTTCGAGGTTATCTGTGCTGGGCAGCGCTGGTACGAACTCGATGCGGGATTCAGCGTCATCGGGAAATATGTCCGAGGGGGCTGCGACAGGTGACCAAGTAAAGTACCAAGTGATTGGCGAGTTAGAGGAAAGTAGCAAGTCATAGTCGGCGGTGTGAGAGTCGGATCCGCCTATATATGCCATTCCTCTCTTCGGATTCGAATCGGACTGGGCCACTACACCGGTGGCTAAAACCCCGACGACCATGGCCACGCCTTTTGGCGAATTCCTCCTCATTTTGTTTGCGATCCGTCGGTGCAGTCTTTCACCTCACAATGGCGGGGCAGAAGCACAGATTAAGGTGGCGTCGCGAAGTGAAGACTTTTTGACCATGTAGCCTTGGCTAGTAATTAGAAAGGAGTCAAAGGACCATGCGGCATTCGGAAGAGTCCAGGCATTTTACTGTTATATGGAAGGCAGCCTCCTAAGCAAGAAGTTGGTCACATTCCTGCCGCTGACGTAGGTAGCGTGGCGACTCCCTCCCCTCTACCTAACAAGCCGACAAGCTGGGCTAAGGCCAGAAACCTGGTCGGGGGAAGACTATGATGACGGGCCAGGGGATCGTTTGATGGCCGCCAAGGGCACCTTTACATAGATGTGTAATCAATGGTCTCCTAGTTAGCGCATCTATCCGCGCCGTGACTGGCGGGCTTGCACCAACCATGCGATGACCGAGACTCTGACCGAGACATGTGTTGCGACCTGGGCCTGAATCCTCCACGAGAGCCGATCGCTATGATGTCATCAGCCCACCCAAGTCGCACATCCTGTTCTTGGCATAGAATAAAGGCTACACTACATCAGAACTACAATAAGAACACCACCACAAGGCTCTGTGTTTCTCAATAATGGGCGTTCTAAATTTACAGGGACATCCTTTGAGCGAATGATAATGCTAATGTATGATGGGAAACAATGCTGTCTGCGCATATCTTTGTGGTATTTCTTAGCGACAGACTGACAATGCATGGATAAGCTGCTATATAATGTGAGAGGTTGATGGTGCAACTTGCAAGTAACAGAACAGACTCAGACCACGCAGAATACATACACCAATTCTTTCAAGATACCACTTATCCTTTATTCAGCAGGTACCACTGGAATTTGAACATCATGGAGAACTTCCCAAAGCACATTGACCAAGCTCTGCCCGTATTAGGTAAGGTTTCTACACAACCACGCGCAAGGGACAACGTTAAACGCGCAACACACCTTTCGCTTCCGAAATTAATCACCCAGACACGCAAGGGAACTGAGCCGGTACGGATCCCCACTCCCCAGGTTTCTCATTTCATGAATGTAATGGCACTGTATCCTCCCGAGCCAGCCGCTTCTCTGCCACTCATAATCTCCCCAACTTCGCCCACTTCCAAGTCTTTCATCAAGGCTTGTGGGGAGGTTGTTCCCGATCCGTATTTAACGGATATACCAACTCCTATAACGATACAATTCACCGAGGCTGAAGCAGAGGAGCTAGAGCAATGGAGAGAAATAGTAGGGGGTATGCGTGATGCTCATTCAGAGGCTTTAGATCAGTTCATGGACAACCCATACGACACCGAGATTAGAAAAAGGGTGAGAAAACTTCGTACTGAACGTGAACAGAAAGCTGTTGCTATGGCACAGATTCATGAGCGTCGCCAAATTCGAAAAGCTTTCAGAAAGGATTTCAATGACTTCCTGCCAGGCTGGTAAGATGATAGCTGGTAAGCTAGGATGCAATTCATTCCTTTAGACGTAAGAAGTATTTTATTTTCTCATTTTCTTTTCTCTTCCCTTTCTTACAAAGAATTCTAGAAAGCTGAAGTAGGACAATGGCAATTAGAAACGCAGAATAGAGCATATGAAGCAAAAGACTTGTTGGGTGGCTGTTGAGATAATTATCCATGATACTTTCATATTAGTGTTCACTCAAATCTTCGCTATTCAAATTGCTACTCAAGAATAGATAGATCTCGCTACCCCACGCATCTTAATATGCGGCTAGTTAACCTCAATGTTTGTTATTGTAAGACGGCTCTGAATTAAAAGACGAAAACGAGGAAAACCTTGAAGATGCATTTCAATCGATGGTGTAGCAGTCGATTACTCGCTCAAGCCAACTAGCTTCAAGCTCACCTCCCAGAGCCTCTTTTCAGTTGGGGGGTCGAAAGCTTGCGGAGCGTAGCCACCGTGATAGTAAGGAGCATCTTCCGGGGTAAGCCATCCTTCAGCACACTCGTCAAGGTAAACCCCTCCCTTGCCCTCCCATTCCTTCGCCACAGCAGCCCAAACTGTAGTGGCCGCGCCCTGACTCGGATTCTTCAAAGTGGCAGACAATTCTTTGTCGGCATGAATATAATCCGTGGACGGCAAGTGTCGCAAGAGAGGCGTAAGAATACCGCCAGGGTTTAGGCTTAGTCCTCGCAAATTCTGCTCCTTGTATCGGCGGTCGAGCTCATTGGAGAACAGAACGTTAGCCAACTTCGATTGGCGATAGGGGACGATCGGGTTATACTCGGTGTGTTCCAAGTTGAGATCATCGAAGTTGATTTCCCCATTGCGATGTGCTCCAGACGCTACAGAGACAACTCTGGAATTGAAGGAAGGGGTTGCCGACGCCAATAAAGCATCCTTAAGAAGGTTGAAGAGAAGGAAATGGGCTAATTAAATGTTAGTTCTCTTAAACAGCACAGCATACCTGCGACTCCGTTTCCATACCTAAGTGATTTATGCCGAACTGCGTTTCGAACCCATCCTTAGTCTTCCCTTGTGGGCAAGCCATGACTCCTTGAAAAGGTTAGCATGGCCAACGATAACCTAGACCACCCGATGCTCACTCAAACTTACCCGCATTATTGATGAGAATATTGAGTTTGTTGCCGCTTTTCTGAAGGAATTCTTTAACCGCAGCTCGAACGCTGTCTAAAGAGCTCAAATCCATCTGAATAACTTCCACTTTCCCAGGCTTTCCATCAGCTAAGAGGTCGTCGGAAACCTGCTTCCCTTTGGATAATTCACGAGATGTGATATAAATGTCCGCTCCAGTGAGGCGAATAGCCCTAGCTGTCTCGGGCCCTATACCACCTGGTGAACAGCCAGTAATAAGGACGACTCGCCCACTCCTGATTACATGTTGCAGTCAGTAATGAATAGACATAGTAAGAATTCATCAGAAAATGGGGACCATGCATGAGCAATGTGCCTGAAAGCTGCCTATGAGGAAAACTCGTGAGACCATAGGACTGACCATGTGGGATCTGCGACAAGACCCTGATCTTCGATGATTTGAACAGCTGTAGGGCGAGAATCTCCTGGGCCCTTGAGGTTTTCGAGCTTGTGCTGTTCAGCGTAGGGAGCTATACGCGCCATGGCTGTCGATTATGAAACGAGAAGTTAAATTTGGGGATATCAGGAACGAGCGTTTACGAAGCTTATCGGACGGATGTAATCTGAAATGGTGCAAGAGCTATATGTGTGAAAGAACCCCCAGATTAGAATGAGACCGTTGAACACAATGTGGAAGGCTTGTTGTTACCTCAAAGGATAATCCAGGCTAAATAGGACAACGAGGACTCCTGAACTTGAATTTAATCTAACTAATTGATGAAGGACGCAGGATGTTATATATTAGTAGTTTCATGGCTTGAACCCTTGGGGATTGGCATCTAACCTACCGAGGCTTTGTGGCGGAGTGGAATGGCAATTTACCATAACATCTTGAACACACATGGAAATACTACGCTGTATTCAAACTATTAGAGGCTATAATTATTCGATTAGGTAGTATATGAGCATGTTGCTGAATGAAAACTAACAACTCCGGAGTCTTATATATCGCGCGCTTATTAATCCGGACTTTGTGTTCTTCTGATTGATGTAGAGGAACCAGGAGTTCCGAGGAATTGGCATAAGACACTAAGTCAAGGGCCTACTCGTTAAGTGAGTCGCACATAACTTTGCTCATAAAGTTGGTTAGAGAATATAAAAAGGAATACATGTCAGTTGGTTAGCAAGTAACTCAACCTTTCGGGCTTTACAATCTTAATATTACTCTTATGGATAGGGGATGTGTCAAACAAGGGCGGGGCTCACCTAGGATGACCGCATCCGTCCGACTACATATAACCCAACTAGCGCGGAACATAAAATTTCTGACGGTCAACGAGAAGACAAATTTCAAGGAGCCTCCCTTCATTTATCCTTTACCAAGTGCCGCTTGACTGGGAGAACATAGGGGAAATGTATCAAGAAGTCTTCCTTCTTGAGTCCGTCCTTTCGGTAATGCACAATGGCAAGTAGGTAAGCGATATTGACGTACTTGGGCTTGAGAAAGCCCGTTGGATGTCTTCGAGACCGATTGCAAGGGATATGGTCTGACTGATGATAACGAGGGAATGTCTTTATTGAAAGAAATCATCCTAGACGGCTGGGAAGAGCTATTGGACCCCCGCCATTGGTTGGAATCTTCCGAGCAAGGTCGAATTGGATCCCAAGGCACCCAATTTCATCAATCCTTGTTCAAAAAGGAAATGAGAACTACGCTATTATAATCGGAGGCACCGAATTGTACTGGCGGTGCTATTATCAACAATATACATATCCTGAACTACACATCCCTCGAATGATCATAGATTAAGTGTGTTCGTTCATAAAACGACAAGTTATATGAACGAAGAGCGCTTCTAGCAATACAGATAGATCCAGAGAATGTATGCAAATGGCCCAGTTCGACACCCGAGTGAAGACAAAAACAAAAGCAAAAAAAACTTAACCTTGAAGACAAAGGACTAGGTGAACTGAACGAGATACGCCTATGAAGTTTGATAACGTTGATATCAACAACATCCACAATTTAGTCTCTTGCAAATCTGGCATCTAGAAGTTTACATGGGCTGTGGCGCTAAGACTATTGCCTTAGAATTTATATATTTCATACATAGATCTTAGTCTCCAGGTGGATAGGAGGTCCTCGCCTCATCTCGCCCAAGATAGCCATGATGGTCCTTAATACGACTGACGTGGAGCAAGCTTCATCTACTTCCTATGTGAATAAGTCATTTCTTTCAAAACACTGCTGCTTTATTTGCTCTTTCGAAAGTCCAATTGGCATATGGAGCACTTTTCTCAGATAAACAGTGCCGTGTTATGTTTGATTTTGACTATGATAAAGACTTCAAATCTGGATATCCCGAAATAAAAGCCAAGAACAAGGTTCATTTCGGGAAACAAAGAAAAATTGGGACACGAACAATCCACTATTCCGAACAATTGCCTTGTTTATGTCGGACCTTTGTAACGCATACTAGGATGTTGGGAAGGATATATAAGCTAGTAAACACCTCATTTCCAGGCGTTCTCCTTTTGTCGCTTGCACAGCTCATAAATCATGCAACCGCTCCAACGGCTAAAGTAAGTGCAACGCAACATCCATCGACTTGACTTCCATATTATAGTAACACGATACTAACAGGCCTTTCAAGATGTCGGGCAGACAAGTCTACACCGAGACATCGTACTCGTCCTCCCACGTGAGCATCCCCGAACGTGACTCAAGCTATAACGCACTAACGGGATATCAGCCAAGCCAGAGCCAAACCAGCATTGAGCAGATGAGTATTACAGAGCTCTTCTGTGACCAGGGAGACTCTGAAGGTGAGGAGACATGGTCATGTTTCGAGGAGTATATCGATACTAAGCTCAAAATTCAGGGGTCTAAAGCCTGCGCCCCGTGGGCTAGGCCAGAAGACTTTATCCCGGGACGGCGAATGTTCACACCGCCAGTCAAACCGCGACCACATCTTGGCAAGTTCCGACGCCATGGCTTATTTGGGGTTGATGAAGTAGCTTTTCATAGGCCGCCATTGAAGACCAGACTCCCCTCACCACTTGCTAGGCCCCCTTTGGTAAATCATTTCGAGTATACACGGTCTCAACTACAGCTAAGCTTTGAGCGACTTCAACAACTTCCCAATCTCAGCTTGACCTCTTTAAACCTCGACTGGGACGCAAGCTCATTGGAGTCAATTCATACCCCCCGAGAGGAGATAATCGAGGAGACGACCGATGTCCGAAGTGGCCGGGGCCTGACTCCCCCAGAGACAACTGAAAGCCCGAAAAGGGGCGTAGTCAAAGTGCTGGCGGGTTTAAAGAAGCTGTTTCTCAAGAAGGTTAAGAAAAGCACATAACCACTAGAATGCATTGCATTGACTCTGTTGGGGGCAATACAGCGAGTGCGGTCACGGCCAAAAGAAACAAAAAAAAAAAAAAAGAAGGGTGGGCGTTAGGACAACTTAAAAGTTAAAGCAGATGTTTATTCGTTTGTTGTTTCCATATTTCGCTGTCTTTACGAATTCCTTTTTATGGGTGACATTTTATTACCAGGCTAATGATCTTTTAACAGAGCATGATTTGAACTGAGATGTGTTCATGTAATTGCACATTTATAAAGCTACCCTTGGACTCGAGTATAAACCAGACTGATCCAAGCCGCCGAGGTCTCTTTAGAAGTTCCAAGTTGTTGGGTCTATACACATCCTAGTATCTATTCAAATTTAGAATTTCAGGTTTCACATTTCACAAGAGCTAAAAAGGATCGTCGAAAGCTATCTTAAGTGAAGTTGCAATAAGGCAAGAGCCCAATACCGGGCTGTTAGGTAGGTGCGTAAACTGTTATAAATCAATATAGAAATCAGTTATAAGTCAACGACTATTCATCGGTGCATCAATTTTACTCAACTTAAATATTATATCAATAGAGATCTACATATGTTAGAGCTGGTGTGTGCACGATGTTCTCAGCTAATTATATAATTTAAAAACACCAGAATTTGTATCAACTATAGGGCGAAAGGAAGGTTTCGTGGTGTAGTTGGTTATCACGTCAGTCTAACACACTGAAGGTCTCCGGTTCAAGTCCGGGCGAAATCATGACTTTATTTTTTTGCTTTTCCACTATTTCATTTTGGCTTTTTCTATTTTGTTTTTTTCCTCTTGTGAGAATTATAAGCATGGGGTTATTATACAACGATTGTTGTTGTTGTTGCATGAATATTTGAAACCTTCATGGCTGGGTAGGGCTATATACAACAAGTCTTTTTGCCTGTAGCCTTAATGATAAACCATCCATCTCTAGAAATAGTAGGATGCATTGATTAGAGCTCTCTGTTACAACTCTGCAAATGAAATCCTACTTTGGCCTCAATAGATCATCATTCCTGGTTAATAAGCTAGATTATGTCAAGCTATCATTGTTTATGGAGCCTGGTCCTCGATAGTCATAGGAATCTATACCAAACAGACTTGCTATATATTTCCCACCTCTAAGGCACGAAAGACCTGTAGAAGGCTTGTTGTATGACACATGTAATACGTGGTGTCGCCCGTGATATGATGTTCAAAATGACAAGAGATGATGAGTTGTTATAGGACGGCGATCGAGCGCTTGCTTGTGAGATAGCACCAATCTGCATAAGTAGCTCGTAATAGGTAGTTACGATACCGAAAGTTGGAAGAATCGTCAGACTGTTTTGAGGATACCAAGCGTTAGAACAGCTTGGTATACGAGTCTGTAACCATGTGCGACGGGCATTGTCATAATGAGGCTGCTCCGCGAGCAGAGGACTCACGGTAATAGCCGAAACCAACAGAGGTAAGAAAGACTATCACAAAATTAGTAGCATCTATATGTATGTACTTGACTTAAATGAGGCCTGGTGCGCACCAAATGAAAAGTAAAGCCGAAATTATGCGGATCGTGGCTAATTATTGTGTTTAAACTTAGTAGACTAACTTACCTGTCATACCTCAAGCGTTTTATGACTTAAGACCAGCTACTCGCTTGATATCTAGACACCCGTTGATCGTCTGACGGGTTCACCGTAGAGATTCTAGCAAGGGAGATGGCAGATGGGCGAGTCATATTGGTACAGAGCCGATCCCATGGCATAGTGATCGACTATCATTAAAACCCCCAGTGCACCCACGGTAGATATATGTATATGTTCATGCAATCTATCATCATGCACATCCATCCTCGACACGAGAGTTTCGACTGCATAACTCAGAGCCAGAATCCAACTTCCGACTAATCATGCGCGTCATTCCGCATGCATCATGCAAATCAAGACGGGATGGATTAATCGCCTAATCTACGCACGGCAGTGTTCACTATAAAACGGGCGATCGGCGGCGGTAGGGAAGACGAGTCGGTCCCCCACGCGACGACTTACATTGATATGCGAACGACGACGAGGCCAGCAAGTACCCAAACCAGAAAGAACCTAGCCGTAGGTATTGTACTTAATGGACTCGCCTACACCTGTCGATCAGTTCAGCCGATATTAGCGACGATAGCACAGATGACGTTGCCCCTTTGTAATTTATCCGAAATGAGCTTCGTTCTTCTCGTGAGCATTTGCTTGAAAATTTCTCAGAAACAGCAATCAAACACGGGCGGGAGATGAATGTTTTAGGAAGATCTCTCAAATTTCCCTTCACATCGTCGCCAATCTAAGAGCACTCCCTTTTGTTTCCCTTGATTAATGGGAATCATGTTTTTCTTCTCGAAATTTAAGGGAGGCGGGCTTGAGTGAGAAAGCTATGTGCTCTCTCGACTTCAGGGTGCTAATAAGACATTGATTAGGCCATGTTGCACTGAATAAGGATTTGCCTAATCTGATAAATGAGATCAAAAATGCATACCGAAGACTTCCATTAGTTGTGTCAATGCTAGCTTAGGTTGGTTTATTCCGACAAAGAACGTTATTTTTGGCTTAGATATCTTAACAAGACTGCTAGACTACGTCCTACATATCGAAATCAAGTCGCCGAAGAAGTAACCAGTCAGCCCCTCGATGTTCTAGGCTAAGCTATGGCATGATATACTTTATGGACTAGATCTCTAGTGCTGTCAGCTCCATTCAGCCCGACAGCAACAATACGTATGTCTTCCTCTTGTGGCGTGAACTGCAATGCAATGGTCTATGTATCTTGAGAACTAGGCGGGAGACTGAGTCAGATTAGTGTCAGACATGTCTAGATTGCAGAGCTGTTCCTCGTGCTATGTTGCACGGCGAGGCGTTGTGTGAGACCTGATCACTACTGTGATAGGAACCCTTTGTTGCATGTAGCCATGTGAGTGGCGGCGCTATTCTACAGTGGTAAGCGGAAGCAGGTTGCTGACGCTTGCATCGCAGGTTCTGGTCAGCGACATGCCGCTATGTGGATAGCGAAATCCAGACTGCTGGGCCCCGATTCGGCTGACTCGCGAGTCGGAACGTCGCCTGGTCGGCTCTTGGCAGCGCATCGAGTGATATACCACCCCCCACATCTAGAAGGGCAAGGTACGACGAATGATGATGGCCACACAGATTACTAATAAAGATGCCCCTATACCAAAGACCATAACAGATAACAAAGAGTGTTGAGTTGAACATGAAGGTGTACGATGAGCTAACCGAGATTGATGTTCGCACCTTTGTTTAACATAAGTGTGCGATTTTTTTCCAAACAACTATTGACTGGACATCCCGAGGGCACAATTAGTGCTTTCTGCCCTTGAGGTGGTTAGCGAAGTGCCATGATTGACTTTCCTAGTAGGTCATCAATCCACGTGCTCTTGGAGTTTATAGGTAGTAGCAAGTATTCTGTGATCGTAGCGGGCAATGCATATGAACTCGCTAAGCGACCAGCAGAAGTGATAAAATGAAACCTCGTTTGGAATGGGTTAACGCGAGTTCCCCCACGTGCGAAAGGCGCTGCTACCTAGTGCGCAACAAAGATATCTTGATAACGTGCCCTGGCCGTACTTTAATGGGTCCGCCGAATGCTACTCCATATCCGGTACGATAACCCGGCTGGATGTGTTGACAAGAGCTGGTAGCGAAAGCAGAAACTTGGCTGTGGGCCACAAGCATAGGAGCGATAAACTAGATCAACGCAATTACTGCTATAACTAGGCATATCTGGTTTTCAATATCGAAGTCAACCCTGTGATAAGAAATGTCAAAGAAGACGTAAATGTAAAGTTGACGGGAAATGGAACGGTCATGCTGTCCGTCTGTGTTACGTCTTTGGCTTGGTCTGTACTAGCTAGCAAGTAGCTGTGGCTCGTGTGTTAAGACGCCTTGTCTAGAGATTCTTGGTCGTATAGATGTACTATAGCCGGCGACAGCACTAACCGTGGCGTATCGAATGGAATGTCCGGATCTGGCGTGTCAAAGTTCTAATACCCCCTGCTAGGCGGTCGAGGGCTGCCCCTTTAGATTCTCCGGACTGCAATGTCGGTCTCCGGGTCCTAGCTAGAATATAAGACTAGATCGACTTATCTGATAGAACCTGCCTGTAGTATGGATGCCATCCCAAAGTTTGACATCTGCCGGATCATGGACTAGTCCGGGTATCTTCAGCTGAGCTGCAGAAAGAGCGAATATATGGCTAATAAAGCCGAAGAGGAGGTCACGAGATGCGCCATTGCAAAGGTTGAAACAAAACAGTTGTGAATGAACGGGCTGTTCCCGTAGCGGAGGGTAAGGGAACTTTTGCGACACATCATTTGATGGCGGCTCGGAATTGGCGCAGCCAAAGAGACGGACTACCGGTATCGTCTCCCAGCGCAGAGCAAATACGACTGACTGGCAAAAGTAGACCAGATTCGGCAGGTTGCCATTCCAAACCCACGATCTAGGTAATTCCTTGCTAGTCCGATTCGCGCTGACGGCATCCGTGTGACGGATGGGCTGTTGTAGACTTGTGTCGAGTGCCGAGTACGGTTCGGCCCCAAGAGTCGCGATTCGCGGTTCGGCGCAGATGGATGTGAAGAGGCAGTCGACTCCTCTGCCATGCAGCATGGCGGTCTATGTCAAACATGCCGCACTAGAGAGTCGACGAGAACAGCGCCTTTCTTCCTATTCGGGACACCAGGGAGGGCTGGAGAGATTGCAGGGTCATCCAAACTGAGTCAACGTTGCAGCTCGGGTTTGAGTCGACGGTATAATGTGCAGGGTCGTATTTTGCCCGCGCTCTGGTGGTGGCCATTTCGCAGACTTGCGGATCCACTCCCACATGATTTACCCCTGGTTTTACCCCTGTCACATATCCAGGGCAGTCCAGGGCCTCTCTGGGGTGTCTCTGCCCCCCCTTTCCCGTTCCTGAAATTTAGCAGACAATTAATTATCCACTAAACAGACACTAAACTATGTATCACTGTACTAAAGAGATGCTAAGTGCAGACTCTGTGCAGACTATAAAGTAAGTGCGCACCACGCTCAGTGCGCTTAAGTATGTAGCCATTCTGCGCTAATCTTGATACGGCCACGACTGGGCCAGATCTCACGAAGTGCTGCCCGATCGAGTCTAGGCTCATGTCGACTCACAATGCCGCTATCCGAACTACTGGTAGTGCGAGACTCACGACGGCAGTTCGTAATATCGATAGAGGGATACGAGGGGAGGAAAAGGAAAAGGATAATAGAGAGTTCCTTAAGGGAATATTGGGAATATTTCGTGAAACATGTAGTACTACCTAGGTACGATAGCAGGTGATACAGAGCACCGCCATACTTAAGTGATGCATTCTAGTCTTTAGTTACCTGGTAAACCTCTTCTACGGTATTGGATGTTGCGCAAACCGGGTCTACATAGTACCGGCAAGCAGCTGCCGAAGATTTGGATTCTATGGATTCTACTATGTACGCAATGTCAATGATACAACTTCTGACATTACTTCGTAGTCCAATCGCAATCGCAAGGACTGGTTGCGGGCAGAGTTATGGGGATCGATCGCTCACTTACTTACTCACTTACTTACCTTCGATCTACGTACTATGTAGTAAACCCCGCCTACTAAGGATAGGACTCGTAGATCAACCCCCTTTCTGCACGATTGTCTGATGATATGGATGATATGATATGAGCGACACTGGGAACTCAGTGATGAGCCGTGGCGCAATCATCGGTCGCAAATCATAATTTATGCGCAGAAAACAGTTACATAGTACACATGTGGATAAACGTGAATGTATCAACGTGGTACAATTTCGCTCAGCGATCAATACTTTCGACACCATTGTAAGACCATGTCAACTGGTATCACTAGAGTAAGCTCAAGTACCGGCAGTAGCTTCAACGTTCAACGAACGGACGGCGTTCTGAAGGATTGACTAGATCAAATATATGGTATTTTGCCCAGTATCGACATGAGATAGTCTGGGGATTGCCCATGTATGTACATGAGTTATACCGACGGTTATTTATATCAACGATCAACATCATTGTCATCATTGGCGGCGGGTCATGGTTTCAGAATGTTCCGCCTCCAGCTTCTGTTGAGACTACGTAATCTACGTCCTACCTATGTTGGTAGGTTAGTGCAAACGTGAAATGAGAAGGATCCCGTTTGATTCAGTCATAGGATAAGAAGAAACAAGAAAACAAAAAAAATTAGATCCAGCAATGTCATACTTACCGTCTGATACAGTTGAAGCGGGTAGGTAGAATGAATTGATCTGGTATAATTAGCTGCCTTGTCCATCACATTGATACAAAATCCCATGAAACATGAGGCGAATATTTAACCCCAAAGCAATCAAACCCGCTACTTACCTCATACGAAAGGGACTAACTTTATTTGGTAGATACCTGACTGAGTTGAAGGCAATGAAAGGTTTTGACAACTTGAAGGTGGCATGTTACAGGAGCTTGGAATGCTTCGACTTTGTTCCATGTGTTCTTTACCCAGGGACCTGCTCCCTTACCTAGGTACATCTGCTTAGTACATGGAACCTTACTGTAGTTATGACTGTAGTTATGGCTTGACTGGAATTCCAAGAGAATTGATTCTGCACTTGGCATGAGCGGGACGCTACCCAGGGACCAAGATACGCTATGCTTGAGAGTGGCAGGTAGCATGAATTGGAGGAACCAGTAGGACGCTACGGAAGTTGCAGTGTAAGTATGTTGATGATGACGACGATGTTGTTGTTATTGCTAAGCCTCTGTGATGCTCAGGATTTGTATGCACGTCCATGACCCATCTGTGAGGGATGCAGCTGTGTGAAGAGACGAGGCACCGTCTGTTGACATCATCCGTCTGGCCGGCTGCCCTCAGCCAGCGGATTCCATTCTTCTCGATGACTCCGAAACGAGATGGCTTGCACCTCATCGTCCCATTGACCCGTCGACCTGTCTACCTTGTCCCATTGACCTGCTCTGCGCCCGATCCATACCCGGTTTCTTGCCCTCTTGATCCATTCAGCCCCAGTCTATTCGAGCCGGAATGTAACCCGATCCCAATAAACATACTTCATTGCTGCTGCATGCAGTTGAGTCCTCTTCGAGAATATATTGACTTAGTAAGTGCACACGCAGAACAGCGTTCCCAGGATTGTGGAGCGGTGTTTAAGCAGAGACACTCGCGGCAGCATGTAGGTAGTATTCGCACTAGTGATATATATTATACTGTGTATAGAGTAAATCAACAGCTTATTATTCAGGGCGTTGGTTAATATATCTGTTAATATGCTGCATTATCTAGACAGACCAGTCGAATTGCTACTATCAACCTCCTTTACCTCGAATGCTGTGTAGAATTCTGTGTCTTCATCCACAGGAACAAATGACTGCCTACCTAGGTAAGTACCTACCTACGTCGTGGGTGCTTAATTCCTGGTAGGTGCCCAGCTAACTGGAAAGCTGAGATCTACCTAGTAGGCAGGTATGGTACCTATTGTTAAGAGCAATTGCAACACCTGCCTACCTAGTAGGTACTAGAGAGCTGAATTTAGCCCCCATATAGCAAACCTAGAATATCTACTTGCATATAATTAGGGGGAAAAGCCACTGAAAACATGCTGTATGTTGGAATTAGTGCTTTATTGATTACTTACCACCTGCCTACGTAGCTATTTACCTAGGTAGGTATTTTCAACGAGATAGTAGGCGCTGTAGACACTGCTAGGTACAGTATAGCGCCAAACTCCAGCGTACCTATGCTACCTGTAGATGTCTACACCAAGTAGCTGTACCTACCTAAACCCGCCTAGTAGCTTACCTACTTACCTAGGTAGGCATTGCGCCGGACTCTCTCCCTCTCCTCCCCTCCCCTCCCTCTCTCTCTCTCTCTGTATCTCTCATTTTCGGGTGTCAGTCTCTCTTTTGGCCTGTCCCACATCTCATCCCCATGCCGTGCCCTTGAACCCTGTCGATTCTACCCGTCGTGTTTCTCTCTTGTTCTTGTCCTCCCTTTCCCCGTTTTAGTCCCTCCATCTAAATTCTACCCTTTGGAACTCAATTTGTGCGACATTTCACCGCCCGCGAGAGCGAGACGTGCGTCTTGTGTCTCGACGGAGAAACGAATTCGACGACAACATCGACAAAACATTTCACTACAGACGAAAGAATCCCACCCGCCTGCATTCTCAGCCGGCGCCCGCACACGCTCGCTCTTCACAATATAACCCCTCTTCCAACGGCCACATCGAATCGACCCAGACCGACGACTGGAACACGAACCCCATCCTCTCATCCACCCACCGAACCATCCATCTATCAATGCCGAGTCGTGCGCCTCATCAATCCAATTGTACACTCGCCATTGTCGTTATCCTTTAATCTGTTATTGGCGCCACAGCAACGCCTCTGCCCGCTAACTGATGACTTTGATAGCGTAGCGAAGCCCTTTTTGCTAGACATATATGCTCTTGGTCCTCTTCGCCGTGTCTGCTTTTGTTGCCTTGAACTATATACCCGTCAGTCATCCTCCAACCAACCGCCGACTTCGAATCTAGAAGATTTCAAGTAATTCAAACCCACGGCATCCAGCCCATCGTCTTATAATCTATCCCAATTTTTCCACGTCCTCGTCGTGGCGCTCGCTGGCTCGTGCCGACCTCGACCCCCGGAACCTAAAATACCACTCGTTCGTAACAGTAAAGCGCGCTTCTACTGTACATGCACCTGGATCTTGCTTGTCACCCTCATACCAGAACATCTAAGGACATTTTCGCTTTATTCTCCGAGAAACAGCGATTCATTACGTACTATCCCCTCTAGTCTCATTGAAGCCCATAAGCACATTGTTGTATACGATCTCACATACGATCCTACTTTTGGTCGCGATTTGAAGTTTATAATCTAGAGCAACCGGTAGTGTCGAGATTCGGTGGTAGCCTAGATTGCTCTGCCAAACATGTCAGTCATGCTACAAACACCGTCGAGGGCCTCTACGGCCTCATCTTCATCATTCCAGCCCATATCGCGCCAGAACACCATGTCCTCATACGACGGGACACGATCAGCGCGGCAGAGTAAGAGGTATTCTATGTCCGCGCTGTATATGTCCATGTCCGCAAATGAAACTGAGCTCGAGATCGATGATGAACTGGCCAAAGGTGAGTGTGCGAATCGTGAATTGCTAGTCGCTTACTAACAATAGAATAGCGCAGAAAATACTTCGAGACTTGAAGTCAAAGATCTCTTCGCAATCTAAGAAAAACTTTGTCCTTGAAAAAGATGTACGGTACTTGGACTCTCGTATTGCGCTGCTAATTCAAAATCGTATGGCCTTAGAAGAGGTAAGTAAACATGATGTTTTTGATGCTCTGGCACGCATTGATCGTTATGTAGCAAAACGAAGTGGCTAGCCATCTTGAGGATGCTCTTGAGCTAGAGGAGGGCGCGTTTCCCAATGACGAGAAGACTCAAAAATACGGCAATCTTATGTTCTTGCTGCAAACCGAACCAAAACACATCGCACATCTCTGCAGGCTTGTATCAATGGCGGAAATTGATTCTCTACTTCAAACTGTCATGTTCACAGTTTATGGTAATCAATATGAAAGCCGTGAAGAGCACTTGCTTTTGACGATGTTTCAGGCAAGCCCTACCTATCCCCATGCTTCTAGATTGCCATTCTAACACGATGTTCCTAGTCTGTGTTGACATATCAGTTCGATACCACTCCCGAATATTCATCCCTTCTCCGTGCCAACACACCCGTTTCTCGAATGATGACTACATACACTAGGCGTGGACCCGGCCAGAGTTTCCTGCGAACGGTATTAGCTGAGAGGATCAATAACCTCATTGAACTACAGGATCTAGATTTAGAGATCAACCCTCTCAAGGTGTACGAACGCATGTGCCAACAGATTGAGGAGGACACTGGGAGCCTACCGGCATCCCTGCCTAAAGGCATTACTGGAGAGCAAGCGGCTGATAACCCCCAAGTGCAGGCTATCATCGAGCCGCGGTTGACAATGCTAATAGATATTGCGAATGGCTTCCTGGCAACGATTATCGACGGACTTGATGAAGCGCCATATGGTATTCGTTGGATCTGCAAACAAATCCGAAGTTTGACTAAGCGCAAATACCCGGAAGCGAATGATCAGGTGATTTGTACTTTGATAGGAGGCTTTTTCTTCCTACGGTTCATCAACCCTGCTGTTGTTACGCCCAAATCATATATGCTGATTGATGGAATGCCTGCTGAACGGCCACGGCGGACGCTGACTCTAATCGCCAAAATGCTACAGAATCTTGCCAACAAACCTTCATACGCCAAGGAACCTTACATGGCCAAGCTATCCCCCTTCATCCAGCAGAACAAGGACCGGGTAAATAAGTTCATGTTGGATCTCTGCGAAGTGCAGGATTTCTACGAAACTTTAGAAATGGACAAGTATGTGGCGCTCACTAAGAACAACCTGGAGCTCTCGATCACACTCAACGAAATCTACGCCATGCACGGTCTCATTGAAAAGCACAATGGGGAACTCTGTAAGGATGAGAACTCCCATCTAGCTTTGATTATGTCGGAGTTGGGACATGCACCTGCGCAAGTCCCGAGGAAAGAGAACAGAGCCATCAATCTGCCCTTGTTTAGCCGTTGGGAACAGACCTTTGAGAACATGACACAGAATATGGATATCACACAAGAGGAAATTTTCTTCTTGGAGGCCAAAAACATATTCGTTCAGATTATTCGGTCCTTTCCCAACAATGCTGCTGTTGCACGGAAGCCCTTGCGCTTGGAGAAAATAGCAGACGCCGCCGCTACCTCACGTAATGATGCTGTTATGGTGCGCAAAGGCATCCGAGCAATGGAATTGTTGAGCCAGCTTCAAGAGATGGGATCCATCAACAAGTCTGATCAATTTGGCTCCCTGCGTGACGAAGTTGAACAGGAGTTGTCGCACCTGGGGTCGCTCAAGGAAGGTGTTCATCAGGAAACCCAGAAGCTTGAAGAAGTGTATAAGACAATTCGTGACCACAACGCGTACCTCGTAGGTCAACTGGAGACCTACAAGAGCTACTTGCATAACGTACGAAGCCAATCTGAAGGGACACGACGAAAACAGCAGAAGCACCAAGTGCTGGGACCGTACAAGTTTACCCATCAGCAATTAGAAAAAGAAGGCGTGATTCAGAAGAGCAATGTTCCCGACAATAGGAGAGCGAACATCTACTTTAATTTCACGAGTCCCCTACCAGGCACGTTTGTCATCTCATTACATTATAAAGGTAAGGCAATCATCCAACGCTAATATTGCTTCCCCACGCACTAACCGTAACGACAGGACGCAGCAGGGGCTTGCTTGAGCTCGATCTAAAGCTTGACGACCTTCTTGAGATGCAAAAGGATAACCAGGATGATCTTGACCTTGAATATGTCCAGTTTAATGTCACAAAGGTCCTTGCTCTCCTGAACAAACGATTTGCGAGGAAAAAAGGCTGGTAAATCACTCATGCGGGCATGAGCTTGTCATGAGGCTTTCCGAGATCGATGTATACAACGACTTCCATTATTTTCTATCATCCGATATGGCGTGGCGTTGAAGGCTTACGACTTGATACCACTTTCATTTGATATATCGAGCCGTTGGCTCCCATTGACTCTTTATGTCTACAAAACCAAGAACATAACCACCAGCCTTCCGATAGGCATCTGAACACATTCTGCCCTGCTTCATAAACACGATAGCGAGAGGGAGCAAGGGTAAATCATGTCGATATGCGCTAAGTCATTACACATGCGCGAGAAAGTTTTCGACGGAGCCTTCTCCGGCGACCTGGACGTGGTTGATGAACCATGTTGGCTTGCAAGCCATCAGAGTCACATGCTATGACTAGACGTGTATATCGCAACACAACACCTAATAACCCCTATAGTCTGATTGATTTTGCTTTGGCTGGCCGCTTGGCTTGGATGCTTTTTTTTTCTTATTTGCTACCATTGTATTCTAATAAGGGTCTAAGACTCGAATATCGTTGGCTTTTGCTTTTGTTTACTAGCAAGATACTGACAGCCCATTTGCCGAACTATGCACTAGTTCTTCGCTATATTTTCCTATTGTCATTAGGATTGTTGTTTATAGTAGATGACAGCGGACCTTGGGGATGAAATGTACGTTTAAGGAATATGGGATCGATGTGGGAAATGAGCATGAGAGATCACTTCCACGAGTTGTTAAAGACTTTGTTGGTCCTCGCATTTATGTGTCGATGAGTATCTCATTTTCAATCCATACTATCAACGGTGTTAGAGATATCCCCCATGAATGAATGCTCTAACTTGGAAGTGTCTGCTCTCCTACGAGCACTACTGTGTGATATATATGCCTCACGAGATCGTAAGGATAGATAATGGAATATTTTTGATCTACCCATAGCTATTGTATGCAGAGGGCCCTCGTCCCTCTTTTTTTCTAAGGAATGTGATGACTTGTTCATACTTAGGTTAGGTCTTTAGTTCCTATGTTCTCACTGGCCATATAAGGGGCGGGATAGAGAAGCTGAGAATCATCTAACGTGGATGATATACGTGCATAATGGGCTGTGCGTATATTGGTGGCTGCTGAGTACAAGAACTGTATGTACATTATGCTTCTGCTTTAATATCTCATCCTTGTGTATCGGTTAACAATGAAGCTAAGGGAGACAAGAGGGCCTTTTCAGGAATACCGAGGTGATACGAAATCGGTATCGGTTGTGAGGGAGGACGCAGACGAAACAACAACGGAAGGCGCAATCAGCAGTAGGATATGCACTCATACACTCATCTATTTGGTTGCAGCATTTGCACAACAAGCACTCCTGGGAGATGGATATAAAAGAGTCGATCTGGCGTGGTGACTCATGTTAACCTCCTACTTTTCTCACATGCGATCTTATTTCATCTCTATTGAGTCAATCGAGAATCACTATTAGCCTCTTATTAAAAAAAAAAAAAATCACTTTCCCGTCATCTCATTACTCTATACCCGGAAACATCGGCCAAGATGCCACTTCTTAGCAAAAAGGACAATAAGAAAGGCAAAGACAAAGAGAAAGGGGAACCGTCCAATTATAACAATAAGGACGTGGAGGACGTCAAGTTCGCGATCCCTGAGCGATCTCACGCCTCGAGCGCTATGTCGAAAGAGGGCCCGAATAAGTTGCGGAAGAAACAACCCGAGGACAAGGGAGAGGGAAAGAAGATGGAATGACGTGGATGTTGAGGGATGCCTGCGTGTCTGCGGTGTGGTACTCTGGCAGATAGGTTTGTTGGTCTCCTATCTGGAGGTGATATCCCTGCGATGTCAAATAGTCAAGGAATAGGAGTGTAAGGATCATTCGATAGCCATCATGGCCGGTGGTTGAGGAAAGGATGCGTGGTACGGGAAGGGCGACGGGGATGGTGGAGAGTAAAGGAAACTTGTCTAAGGAATTACGAGCCAGCCGTTTTTGGAATCTAGGTTTAAGAACTACCTTGTATATGCGGCATAACAGAGTCCCTGATGCTATGATTTAGTTCTGATTAGTCGCTGAGTAGAAATGCGCATGCCCCCTTACTTGTGTAACGTACGTCTAGATGCTCATACGTTTTTCTTTACGGCGGAAACGGCGGAGGGCTTATAAGCTGCATCACTCTGTAACACGTCAGTATATCTGATAGTCAAAGGGAGAGAAAATTTTCTTTCAAAAGGTAGCACGAATATGAAGGGTCATTCAAGACGTGTGTTGGATGTTGATGTGCCTATGCAGCGCGATGTTATTGCCTTCTAGGATGTGCTTGTATACAGAGCGTGTCACAACGGGCCGTTGATTCCATGTGTAATCTCGACTTGTACCTACGTATTCACTATGTATGTTTCAAGTGCCCTTTGGTTGAAATGGACGAGTCTGGGAGCTCAACAGATGCCTGCGGATGTTTGTTTTGCCAGGTCACATTGATTGCGGTGTACAGACTGCCTTCTTGTAGCCCCAACTTGGTTTCATAACACGGATGACAGCATTATGCTGCGAGTTATCTCATTGGCTGGATAAATCCTGTCTTCGCGCGACAACTAATACTTGAAATGTCGCCTTTAAGATGTGGAAGTTCTATATCTCAGCATTGCGGGAAAGTACTTAATTCACAAGGTGGCTCAGAGAGATACAGCGAGTTACTTGCGTTGACGGGAACCAAGGTTACCAGTTCGAATCTGCTTCCGTACCCCTATATATACATACCTAACGCAAAGAGCGTATAAGGTAGCAAAATAACCCAATCGCTCCTTTTCACTCTTCTAATGTGCTAGCCACTCCAAAACCATCGTCTTCCATGCTTCGACAAGCAGTTTGTCGCCACGCTTTCTAGGTGTTCTATAATATCGCATTGACCGTTAGCTGAGCTCGTAGCTAGGATAAAAGCGCCGTAGACTTACGCAAGCCCAAGACTGGAAAGCACCCTCGCGGCAAACATTCTCGTTGCCGGGTTCGACGGTAGTCGCCACACCTGTGCAGCCGGTATGGGTGTAGAACTTGCACTGGTTGGAGCCGCTCACGAGAACACTCGCGGGGGTGACCAGCGCGGAGCTGCAGTCTCCATGGCTAAACCCTCCGTCGGAGAATTGTCTGCATGAAGCGCCGGCGTCGCCTCCCGCCATATTATGGCATGTCTTGCTGTCGGTCCCGAGATATACTCGGTAGGAGCCGTCGGATGCGACATTGCAGTCTGAGACGTAGGGGTATGCTGTGACGTCCCACGCGGCCGAAGAGGTCGCAAGACCAAGAGCTGCGATCAAGAGGCCGGTGCACTTCATTGTGGAAGGTAATAGATGGTTGATAGGTAGGCTGTAATGGTAGTTGGATGGTTTGGATCTGATTCCTGGTAGAGAGCTTCTAACTTTTCCGGCGTGTCTGGTTCTTATATCCCAAAGAAATCCATTTCACGTCAACTCATCCGATCGGTGATAGAGACTCATGCCTCCTGATAGATAGCAATCTATTGCCAAGCAGTCTCGCAAATTAAGTTGACGACGGGTAACATGATCACCTCAGTCGAACAATATAACATCATCATCTCATCAATGATCGCTTTACGTCAGTTGGGTAGTAGCGCTGAGTAGATGAGGGACTGGTAGCCGAAAGGTGGGAAGTTAATCTCGACGTCATGGATATTGACTTTCAGGGTGAAAAGTTAATGTGATGTGTATTAAGTAAGCTTACGAGAGCTAGACAAAGCTACCGGGTGAATATATGTTTGTCATTCATACTAATTTCGTCTGTTGGAGTCAGTATAATTATCACGATGGGTCGGCTGACACATCATTAATACTGATATGAATTCTGGTAAGCACCAAACGTCGTACATGCTGACTCAGTCCAAAGCGTTGTAAACTACGGTTGGTATTACCTAATTTCAGCATTTTATATCCGAATTTCGAGTCGCAACCATAAGCTCTGCAGACTCGCAAGGAGTTGACTCTATGCAACTATGGATCCGTCGCCATAAAGAGAGTGCTAAACTATCAGACTCCATCATCCTATCACCCGGCTCGGGCAGTGTTGCTGTTTTTGAGCTCTCGTTAGCTCAGCACACTTTTTCTCGGAACCATTTGGAGATGTTCTGATACCCTAATCTGGATGGCTGCCAATCAATCATTCAGTTAAATCATGGGCATGAAGAGATTCCCCATAGTGACGCCCGTGAATGAATTAAGGGGAAAACTTTTTTCTCTTGCTAATTGGTGGCTGCCATCTGAGTAGACTACAATGATATCCTACTTGGTTGCGCATTTATTACATTGCGAGATCGAAGGCCGCACCAGACACCATTAACTTGTATGCGCGTAACATGGTGACTTTTATTAGTAGTAAAATAATCTACCTATTACACCCACTCACACCAGCTCAGAGTCATTTCGTATGTTAGCCAGCCCTGCGTAAAATCTTCTATTGTCCTCGTCTCTACTCTATGCCCCCTTCATTAACCTGCCCCGTCTCGTGATAACTCGCTCTTTAGCTGAACTGATCACTGCTCCGGACATAATCGAGCCTATCTTCTTCTGGTAACTGTGAATCTCTTGCTTAGTAGCTATTTGATCATAGGGGCTTAGCTCTCCTGCTTTCATAGGTGTATATGCCTTGTGCAAGGCATTCTTGTCTCTGAGCTTAACGACCTTTTCGATATATGAGGATTGCAACAGCTAAATTAAGCCCTTGTTACGGTTCCTAATTACTTCCATACCGAAAAAAACTAAAAACGGTCGTCTCTACCAGTTATTTAGTAGCGGCGCTTTAATTCAAAGATCGTACGTTAAGCGATAATCTCTTTATGCTTTTAATAGGCTAGGACTATGTTATCCATATAAATAAAGATCAGAACCCCCTATTTAAAGTATGAATATAGCTTATAAAGGATAGCTTAATAGCTTATATTTAATAATAAAATTTAAAGCTTTAAAATTAAAAAAAGAAAGTCCTTAAAGTATTTAAATAAAATAATGATTTATCTATTTAGAATTATACATATGTAATGTATAAGTTATTATGTTGATTTTCTAGATTTTTTAAGAAATATAGTATTGTTTGAGTGATTTTTAAAATTGTAATACCGTTTTTCTTGCTCGGTCACTGTACATGTCATTGACTTGAATGCACTATTATACCAGGAATCGGAGACTGGCGTCGGAATTAAAATCATACTAGATCATGCTAGGATATTGCTTCTTGTCGGTTGAGAAATGGCGAAGACGACAGCGCGAAAAAAACCCTGGCGCTCCCTCTGGCAGCTTGGCTTGATTTGAGTATATCCTAGCCGGCTGTTATGCCTACTACCGCCCCTTGAAGAGATGATAGGATAGTCGTTAGAGGTAGCTACTAACGCGATGGCCGTTGGCCAATTTATACATACTACTGTCTCTCGTCAGTGAAAGGTAGTCCTTGCCTGCAATACGAGCATGTTGGCTGGCTCTAGTTGTGAATAAGGCGCTAGGCGGTTCCCTGAGGGACTCTGTACGTGGCGAGTGCACGATATAAAGAGAACGGGACAAAAATATACACTGCACGGGAATAGAAACTATCTCTTAGCAACAGACGGGATTCTCAAGATAGAACTCACACTTAGATTCTTAGAATTAAATTAGGTTCCTTGTTGTGGTGTGATACCTTGGGTTGAATCTATCCTAATATGCTCCGCGGCTCAGAAACTGGAACCGCCAGCCACCCTTATTACACTAGGTACATCGGCCCCCCCCAAAGCCTTTAGATACTTACGCGTATTAGGGCTACTTAAGTATGCGTACGTGTAGGTTTGTGTAGGTATAAGTATAGATAGGTTGGTGGCGAAAGCGTTGTTGTTATATATACAACAACACTTGCCGCTAACCTACAGCTACGCGTACAGGCCTTCACAGACATACAGACCTTAAGTGTTACAAGGCACAGGAACAAAGAGACTTTTGTATACGTATGTAGGATAGCCTTACGTAGCCTTGGCAGACCTTGGGTTCTTTGTGCAACAACAGAGTCATTTTACCTACTGGGTTCGTGACATTAAGTATACTCATCAAATCGAACATATACATAGGTTAGTCAATACTTCATAAAGGGTTAGAGGGTGGCCGGTGTAGCGTGGCTCAGAAACTGAACTTGTTTATTTACCGGGGATATAGACAAGGGGGCTTCCGTATATAGCCTCACGTGGGGGGTTCAGGGACCCTTGCGCAATAACAAGAGTCTTGCCTACCGCATACGAGGGTTCGTGACACTCATAAACTGTTTCGGGAAGGCTCTTATATAGGTACTCTTGTTCTCTAGATATTTTAGGCTCAACGTAAGTCAGTAAACGGCGCTCTGGGGATAAATGCCTGCTATCTATCCATAGAGCTGAGAACGCTGGCAGCACTACCAGAAATGGTGTATATCATTACTGGCTACCACTAATCGGCGAACTTTGGGACTGCCAACTCATTCATACCCCAGTCGCTCCCTCATTTCATACCCCCAGTCACCCCAGCATAGCCGACGTTGCATCCTGTCAGCTGGGGTGGGGTATGAACGATGGCGAATCTGTGTACAATTTTCGTTTGAAAGTGACAGCTAAACAACTTAAATCTTCCTAAAGCGACCCTTTACTATTGTCTCGCACTGCTAAGACTATATCAAGCATCAAACGGTGGCGTGGTGAGATGGAGTACTCTGCAGCGACCTTTCAGGTCAATGCTCTTGGCCTAACGCTGCTTCATCCGCGCGGGAGCGAGCCTAACTCCCAACCGCCGCCTACAGTCAAGTGAGTTAGCCACTGCTACCCACTTGCAGATCGGGCAGACTAATCCGTGAAAGCATCGTCTTCGTCCATGGCCTACGCGGTCATCCACGAAAGACTTGGGAATACCCAGCGCCTACCCGGCAGGATGTTTTGGGCACGAATGATGTAGGGCGCGGCACAGTGCCTACAAAGAAGAGTCACCTACTCAGCAATTTAAAACACAAGATCCTGAAGCTATCTACCCGGACTAGACCAGGCTTACAAGCAGCCGGCAGCTCTGGCCCAGGGAACGGTAAGGAGACTATTTACTGGCCAGCCGATTTACTTCCTTCAGTAGTGCCCAGGGCCAAGATATGGACGTATGGGTACAATGCCGATGTTCATGTCGGGTTTTTTCAGGCCAATAATAAGAACAGCATTCTGGAGCATGGTAACGATTTTATGATGAAAGTGGAGCGGGCTCTGAGGGATGAGGTAACCGACGGTCTCGCAATCTTCATATGCTTTCTAGGCTAACAACTCTACAGTTACCCATCATCTTCGTCGCACATAGTCTCGGTGGACTGGTTGTCAAAGTGGTAAGTGCTCTTTCAGAGACTCACAGAAAGCCGTCCTACTGAGCCCCTCAGGCAATAAACGACATGCAGTCGAGCATCGTCGACCAGTATAAACAATTCTCTCGCCGAATCCGAGCCGTTGTCTTCTGCGGTTCACCGCACAGAGGTAGCGATGCTGTGGCATGGGGCAAGCTGGCTACCAACCTGTTCGCCATGGCCCTCATGGACACAAATTCAAGACTCCTTTCCGATTTGCAAGTTGATTCTAGGATTCTCAGTCTCATCCAAGCCAACTTTCTGAAGGCGCTGCACCGGGAGCCTCTACGTATTCACTCATTCCAGGAGGGTAGAGCCTTGACAGGGGTAAAAGGACTGAACGATAAAGTAAGGATAAAGCAAGCGCGTCATGGCACGAAACCGGTACTGACCTTGCAGGTTGTTGACGACTTCTCTTCTAAGCTTGGCTGGGCTCCAGAAACCTTCGAAACCATAGATGCAGATCACCGGGAAATGGTTAAGCAGCCCGGGGTTCAGGACATCTCGGACATTCTCAAGGATTTCGAGCAAGACGTAGTGAAGGCCGCGCAGGCACTCAATATCGGTGAGTTAAGGCTTGCATGATAACCATTGCTGTCGCTTGTCGGATAAGACTTGTACAGATATAGCAACTACTTGCCTGTTGGATAGATACGAGACCTGATTTCTACCTATCTTTAATCCAATGTAATTTTCATCAGCTTGGAATTTCACTAACCCTACGAGTACCGAAGCGCAAGTAGAACATGAAAAACTGCAGAGTGTTACTGAAGACCCAGTCAAGAACGCCAAGAGATCAAATCTTCTGCGGAAACTTTATATTCTACCGTACGAAGATCGCAAGGATAGAAACCCGGAACGGGCAGATGGCACATGTCAATGGTTTACGAACCATCAACTCTTCCAAAACTGGCAAGAGAGTAAGACCTCAAACCTACTTTGGGTATCTGCAGACCCTGGATGTGGGAAGTCAGTTCTAGCGAAGTACCTAGCGGACGATGTCCTTTCGCCGACAAACAGCAGAATTACCTGTTACTTCTTCTTTAAAGACGATTTTAACGATCAAAGGAGCCCAGAAAACGCGTTATGCTGCATCCTACGCCAGATTTTTGTCCAAAAACCTGCTCTTCTCTCAGATACGATTCTGGTACTGTTTGAACAAGGCGGAGCAACCCTTCTTAAATCCTTTCGCGGCTTGTGGGATATCTTCATCAGCGTTACCCGCGAGTATACCGAGGGGGAAATCATCTGCATTCTCGACGCTCTTGACGAATGCGAAGAAAGTGGACGGTCTCAGATGGCGAAAATCATATGCAAGCTTTATGAAACCGAATGCACCGAAAACAGCAAATTCGTCGTCAAGTTTCTTTTGACGAGTCGACCGTACGTCCATATTCAGAGAGAGTTCCAAATGTTAGAAAACCGCCGGCCTACCATTCACTTAAGTGGCGACAACGAAGTTGAGGTCGACAAGATTTCTAAAGAGATTGACATATTTATCGAAGACCAAGTCGGAATACTCGGCGAGAAGCTTCAACTCCAGCCAGCAGAACAGCAACTTCTGCAACATGAGGTTACCCGCGTTCCGAATCGGACGTATTTATGGGTGTATCTTGTGTTCAACGTAGTAGAAGATATTATTAGCGTCACGGAGGACGGCTTGCGGGAAGCTATACAGACCCTTCCTAAAACTGTCGATGCTGCATATGACAGGATTTTGTGCAGGAGTCGCGACCGGGAGAAAGCAAAGCGGCTTTTGCACATCGTTGTTGCCACCTTCGAACCTTTATCTGTGGGACAGATGGAACTGGCGTTGGCTATCAAAGAACACCATCGGTCATACACCGATCTAAAGCTCGGACCCGAAGATCGATTTCGCGGAACGGTTCGGGATATTTGTGGCCTCTTCGTGACTATCATAGACTCGAAGATCTATCTGATTCATCAGACAGCAAAAGAGTTCTTAGTCCAGCAGAACTCCATGGACATAATAAGTGTCCCCAATCTACAGTGGAAGTTCTCACTACACCCAGAGGAATCGCACCGCGTTATAGCCGAAATCTGTATTTGGTATCTCCTGTTCGATGAATTCAAATCATCTTCTCGCATTGGAGACAGGGATGATCAATACCTCAATAACTATAGGTTCGTCGACTACTCGGCAGTAAATTGGAAGTATCATTTTAAGGGAGCCCAAGTTGAAAATGATGACCCCAAGCAACACTTAGTGTTACGTCTCTTTGACGAAGAGCGTATCAATGTATGGTTTGATATCCACAATTGGAGTATATTTGGGCTCCTGCCACACCCGTGCGGTTCCGACCCGCTCATATTGGCATCATATTTTGGACTTGAAAGCGTAGTGAAGCTGTTACTTGAGGGAGCTACCGAACTCTATGTCGAGGATGCGGAAGGCCGAACGCCGTTGTTCTGGGCTGCCTATAATGGCCACATGGCAGTTTTACTGGCACTGCTCGAAAACGGAGCACATAGCGAACCAAAGGGTGGGGAGACACTTTTGCATGGGGCGATCCATGGGGGTTATAAGGAAATTGTTCAGCTAACGCTCCAAATGGGAGAAGACATTGAAGCAAAGAATACTGTTGGGTGGACACCTCTGCAAGCGGCGGTTGCATCGCCGAGTTTGAGTAGGAGACTTGAGGGGGGGCATACCGTAAATATTCAGCTACTGCTCGAAAACGGAGCTGATATCGAGGCAAAAGATGCGATCGGACGGACGCCTTTGCATATAGCGATCGAACAATCGAACGATAAGCCCGCGATTGTCCAGTTCCTGCTCGAAAACGGAGCAGATGTTGGAGCAAAGGATGTGGATGGATTGACACCTTTGCATGAGGCGGTTGTGAAATGGCACTTGAATGGTGAAGGGAGTGAAGCAATTTTCCAGCTACTGCTCACAAACGGAGCAGATACTGAAGCAAAGGACAATGATGGATGGACACCCTTGCATACAGCGGCCGAGTCGGAATGGGATAGAGCTATCCAGCTACTGCTCGAAAACAGCGCAGATATTGAAGCAAAGAACAATGATGGATGGACGGCTTTAGGTCTAGCAGTTATGCGCAGGGGATATAGAACTGTCCAGGAACTGCTCAAACACGGCGCAGATACTGAAGCAAAGAATAATGGTGGTTGGACAGCTTTGGGCTTCGCAGCTACGCATCAGGACGAGAGAGCTGTCCAGCTACTGCTTGAAAACGGCGCAGATATCGAAGCAAAGAATAATGATGGATGGACAATTTTACATCATTTGGCTTCTCATGGCAAAGAGATAGCTATCCGGCAGCTGCTTGAAAAGGGGGCAGATGTCAAAGCACAAAATAACTTCGGATCGACAGCCCTACATCTGGCGGCTTTTCATGACAACGAGGGACTTATTCTGCTACTACTTGAAAAGGGAGCAGATATGGAGGCGAAGGATGTCTTGGGACATACAGCTTTGCATCAGTCGGCTATCCTTGCAAACAAGATAGCTATCCAGGTACTCCTTGAAAAAGGAGCAGATATTGAAGCAAAGGATATGGCTGGAGATACAGTTTTATGTGCGACAATAAGGAAGGATGGAGAAGTTGTCCAACTCCTGCTTGAAAAGGGAGCAGATATTGAAGCAAAGGGTAGGTTTGGAGATCCAGCTTTACATACTGCAGCAGCATACGGGAACGAGGTAGTTGTCCAACTACTACTTGAAAAGGGAGCCAATATTGAAGCAAAGAATAAGGAGGGATATACAGCTTTGTCGCTTGCAGCAGAAGAAGGGCATGGAGCAGTTGTCCAACTGCTACTTGAAAAGGGAGCCGATATTGAAGCAAAGAATATATGTGGAGATACAGCTTTGTTGGTTGCAGCAGAAGAAGGGCATGGAGCAGTTGTCCAACTGCTACTCGAAAAAGGAGCAGATATTGAAGTGAAGGAGAACCTTGGAAATACAGCTTTGCATACCGCAGCCAAAAACGGGCACGAGGTAGTTGTCCAGCTAATACTGCTTGAGTGCCCCGATCTGATCAACGAGAAAAACTATGAGGGGGACACAGCACTACACTTGGCAGTGGCTCATATTCAAGAGGATTCTGTGAGAACCGCAGCGATACAAATGTTTCTGGAGGCCGGGGCCGACATCACCATAATGGACAAGTATGGGAGAACAGCACTTGGGAGAATGGACACTGCTAAGCATTCGCGCCGCTTTCTTGAACTTTCAAATGAATACTCGAAAACGTTTCGAGATGCCAGGCGCCAAGGTCGCAGGTTGGGATCTACCACGAAGAGGAACAGATTTCGACTTAAAACGCGACGTCGTCTTTTTCAGCGTTAAATGTTCGGGTTATTTTCCCCTTTCGACGACTTGGCGAGTGGGCCTTTTTGCTTGGCTGCCATGACTGTTAGCTGATTCTTACTGTCAAGGCGTTGTATAGGAAGGTGAAGCGAAAGGGTAAGCAAAGACTGTTGTTCTTGGGCCAAGGGAAATGGCTTTCGTAGGCTAGCTCTTAGTTAGGTATTATATACACGTATGTTCTTTATCATAGAAGTGGTACCGTAGTATTGATATTGAGAACGTGGATCCTTACGCCACCCGCTGATAGAGATTGGTTCGATCGTGCATTTTAGCCTCCTGTTGACTATCTTGCAGAGATTGTCGCACTAGATGATCGAATGTCATATAAGTTGTTATAATATCGACAATATCTCCAAAACTGATACCTAGGTATTATTTACCTATCATGGAGTCTTTGTCTCTGTTCTGACTTGATTGGTTTCCAATTGCCTTATGGTCCTTATCTACCCCGCATTGGCCTGATACCCGAAGAGGGGGTCCCTGAGATGGGGCGGATAGGCGACAGGAGAGTGCCAACTCTTCGGTACCTGACATCATCAACTTGTCTGCAGATTCAACCTGACAAATACGGGTGTATAAGTAAGTTTATATTTATCTCACCATTTACCTGGTATTTAACTGACGTATAAGTGCAAGTCCTGAAACTCGGCGAAGTCAGCAACTACATACCTCATACCTGACTACCTCGGTTGGCGTAGTTTCCCCAGATTTTTGGGACCCGATGACGGCGGGAGAGCGCGGCTAGACAAGGCACGTGTCGGTATTAACTTCCCCTTTCAAGCGTGTGGAACTGGGTAACTTGAGAGCTTGCCTCTATAAAGTACACATCATGTACATCGTGTACATCTTACGTAGATATACCCATCTCTACATCAATGCGCATATCGGTCATCTTCCATTGAAACGTCAACCCCAACAATAGCATTGCGGCTCGTACTTGGTAGCTTAGCCAGCGTCTCTGGTATCTACCTGAGGCTCGCGAATGTCATCTTTGCTTTCCGACCCCTGCACCCAAAACAGCCATAGCCTGATTGCAATATTATTATTATAATCGCATAATGCCAGATACTATGAAGCTTGCGGAATATCTCTTCGCCCGGCTCAAGCAGCTCGGGATCGGCGCTGTCCACGGCGTACCTGGCGATTTCAATCTCACTCTATTGGATTACGTCGAGCCTGCCGGTTTGACGTGGGTTGGCAATGCAAACGAACTGAATGCCGGCTACGCAGCCGACGGATATGCCCGTATCAAAGGATACAGCGCCCTCATCACCACCTTCGGCGTCGGCGAACTCTCTGCCATCAATGCCATAGCCGGCGCCTATGCTGAGCGCGCAGCTGTCGTGCATATCGTCGGAACCCCGGACCGCCCCACCCAAGACGAGCGGCGCCAGGTTCATCACACCTTCAATGACGGCGAATTTGGCCGTTTCGCCCAAATGGCTGTCCCCGTCACCGTCGCGCAGGTAGACCTCAAGGACCCCCGCACAAGTCCCGAGCTGATCGACCACGCCTTGCGGCAATGTGTGATACACAGTCGGCCCGTGTATATCCAGGTCCCCGTGGATATGGTTTCCGTACCTATACAGACACATTCGTTGCAGACAGCACTGTACACTACTTTAGTGCAACCCACCGCTTATAGCGATGAGATAATAGGCAAAGTATTAGAAAGGATTTATGAGGCCGAGGCGCCGACCATTCTGGTCGACGGAGAAACCAGATCCTGTGGTATTGTTGAACTGGTACAGCGTTTGGTGGAAGTAACCAAATGGCCCAGCTGGACAACAGGCTTCGGCTGGGGCTTGCTCGATGAAACAACGCCCAACGTGCATGGTATCTATCGAGGCCGCTTTGATACACCTGCCGTTCATGAATTTGTCCAGTCCTCAGACCTCGTCCTGTTCTTTGGACCTCATACTAGCACGACGAATAGCTACGTCAAAACGAGCGTGCCGAAACCAAAAGCTAGCATCTCCATCTCTCATACCGAAATCAGAATCGGTGACAAGATCTACAGAGATATACCCGCCCGCCTCGCTATAACACAGCTTCTTGAGAAGTTAGATCGATTGAAAATGAAGACTTACACACCATCTACCGATTTATCACGTCCTCAACCTAAGAGCTACTCCGATGCGCTAAAAGACCAACCCATCACGCAGGCCTTATTCTGGCCCATGACTTCAAAATTACTACAAAAGGGAGACATAATTCTTGGTGAAACAGGCAGTGCGGGTCATGGTTGCCGAGACATGCCCCTCCCGAAGCACGCACGCACCTTTGTGCCAGTCACCTGGCTCTCAATCGGGTATATGGTAGGCGCCGCGCAAGGTGCCGCCCTAGCGCAGCGCGAAATGATAGCTTCTGGTTACAATGGTATAAAGAGTGCTCGCACAATACTCTTCATTGGCGACGGCAGTTTCCAGATGAGCGCACAAGAATTAGGAACCATTATCCGCCATAATCTCAATGTCACTGTAGTTCTGATCAACAACGATGGGTACACGATCGAGAGAGTTATTCACGGGTTGAAGCAAGGATACAATGACATAGCGACTTGGAGATACCTGCAAGCGCCTGCATTCTTTGGCGCCAAGGAGGACACGTTTACGGCAAAGGTTGAAACGCTTGGAGAATTGCACGACTTATTGGAGACTGAGCAGTTCACGAAGGCTAAGGGATTCAAGATGGTTGAAGTCATTATGGATCGCGAGGACGTGCCCGAAGGACCGCTGGCGTGGCTCCTTCAGAATCAGCTCAAGAAACAGATATAGATGCTATACATAGGTAATTAACGTCTGTTAATAGTAAAGGGGTATTAATTCTTTGCCATCGTGTATTCTTACTTGCTACGACCATTGATTATATGGGCAGCAGCTTTATTGTGCTGCCTTGTATGGTCTCCCGATGTGCGACGTAGTTATCAGTTGTGTCGCCCCAGCCAGAGTGAGACTCTGATGACTTCTCTTTGTCCGTCCCTCGCAGGTGTCACAGTCGCGGATATCCTTTATTGTACACTGAAGTCTATCGCTGAGATTGATCGGGATTGGAAACACTGCGTCGTACCTGATGTTCTCACGATGCCGCGCGGTAACGGTCAAATCAGCTCCCTTCGTTGGAGGTTTGTTTGCTCTCTTGTGACGGGAAACTTCAAGGTATATATTACTGTTCCTGCGCTGTTGCATTCTCTTCTCACTCTTTTACTTAACAACTTCGTTACTCTGTACTTTACAACTCTTGGCTATATTCAGCTTTTATTCAACTTCAGCAGACCATGTCTAGTTCTGGTACCTATAATAGCGGTCAAAGATACCTACCCTACCGCCGACCCTCTTCTAAAGGCACCAATGTCGGCAACCGACTTCGAAACGAGAACGAGGCTAATCCGCCTCCTCGTGCCCCTACCCATGTATCCGGGGCAACTCCTTTCTGCTCTGACAACGCTAAACCAAGACCAGCTCCAATTAACCTTGGGACTCAAGGATCTCGTCATGAGACTTCCCAAGAAAATTCAGACACGGCAGGGGCAAGATGGCCACTCGTAGATCCAAGCGGGGCTATATACTCTATCGAACCGTAAGTAACGCCCCTAAGCAAAGCTTACATGACATAAGTACAATGTAAGCTAACAGAGACTAGTGACCTTATGAGAGAAGGTGTATCCTCAGGAAATAGCTGGAGTCCCGCGAGCCAAGGCGAAAGTCCAGCGACGTATGCCAGCTTAGAGTACGTCTTCGTTATGTTCACTTTTCTGCTTACCGATTTGCACTACTCCTTTGCTAATTCGATTGGTGTTCTGCAACAGAGATCAGGACCAGAGCAGCGATAACACGAGCCCTACATCCTCTCTCCAACGCCGAGGAGCCCTCCGTCGTAGTAATTCCCCGCGTGTGAACAGCATCTCGCTTGCTGGCACTTCCGTACATTCCGGTAATATCGCGAGCGCGGCCGGTAGACCTGTTAGTCCTATTGAGCATGACTGGTAAGATGGTATCTTTTAAATCCTTCTTTATCAGCGATTGGGAGTAACTTGTGTTTCAGTGGTTGTCGGGGAGAGGCTGATGGGACATGTGGGAAAGGGGCAGACTGTTGCAGGTCTAAGACGGCAGACTGCTGCAGACGGAATCCTCATTTGGTATCGCCTGTGGGGTCGAGACGTGGTTTTCGTGTCTGAAGTTTGAGAATTTGGAGTTTGTTTAGGTGTTGTTGGTGACAATGTACTCTCATGCCGTGATAGCAGAGATATATTTGATAACTCAATTGTTGCTATGGTAACTACCAAGGGACTATCGCCTTCCTCACAAGGTCTCAGTCAGGAAAGCGGATAGGATCATATGCAGTGAACACAACACTGAGCAGACATGTAAGACCAATCAAACCCGGAGACGCGGTACTATACTTGGGAAATTTGAAAAATGCCTAGCTCGATAAACTTCCAGGTCACTCTCCCAGGGGTAAAAGCAAATAAAGCCACCCAGTCTGAGATGTTGAATCCCAGCGAGCTTTGATTACCCATACTTCTTCCGGCCGGCTTGATCCGTGTGTAGTGGAGTTCACTCCAAGTCCATACATGTGTCTCCACGCGGGACAAAAACCAAGTACGGACCTCGATGTTGCGAAATGAAAATATCATCTACCTGATACTCGTCTGGCCGTCCTCGGCCATTGGTGGCGCCAACAGTTCCCCCGCCAATCTCCCCCAGCTTCCCAGGTGCACGCTCAAAGTCGAAGTACCACATTATCTTTGCCACAACTAGGCTCAATTCCAGGTACGCCATGCTTTTTCCCAGACAGGAACGGGACCCTGCCGAGAAAGGAGCAAAGGCGGCTCTATGGCTTTGCTTAGGCGTCTCTCCCGGTGCCCCGGTGTCTACCTTGATCCAGCGTTCTGGCTTGTATGTAAATGAATCCGGGAAGTATTCTTCATTATGATGAAGGGCATATAGATTCACGCCAACAAAAGTGCCCGGAGGAATGACGTGCCCGTCCACGATCAGCGGCTCCGACACGTTGGTGCCACGGATCTGCTCGCGCCAGGTCGTGGTCACTATAGGAGGCGACATGCGCAGTGACTCGTCTATACATGCTCGAAGATATTGACAACTAGCAAGTTGAGATCCGGTCTTAATTTCCCTCCCACTCCTAAATGTCGATCGAATTTCTTGGGCAAGGCTTTGATAGCAGTCAGGATAATGTGTTAGGTAGAACAAGGTGCTGCATACGGCGCTAGACGTTGTGTCACCACCTAATCTCTCGTTAGCGACCACATGCCAATAACAAGGGGGGCCGATATTATATTGTTACATACCGGCGGCGATGAAGAGCAGAGCATCGTTCCAAAACCCACTTCCAGGGCTCAAATCCCCATATGCATCAGCTGCAATAGAGTATAAGTCATGCTGTGCGTCCTTGTCTTGGGCCATTCGACTGACAATCATCTTCTTCACTCTTGCGAAAAACTTCTTCCGCGGACCTACGCCCACCAGCTTCTCAATAATCCTTAGACATGCAGCTGCAAGACAAGGGATGTTTAAGTACACATTGAAGCGGAAATTGCCAAAGGACATGCCATCTATCATGGGGCGATTCTCCTGCTTGGTCTGTACGTCTAGGTCATAGCCGAAAGCTAGCCGGCCAACGATATCAAGGCCAAGCTGTCTCAATTTTTCGGTCATATCAGTAGGGGTAGATGTTCTAGATGCGTGTAGAATTTGTCTCAGAGTCGTGTCAAGCTTATCTAATATAACTGGCTCAAAGGTGTGTAGAGAGCGGTCAGAAAGAGCCTGGGCCATTATATTTCGCTTATGGCGGTGCGGTTTGTTGTCTATAATGTAGAAAAGGTTCGGGGCGTTATTCAATGCCCCAGCTGTATATCCCGAGGCCTTGGTGATGCGTTCATTCTGGTATATATCTGCTAACATCAGTGAATGTAGCTCATAATGTGATCGTGCACTAGTGCCTACCTCGGAAAGCGGTAACCGTGTTAAAACATAGTCTATTTGGCCCTACCCTGACTACGGGCCCTATACGAGTTGTCAGAGCTGTATAGTAACATGAATGGGTGGTTGCACATGAAGGGAATAAGGGGGTCGCTTGCCATATTGGTTGTGGTGCTCATAAACTTCCAGGTGATCCCGTTTGCGTACCACATAATACCCAGCATAGGCTTGCGTGATCTTTGCAAGAAACGGCCCTGGGTAGCTACAGAGGGGATGAAGCAGTAGCCTATAGCTAGCAACCGCCAGACACTGCCGAACAGGTTGATTAACGTAGGCATACGTATAGTTCGTGTTCAGCATCTTACATAGAGAACCAACAAATAGCTGGCGTAAATGGCTGCTCCGGGTAACAAGGCTAAGATAAGCATCATACAAATAATAAACGAGTAGATAAGAAGCTGAATAATGTTTCACGATGCGAAAAGGTGTTGAAGAGAAGACTCTCGGTCGAGACCCGACAGCAAAACATGTTTATATTCGCCAAACTAATGGGTGAAACATGTATGGAGGGGAATAATGCGGGCATGGTGCATTGTTGGTGTCTCATTTCGACAACGGATAAGGACTAGTGATGTAAGAATAGCTGGTCGGGGCCCGAGACATACACTCACGACAGCAGGACTGAGACATTGATGCAGTGATTCCGATTGAGAAAAAGCAAATTTGACGAACATATGCCTGTGCCCAAATGACTATAGAAAGCCACCAGCCGCGCTGATCGGTGTTGATTCACCAGACGGCATGCGAGTCTGCAGCGCTGTCGACCAACGGGACCATAATCTGAGGCTCCTGGCTTATTTGAGCACCAACGGCATACGCCACCATACCACCCACGCATAATCACCTTCCTACACTAGTTTCGAAGTTTCACGACGAGGGTTATTGTCTTATATCTTACCCCCTAGTATCCGCGGAGTTGTCTTAGTCAAGATGGGATTTGCGTCGCTAACCTGTTGCACTGTAATTAGCAACTAAGCTCCCCAATCCCTAATCCGAATACTTCGTGCATCGTGACACGAGGTCAAGAAGCTGTCACTTTCGACATCAAGCCTGAGAAGGAAGCTTCTGCAAGTCAGTTTCTCTATCGTCGCCTCTTTGTGCATCCTGAGGCGCTTTCCAGGGCAAAAATCCGACTTATCATGCAAGATTGCCATCGTCACCGGCTCTAGAGGGGGCATTGGTCTCGAATGCGCGGGTCAACTCCTTGATCTGGGCGTTAGCATACTCATTCTCTCTGTTCGAAATGAGTAAAAATATGAACACTTCTCGATGTCTTTACGCAGGAAGAGTGAATAAGCCAAGCATCGAAGTCTGGAAGCTTGATTACCTGTCGTACGAGGGCTAGGTGCTCGACCTTCGAGTGTGTCTATACATGTCAGACATCCCCCATTACCTAATTGTGCATGGTTACTGCTCCGCCCAGAACACCCTTCAGGTCTCCCATCATTATTTTTCATAGCGTGATATCGGACTTTTTGTTGGGCTATTGGGATGACGCCAGCAGTCACGTGACAACTTCTGGCACCCTACTTCCACTTCAGCCACCACTCACCTTAGAGTAACCTTCTAGATAGCAACAACTTCACTCAATCAGATAGTCAATTCAGGCCTCTGCGTATTACACACAGAATCCAACACTCTGCTTCATTGCAACGTGTTAGGCTGTCTTGAGTGCCACCACACTTTTCAATAATAGAGAGATATAATCCCAATACTGAAGAACAAAAGTACGAGCAGAAGTAACACTAATATGACCAGAACCGCCTGGTGTGGGAGTGGTTTGTTGAAGGTGAATATCGAGACCAAGGTGGCACCGGCCGAGAAGACGACGAGCAAGAAACCACAGAGTGGCAGAATCTTGAACGTAACTTCCCATACCAACTTCGTACTAGAATTAGTATAAAGTTGCCTATATTCTTCTTGTTCTTTTGCCATATCAGGTTCTGCTGTGTGAGGATTTGGGGTTCGTTGCCAGAGTTCAATGCCTACTTGTTAAAGTTCGAAAAAAAACGACAGCCCCCAAATTTTACGGATATGTGTGCGATTTCGAGCTAGTTGTATATTCCTCGTGCAATCTGAACAAAGAAAGACTGGTCTTATTTCGAATAGTCATGCATGTTCTAGGGGAATCCAGGCTGGTAACTTCATTTCGCTCATTGACAACATTTATCCTGCATTGCCTTAGACTCAGATTCATAGAATGCTGAAGGACGTTCTGTATCTCGGCATTGTGGCTTGCCAAGTCTGTCTAGATATAGTCCAATGAATAGGCACGAGAAAACGAAAATATAATAATAGTTGAAATAGTACTGTAGGTGATGGATAATATTGTATGTTGCACTCAGGAACTAAGTCTAAATACCATAGATGGGAGTGGTACATCTAGTTATATAGTAAAGTGTGTGTGGGTCGGAGTACTAGCCACTAGGATTACCTGCCTTCCTAATTTCAATAATAATATCCATGGATAATATTCTAGAGGCAAGAAGACATGTGTACTCGTCCCCTGCGTACACTCGACGCAGAAGTAATATTTGGCCGAACACGAAACCCCACAACATCAGAGAAAACATGGTCGAAGAATCGCTTTGAAAGACACGGCAGCCTAAACCCTTGGCATCTGAAATATGTGAGCTTTATTGAAAAACTTAAGAGAAGATTAAAGAGAGATCTAAGAACGGACCTGTCGCACTTGGTGGGAAATATTGTATATACCCGGGTGTTTTCAACCCTTGTGTCCTAAGCCTTCCGCATTAAATCATTCGCCAACATGCCGATATAGTCAATCCACCTGTCCTTTGGCTGTGACTCGCTGTCAGCCTGTTTGACCACGTTCGCGAAGCGGTTCCACACCGTAATATACTTGCTCTCGCTTTCCTTGGTGGTACCTATCTGCGAGAAGGCCTCCTTCATACGGTCGTGATTTTTGAGTGATTCGTAGGCCCCCCGTAGGCCCCCCCTTTCCTGCGAGACCTCCGCTAGCTGTACAGTGTAGAGAATGACGGCGGCCAGGCCGGATGCCAGGGCTGTAGCGACGGAAGAGCCGGTGAGTGCCGTGTATTTCTTGACCCTTGGGTCGCCGTGCGGTTCCATAACGACCTGGTGGCCGGGAAAAACGAAGTCGACGAGCGTCTGGTCACCGAGCCACTTCAGAGCCGCACCAGAGGCTTCGGCAGCGCCGATCTTGAAGATCTTCTTCGTCGAGGTAGCCGCGGGGTACGTTCGGTCCCTATATGCGCCTGCGACCAATAGTCAGCGGTGAAACGAGGGATGCGAACTTTCGTTCTTAGGCGGGAGACCAACCCTGATCTGTAGCAGCGCAGAACATAAGTATGTTCTCGCGGGCGGCTGCAGTAATGGCGTCTTCTAGTTCCTTGATATCGTTGCCGTTCCTGTCCGTCTTCTCAATCGTCCAGGACATGGAAATTATATCTACCCTTTTCTCGGTAGCGTCTCGAACGGCCTATACCATGTTAGCAGAGTATTCGTTTTGTGCATATGACTATGAATCTGGTGTACCTTCGCAGCGCTCTTGGCTGTGATCTGCCTCTTTCCTGGCTCGATAGAATACTCGTCTAAGCGCAAGATGAATAGCTTTACGTTTGGGCAGACCTTGCAAATCAGTCCAGCCATGGCAGTACCATGGCCGCCTCCAGAAATGTAGTATGGCTGATTGAGGTTCTGCTCCTCATCCCGGTGACAAAAGCTTCGACCACCTATGATCCTCGACTGGACATTTTGATCATTGACATCAACTCCATCATCAATGAGAGCGACTATGACGGGCTTTTGCAAGGCTTGTGATTGTTCTCGCTTGTCGCTGGATTGCACACGCCACTCGAGCCATTCGTGCTCTGCTGTTTGTAAGAAGTATGCGTATTCTTCCATACAGGTTACCCATTTGTGTCGCTCATAAGGGTCCTGGATGGCAGCAATCCCGTTCGAGCTGCTGTCGGTCTTGCCTCCTTTTATCTTAGTGTCTCTAACCTCAATTGGCGCCATTCGTGCTTTGAATTCCTTGACATTTTGTTTGGTGCGAAGCCGAGTTTCCAATCCCTAATTCAGGCATGAGGCTGATATTCAACTGTCTTCAATTCTAGGAGGGGTTTTCTTCTTTCTTTTCTCTCGTTATTCTGCTGGAGAGTTGTTCACGTACCTGTTGTGTATGAAGATGTACTGTTCTTAGCTTCTCAAGCTTCTTCAGGCCCTCGGGCTCACTCCATGCGCGAAGAATGGCATTGTTGCCACTCCAGTACAAATGTACGACTTGCACATCAGAGGCGACCCTGTGTAATACTTCTGGGGACAAGTCGAGCTTTTTCCAATCCCATGTCTCGACACACATACCCCTGAGGCAATATTCGATGACCTCATCACTATGTGCTGGGTGTGGTAGATCCTCAACAATGACCTTAAGGATTCTCTTCACGCCCTTCACATCTCGTAGCCAGTCGAACAAAAGCTTCATGTCGGTCCGACTGTTGCCATTAATCTCCGCTGTGCGCTGACCTTGCTTTGGCTCGACAATATCTTTTTCGATTTCTACCCAAGGTATAGCGACATACTGTAGAATATCCTCAAACGTAAGATAGTTAAGCCCGTTCGTGATCCAATCTCTTGTGATTTTAGGGGCGATTCCGATGAGATCAAAGTATATCTGTTTGTCTGCAAGGAGATTGGCATCACTTTCGAATAAATAAGCTGAGACTCATACCTTGTTGCACACCATAGAGGAACTCGACGGCATCGTCGTGCAGTCTGTTACGGAGACAGTACAATCTCAAAAATTTCTTTATTTCCTCCACGCTGGTTCTGCTTGGCTTCAATTTGGAACTTTTTGATTTTCTCGATGATGATTTACCCTCCTTTTCCTTACCCGCTGGTGACTTCGGACTGACCTTGCTGCTGTTTTCAATACTCGTGACCACGGCTAGGGGTCCTCGACTCCTATCTGGCATGCTTGAGTGAGAAGTGAATTTCCCTGCTGGGGCTTCACTGCCCCTCTGTATGATGCGCTGTTGCTCAGAAATTTGGACTTTTGCTGTAGGGCCATTCTTCTGCTCATCCTTTGAAACTTCGCCGCGCTTGTTCCGGCTATCCTCCTTGCCACCGTAGGAACTCTTAGATCCTTCTTCCTTAGATTTGGTAGTTTTCCCCTCTCCAGTAGTCTTATCCAGCTGGGTTGCTTGCTCGTAGGTGTAATTGAGGTATAGATAAGGTGATAGAAGTCCCTTTTTAGGGTGTTTGTATGTTTTGTCGAGAGCCTTGTCACATCTGCCAACAAGTGTCTCAACAACTTTGATTTGTCCCTCGTCGCAACGCTTATACTCAACGGCAAGATGCAATGGAGTTAATCCATCTTCGTTTAGTGCAAGGAGTGTGTCGGCATCAGCGTGCTCGATCAAGAACTTGATTAGAGCGTCATCTCTAGGGGCTGATTTCTTAGAGATAGCCTGATGAACACAGTTGGTAGAACGCACGTTGGTGGCGCTCTTGGGAATCCTGAGAATACTGTTGATGTCGGTGTGAGCCTTACACATGACTTTCACCAGCCTCCGGTTCTTGTTCGCCACGGCACAAAACAACGGTGTCTTCCCATTGTCATCGCGCTGTGCAAGGAGATTCGCTTCTAGTTGAACCAAGGCATCGATCAGAGGAGCCATAGTATCAGGGGCCGGCATTTTGTCCTTGTCTTGGTCTGCAATTAAATGCATCAGATTCTCATCCTTGGTGCACTTTTTAGATAGATAGCCCTCGTGTGCTTTAAAGAAGTTAGACAGCTGTGTGGGATCATTCAAGTCATAGTTTCCAACTTTGATCTCCTTGCTACCTGCGCAGGCTCTAAGATCTGTGATGATCTTTTCAAACTTCTGTCTCGTCTTCTTGGGTGCATTCTCCTCATCTTCATCACTAGAACTACCGGATTCAGAGTCGCTGTCGGGCTCAGTGTGCGACTCGTGCCCCTCGTCTTCTCCTTCATTGTCGTCTGGCTTGTTTATAATCTCTGGGTCATCGTCTAGTTTCATAGAGGTAGGCATATTGCGAAAGGGATAGCCTTCGGACCAGTATTCTCCTACCAATTGGCCAAGCGCAATAGCAAGAAGGGATCTCAGTGTGTTGGTGGGATTTCATGACGGGGCTCTCACGCTGACTTGGTCATACAGGCGAAAACTCGGGCAAACTAGCATTTTGGCCCCCAAAGTCTCAATTTGAAGAAGATTAGTAAATGAAGGAACAAAACATGCCTGCACAGCCTAGCCGTACACTAGTGTAGCTGACTTGCATGGTACAATGTAACCACCTGCTTACGTAGTGGAGGGCCATAAATATGTGATAGAGAATATTGCAGGGGGGGTATTGTAGGTAATGTATACGGAAAGATACAGTCATAATTCCATGGTATCCTGTAAAGACAATTAACCCTATAGGATTGAAATAAATTGAGTTATTATCAATTTCATCTCATTATCCCCTAACTCGCAGGATGCTGTCAAAGTTTGATCATTGATATACCGCATGCAAGGTTCAGCGCTTTTAACACGGTTGTTTCTGTACCTATTGTATGCTTATCGTATGTTGGCTGAATTACGCACTGGGTATGTACACGAGGTCTTTCGCACAGTATACCTGTGTAGATTGACTAGTGCAGCAAAAGTTACACTGCTTGGCACTGTAAGCCAATACTAACGGTGATGGATATTTTGGACCCCAACCTCCGTACACTGGTAGGGGAGGGAACGTAACCGTGATTCGCTAGGATTGCTGAGTCGCAATAGGTACACCTCTTCAGGGGTTCTTTCATGTTAGCTCAATACAAACCCAATTCCGGCAGGATATTCCCAGTGGTATTCATCCCTGTGGCTTGGGGATTATGCGTGGCTGAGCAGTGTATTGCTTATGAGCAGCGAGGCAAGGGCTTACACGGGCTTTGTTGTCGTGCTACGGATGTTGGAAATCTTCATTAACCCATGAACCAGCCAATAATTCCATTTCTAGCTGTATAACAGCGTCGGAAACGTACCTAGCTAGCGTAGTCATCACGCAGCTGTTAAATCATAGAAACATAGATATTCAGGCACAGGATTAAGTGTGACGAATACTTAATGTACGTATTCTTTCACAGAACTTATCTAAACTAGACTACGTTTCAACGGTAAAACAATCTCCCTACAGAAAGCAGTACGGAATGACAAGTCCAATTAAAGTAGCTAGCTTAGCATAGTCAACCTTGGCCGCAGAACCATATACTTAATTACCCATCATCTTCACTCTCACTCTCGGAATCGCTCTCGGATGAAGTACTAGCTCCGCTTGTTGAATTCGCCTGAGACGAGCGGCGTGATGGTGGGCTCTCGCTGGGGGATTCATATTCTTGCCCGATAACCTCAAAATCGTGACTAGACGGGTGAATATGATGTTTCAGCTCATAGCATTTATAACAGAGGCAAAACACCACACACGTTTTGCAAACATATTTAAACCCCCAACAGCCCTGGTTGACGAGTTAGATCCAAAACTAACTTTTCGAGTAGAGGTGTCTTGACTTACAGCGAAGCAAAAACCACAGCTACCTTCATTATTCCGTAGCTTAGTCCCTCTTGGCGGCATGCCGTCCACTTCTCCAGAATCAGACATCCTATTGGTGTTACTCGGGGGCACCGAAGACGTAGTGCTGAGAGAGAGAAGTCCTATGATATCTTCACTGCAACCATGAGATGTCGCGATGCCTTCCGGCGTATACTCTTTATCTTCTATCGATGACTTGATGGATTTGTCCGCCCCCCTTTCCAAAAGCGTCAAAATCATTCTTCTTTGGCTGTAGTCATCCAAAGGGGTGCGTGTTGTTCCAACGCCTCTAGCCGCCCAGCAAAGTGGCGTCCAACCCGTCATATCCTGCTCATTGACAGCTTCAGCTCCAGCAATATCCAGCGTCTTTTCAAGTATTTCGACGCAGCCACCCTGAGCAGCCCAGCTTACGATATTGCGGCCGCAATTGTCTCTCTCACCTAGCTCGGGGCTGGCATCCAAAATGGCGGTAAATATACTAACGTTTCCGCGGACGGCTGCAATATGTAGGGGTTGTCTACCCATCGCATCTTTGGCAGAGAAGATTGCGCCCTTGGATGCGATCTTCTCTATATGTTCTTCAATGCCGCCCCAAGCTACAGCACCGCTAACCGTGCCAAAGAAGAGGCCACTTGGCATTGTAACATCTGCACCAGCTGCAATTAACATGTCCAAAATTTCTGTCTGTGCCTCCGATGATGGTAACGATTTCGGTTCTCCGCTCAGTTCTTCGTTGTAATAGTATCCGTTGAAGAGACACGACAGTGGCGAGCCCCCAAGGCTCGATACTACCATGTTGACATCTGCTCCCAATTCGATTAGCCTTCTTACCACGTCCACTAAACCCGTACTGCAAGCGGCGTGCAGAGCTCCGCCATAGACCGGAGAGGTAATGACTAAGCTGGCTTTCTTGGATAGTAAATAGTTCGCCGCTTCTTCGTTGCCCCACCTCAACGCTTGGACGAGAGGTGTGACGTTGTCTTTATTAGTGAGGTTGATGTCGAGCCCAGCACGGACAAGCAGTTTCACGTTTTCTAGAGATGTGTAGCGCCTGATAGCGTGTAGTGGCGAACCACCGCTATCGTCCTGGACATCGAGCCTCGGCCTAAACTCCAAAAGTGCGCCCAGCGCATCATCATCGACTGCTATATGGACCAGAGGCTTGTTATTAACAAATCGACGATTAATATCGCTGCCACTCTCAGCAAGTATTCTTACGATATCAGATCTTCCGCAGTGGGCCGCCAGTTCCATAGGTTCCCATCGACTGTTGTCTCGATCCTCATCAGGAGGGTCAATGCGAGTGTTGTGCTGGATGAACAATTTTACTACCTCGACGAGATTTTCTCGTATTGCTGCGACTAAGGCATAATTTCTGCTTTTTTGTTGCACTTTTGGGTCGCCTTCAGCTTCAAGCAGGACTCTTACTAGCGCTTCGTTGTCATATGCTAAAGATATTGGCCTTGCATCGTTCATGTTGACCACATCGAGGTTGACCCCAGGAGTCTTAACTAGGAGTTCTAGCAATTCGACATTGCCTCGTGATACTGCAATATGCAGTGGTGCATTTCCATCCTGAGATTGAGAATTCACGTTTGCGCCGTGTTTAAGTAATAATGCGACAATTGCTAGCGTTTGAGGGTGGTCTGACTGGCATGCCCACCATAGTGCTGTCTGATCAAAAGTGTCCTTATCGTTGATACGTGTTTCTTTGTTTATCAACAATTCGATGATTTCGAGGCGATTGTCGGGTTCCTTTGAAGTTACTGCTTGTATAAGCATCGGGGGTGAGCCGGGATGATTATTTGGGTCTGAACCCCTATTTAGGATATCGCGACATGTGCCGAGGAGCCCTAAATTGACTGCATACCAAAGAGGAACTCCATGTACCCCAGGACTTACAAGATCTACACCTGCATTCAATAAGGCATGTGCACAGTTTGTATGCTTCTCTGATAGTGCACAGGTAATGGGGGCCCATGCTGGCTCATCTTGGCTTTCATAGACTTTGATGTTTGGATCTGCACCCAATGCTGCAAGTGCCTCCACCACTTTATAATGCCCGTAAAGGCAGGCGGCATAAATTGGCGTGATTGACTCCTCCGATGCGGCATTCAGGTCTGCGCCATGCTCTGCCAGTAAGTTGACCATCTCCACATACCCCATAGATGATGCGGTGTAAAGGAGAGTTCGTCCGTCAGATCTAACTTGTAGTGGATCTGCGCCGCGTTTTATTAGTATCTTTGCACTCGTAACGCTATTCATATAAACTGCTTGACGTAGCGGAGTACGGCTCCCGAGCGCGTTGGGAATGCTCTCATCCACCGGACACCCAAGGTCCAAAAGCTTGTTCAGGACTTTCTCTTGATCTAGCCAGCTTGCCCGACAGACTAGTGCCACCTGGGTGGTCCATGGGAAGTCGGGGTACTCCGCGTGGATGTGAGCTATCAGGTCAAACCAGGCAGCCTCATCACCATAGGCGCCGGCACCAACAAGTGCATCTTGCAGATACTCTGCCGAATGTCTCAATCTTGATAACAGGAGGTAGGCAGTATGGATGGATCTATTGGAGCTTGCCTCGACTAGTCCAATAGACAAGTCCTCGGCTTGAGTCCACTCTTCTGCTAGACTAGCTAGACCCGCTCCAGCTAGAATGGGGTACAAAGACTCGGTTGGTTGTCGACTCCTCGTCATCGGGTTTGCCAACACCCAGAGAGCTTTAGTCCAGGAAGATACGGCGCCGGAATCATGGAACGATGTTAGGTCTGTTGCTAACTCATGAAAAGATCCTTCGGAGTCCGAAGAGAGGGCAAGGTGATGCACCCAAAACTGTGTAGCATAATCTAACAGGCTTGTACGATCGCAAATCATTGCCAGCTGGGAATGATCAGTTCGAGAGACATCATAAAGATTCTGTAACTCAATTTGTGCAGTTTCAGAGGAAAGGCACTGCAGACAGCATTTGGCGATATTTGCATGAGCTACGTTGGGAGAGAGGCAACCGGCCAAGCTAGACAAACCAGTTGCGTTGTTTAGCTCGGCCAAAAGCGCTTCTCGTATTCGAGGTGTTGTAATAAATGCCTCTGCCTGTGATAGAATTACAATTCCTGCAAGCCACATCTGTAACTTGTTACGGACCTTGTCGGTCTCCGCTACACTTGAGCACAAGGTAGAGGAGTTTTCGGTGGTGGCGAGACGGTTAATAGCTGCAAGTTCCCAGACAGTAGGGGGCCGGACTGCATATAATAGTAACGTCAATGACCGGAGAACAAAAGGCTTGTCAGGAATCTGATCTAAAATTTTAGAGACAGCGGATTCTATCGTGACTGCCTCCAAAGATCCAAAGACGTGTCTGATTGAAATAGTTGATGGCCATCGCTCATCTTGCACTACATGCTGGAGGATGAGGGTTTGAACATCAGATTCAAGCTTGCTGATTGCTTTCAGCTCTTCTTCAACTTCTTTTTTGAATCCTCGAACATTTGAATATGCGTAGCTGAGCGATTCATATGACGCTATGCTGGATATCTGGGTTGGTTGAGATGGTGCTAATTGATCCAGATCGAGAGCTGGCCACTCTGAAAGCTCTTCTAAGAGTACCCTTGGTTGCCGACTAGTAACGAGGACTCGAAACGGTCGCTCTTGAGCCTGCGAGGCGTATTGGAGTTGGTCGAGAAATGATTTCCTGGACATCGGCTCACATTCGTCGAAGTGATTTAGAACACATGATATCCCGTCTACCTCGCCGGCGTGTCGATAATGTTCGAACCAGTGCAGGAGGTCTTTGTAGTGTAGGCTACGATCCCGCTGATGCTGCTCAAGCTGGCCTTCAGAGATGTCCGATATCGTTGGGAAGTGTCCTAGCATTTGGATTTGGATGGTAGCTAGCATGTCTTGGATGTTGTCGCGCCTGATGTCGTGTTTGTCAAAACTAAAATAGACGACGACCTGACCGTTTCTTTTCAAGTGCAGATACTCCAAATCGTAGAAGATGAACTCAGACGCTAACTGTGTATCAAGACTGCTATGGAGATACAGCAATTGGGGCTTCCTCTGATTATACCATGACTTGTACCAGCTGTTATCGCTGATCCATGAGAAGACATGATCACCTCCCGGACCAGATTTCAGTGGCAGCAGAGGGGATGCGGCAGATAGTAGCATTCTTTCATTTGCTAATAGATTGACGTTCACCCGGATTACTGTTATCAATTAGTCCCAATTCTTCGGCTATGCGAACAGGGCCAATACCCACAAGAGCTTATTTCATCAATACCGTTTTCAATGCCGCGCTCACCGCCCCCATTCTCGCCCTCATAACGCAGCTCGAATGGGACGCCCATAGTACTCGTGTAGTGGTCAAAGACCTAAATCTATCAGTTGCTGATAATTAGTTAGTTATCGAAGTGGTATAGTTTACATACCTGATCCAAATCTGAACCTTCACTCGTAAAAACACTAAAAACATATGACCGGAAGTTATGCTTTGAATCCATATAGAGCTGATTGATGTCAATAACTGCCCTCGCGAGTGCTTTTGTGGATTGTCCTAATGATGGCAACTTCGGCTTGTCCGAATCACAAGGACGATATAAGAACCTATTCAGCCTGTCCTCCATTTCACCATCACTCAAGGATCTATGAGGGCAACCGTAGAAAACCTGCCCGGTATTAGCGCGACTGCTATGAATTATGAACCCAGGTGACGAACGAGAAGACGTGTGAAATCAAACACATCAGCGTATAATGCGGGTTTCAGCCCGGATAGTGTCAATGCCTAATAGAATTAGTGTGTGGATGACTACAAGGTGTAGTTAGCAGTTTACTTACGTCTTTCACAATGATTCCTCCAAGATCATGAGCCACGAACATAATGGTGCGCTTTTTAGGTAGGTGTTAGTTACTGTTGTGCATGGTAAATCGCACCGATAACGAACCTGACTAGATTGCTGTCTTGCACGCTTCAGATCATCCAAAAGCTTGATAGCCAATCGTCTAATGAACCACCGAACGCGAGTTCCAGATAAGAATACTGAAGTATCGTAACTGAAACTCATGATTTTACAGTCTCGATCCTGCCATGCATGCAACCACTTCGAAGTGCCGGATCCAGGATTTTCGCAAGGTGATCGTCGTGACCCGAAAAAGCCATGAACAATAACCACGCTGATTGTTGTCAACTCTGCAATTACGTTATAATGATAGGCATAATCTTACTCGAGGCCAATGGGATTGGGCGAAAAATAGCCGGACGAAGAGGAACTTGGTCTTGTGTTCGGCATAAGGTCACGTAGGTCCTCAAGACCCTCTGAATCATTTCCTAGCAACGATTGAAGGTCCTGATTTGCCGAAGGTGATTCATATGTGTCTCCCTCAATATTGCCAAGGGCATCACCCTTCATGTCTTCTCTTGAATCAAACTTAGATTTGCCGGTATCTTCATAATCGCTATGCGATGACCGTTGGTCATACGTCTTCTCTACAGCATTCGTAGCCGATATGTCGTTTAGGCGTGACTCTCGACAAGCTTCATCAAGATTCTCGCGGGGTAGAGATTCCGTAGAACTCGTGCTCGATGTGTCACCCGGCTCGTCAGACATCGTAGCTTTCCTTTACGAATGGGATTGTATTGAAGTGGTTCGTTTGCGCATATCGGTTCCTCATGTCGAACCTCTACTAATAATACCTCTACGCTACGTAGTACTGTACATCCTGTACCCCTGCTCAAAAAATGTGACGGCCCCCAAAACCCAGTCAACCCCAACCAGCCCAGGCAGACAAAACCCTTGCGCATGCACATACTGTAAACAGTGTAGTGTTTTACGCACACTGGGATCATCGGTGGCCAAGATGGAACGCTGTAAGTAATTGGCCACACACACAAGTGTACCCGCAAACAGCGATACGGATTAACAATGTATACAGTATACAGTGTTTTGTATACAGAACGTTCGGTAAGTGACTTACATACTGTATGCGCGTAAATGCATGGTCCGCGGCCCAAGAAACATGTCATCTTAGCCACTCGAGGCAGGCTACCTTTGTAGGTACTCTGCTTACCCAAGTATATCAGTCTCAATAGCTCGTGAGCCCATGAAATAGTATCCCAAGCTTTCGGTCACGCGATATTGAGCGTGGTCATAGTTATTAATACTTGAATTAGATTATACCCCATTGCGATTTTGAACTGTATTCAATACCCTTCTATAATCAGGTTCAAGATGGCCGAAGAACTCGAAATTCAGGACCAGGCTCCCGCCTTCGAGATTGGGCTTTGCGAAGGCGGCGATGAAGGCAGTGACTTCCGCACCCAGAACGACCCTTCAGCTCCGCTACAGCGCCGCAATATTGTAGAGCGGAGGGGTGTTGTTGATATCCGCTGCAATAGTGTAGATGTCATTCATGGGTATCTAAAGGACGGCGAGGATCCTGCGACACTCATTGTCTATGAATTCCAATTCGACCCAAGGAAGAAGGCGAGGCGCATTAGCATAGTTGACATTGAGTTTTCATTTGGCTCAGACGGTGGGAAGGAGCCGGAGGTTCTGAAGATATCGAACAAGGGACGGATGGTCCTGGGGCGCACCTCGCTGACGGAGACTATCACCCAGGGCGGCGAGGCAAAAGCAGGGGGAAATATCTTGGGCGCTGAGATTGGAGGGAGTTGGAAATGGGAGAAAGCCAGTACCCGTGAGACCAATGACGCTACCACGATCGTCGGTTCTATAGATCTGCCACATGGCGGTCGTAACTATGGCGCCCCAAACACGGCTACGTGGACAATTATTGAGAACCAGACAATGAAGACGGGCGTGCCGGCCTATATTCGCACGGCAGTGCTGCTGTCGCGCAATGACGACGAAGACGAATTCTTCAGCACGTTCAAGATCAAGGCTAAGGCGGACCTAAGAAGCGGTTTCGCTCAGTTATTTGGCCGAACCCCGAAAGATGACCCCATTCTCTACGATGCAACTCTCCCTCCTACGAATAAACTACAGCAATATGATACGAACTCTCTAGGTCAGGTAGATTTGCAAGACTTTGCGAAGGCATCATTCACAAATTACGAAGAGTGATGGACCGAAACACGGTACAGCTCGAGCACGGTGGCACATCATTGTTCTATAATTAATTCCCTTCTGAAGCGATTCTTTCTGCAGTCTTGGTAATGTTTAGTTTAACTTGGAAGTCTCGCAACACGCCTCCGTAGACATGCTTGCAAAGGTGATGCTATAAGTTGCCATGACGACGGCTGCACGGGTCTAAGGGGGCCATTAGCTTCATAACTCCCTAGCAAAAGATACTCCCACAATCGCTGGGAAGCAACCACTTCTGGTAATCTCACCGGTAATCTAGCTGCGCACTGTCGATGGGGTTTTCGTAAGGGGGACAGTATTGGTCGATAAGGGAGTCTTCGTCATCATGTGAATACCTTAATTATCATTTGGCGAGTACGTACCGCCAAGTTCTACTCGGCGACTTGCCCGATATGTAGAAACCCTGAAATCAACTCGACGTCAAGACTTTGTTATCCACAGTACATAATATAAGCAGATTGTTAATCCCAACTCTCAAAATGTTGCGGGCTGCTGGATATGGTAAATTCGGGAGAAGAGGCCCACGCATATAACGCACTTCGATGTATGACTTTGTTTTTTTTCTGCTCTTTTTAATAGTATTGAAACTGAAGCGATGAACCTTCGAGGCCGTCGTATACAGTGTTGAGTTAGTTTAGCAAGCCAAGAGAACTCTCTGAGGGAATTGAGGATCTAGAAGATTCATTGCTAAACTGAAGTCTATTGCAAGCTCGTGATTAAAGTCCCTGTTACCAAAGCTCAAGAAGACGCTCACATAGTGGTGTTGTCGTGGAATCATAGTATTACAGGAAATAACGTCAGCATAAATTTACACGTGAGAAGTATAGTACTTACAGCCACCACGACAGTTCCATCCCGGATTTTCATTGGCTCCTATCACGTCAGCAAGCCTATGAGCCTGCCTAGGGCGAAGCTCTATAGGTGATAGCTGTGTTGGCCTAAGATCAAGATGACAGAGCGCATGCGTGAAGCATGAATGCGATGTCGGGTTGCAAGCTATGAGGCGGCACAGATGAGTGCGCTGTTCAGAACACTCACATTGTTATATGACCGGGCAGCATCATGGTGTGATACACATGATTAGTTTCAAGAGTATATATTGCCCGACGAGTGGAAGAAGGAGCTCCTGGCTTCTTTTCTCTTTCACCAGGGATTACCTAGGTCCGAGTTTGTCCACAAGGATGAGCGTATCTGCCTTCCTCTCTCCTCCAATCTTACATTAGAATTGATCGATCACGCGAGTTCCACTTTCACAAGGCGGAATCTTGGCTGGACCGGATTCAGTCTCACATCCAACTTGTACGGGTACCCCAGATAGCAACAGTGGCCGCTGTAGTCCGTGAATGGCGCCGGCTTGTAGCTGCCGACTAATTATCTATGATTTGAAAATTGCCTCGACACCTAAACTAACCCCTGGCAATCTACAACTACTTCATTTCGCTGCCCTACTGGACGAAGGAGATTGGTATAGATTTGCTTTGAAGGAGGCGTGTAATGAAGGGGCGTGCGAGAGCCTGGTGCCCCTTTCTGGCCATAGCCTCCCCCATGGTGGCCTGTGAGCGTTAAAAGAAGTTTTGTGCCTCAGAGTCGCAATCGGCAGGGTTCTTTGAATCTTCTCTAATCCTTAATGATATTTAGCGGCCTTTCGAATCATTTCTAGCAAGTCGAGACGATCACGGATCCTGTTCAATCCGGCCAGATCACGCTGAAGGCTTCGTCAGCCATAGAACGAGATAAAACGAGTCCTATGACAAAAGACGATGCGCAAATCGAAAGCGGGAATGCAGATCACGCGAGATCGAGCAAGATCCGAGTTCCCCGATTCCATCAATATTATTATGTCAGACAAAGCTTTCGGTTTGCTAGTGCAATATCATCTATACTATCAGAAACCCCCAAAACGGCGTTTTGAACGCTTTCTAGTGTCTCGGTGTTAGATACGAGCAGTAGAAGGGCAATTGGCACGGTTATACGAGATTTACTACATAAGCTGGATTATTCGACGCTCAAGTATTACGACGTAGCGAAACCGGGACACTCGAAACTTGAGTGAAGCCAACCATTTTCGGCGTTAAGGTAGGCAAGTTCAACGTGAGCGGGTGTACTTTAACTCGATAGACGTCTTCCGAGCGCTGTGCACACCACGCGTCACCCTTGAATATCGTTTATCTCCCACTCAGCCCCCTAGACTCGTTGGGACTCTTATGGGACACTGAGTTTCGCCTCTTATAACGAATAGCAGCAGCTGATTGGGCAATCCAGGTCTCCGGATTCTTATCCCAGGAACTTCCGGGCAACAGAATGAGATCAAGCACTAAGTGCATGACGATAGAACGAATGATGAAGTCGGCAATATACTTCCCCAGACACTGGCGGGGTCCAAAGCCGAATCGCCAGTAGTGGTATCGCATGTCAACTGAGTTAGTGTTCATGAAACGAGAGGGGCGGTATTCACGGCCGTCAACCCCCCAATAAGGATTCCTGATGTTCAGGGCACGGGTGTCGACGACAAAATTGGTTCTACCAGGTACTGAATAGCCGCCAGTGACTCTCGTCTCGGGCGCCGCTTGTGGGATCGAAAACGCAGCGATCGGACGGAGACGAGCAGCTTCGAGGATGGAACATGCTAATAGCGTATCGGATCTTGCGAGATAGTGTGCCCAGTCCCTGTTTCTAACAGCAGTGAGCTCCTCGTGAAGCTCGGCTGTAAATGCCGGATTGGAAGCGAGAAGGATGGGGTTCCAGGACAGTGCGCCGACAGTAACGTCCAGATTACCGAAGAGCATCTCGTCCACTGTCTGCAACACATTTTCTAGCGAAGGGCCGCTTTCGTGGATCGACTCGTACATATGCGTCAGCACTGTTGAATTATGAGAGCGCTTGCTGGCGTTGTACATCTCATCGTTGAACACCCTCCATTTCTGTTTGAAATCTTGCAAGTCGCGATTGGTGGATGAGGGCAGATAGCTGCTCACTTCGAAACGCGTTATACCGCCTTGTATCACAGTCCTGAAGAGCGAGTCTCGCAGCGGTATCAGACTCTCAAGTTGATCTCTTGAATGAGGCGTGAGTGGGCCGTATATGTACTCGGCCACGACCCAGAAAGGGAGAAGTCGAAGATCTTCGGAAGGTGTGATGAGACCATGGCTTGGTCGGCCGTCAAACAGATCGGAGAAATATGCTTTGGTGATCTCTACTATACGCGGTATGAAGTGAGACGTCGATTTGAAGGTGAAATGGTCCCCGACCGAGGCTCGTGACTTTCGCCATTCAGGCCCCGAGACGAGGCCCATGCACTTACCCAGGAGCTGACCCATCAGCCATCCTGAATCGTTGTTGCTGGCCTTGACATGCAGGTCTGAGTCCTTGAAGATGGTCTTCACATCTTCGGGTTGGGTAAGTACGCTGCCTCGTATCAGAACTGTCCCAAACGAATCGGCAGAGCGAATAGGGAAAGAGTCATATATAATATACATTTCCGGGGTCATACCGGCCCATACTCGGTAGATACTGCCGTGCTCTTTGAACCATCTTGAGCTATTTTCCTCGCCTTCGAGAAACTTTGCTACGTCGCCTTGCCCGTTCGGCCATCTATAGGGGCATGTCGGCATGGTTATTGTGTCATTGTCACCCTGGGATAGCACAGGATACCTCCTGTTCAGATGAACCTGTGTCCATTAGTCAGCATTTTAGAATATTTGGTACACGGATTAAAAAGAATACATTGATGATCCACGACAACAAATTGTTCAATATTTGAAGTGTGTATCGTCGAACGCCACGATATAAACATAGAATCAGGATGCAGAGTGCTAAGATCGAGTACGGTGACTGGTACATTGTCAACAAGTGGTGGTACAAATTCGGGAAAATGGTGCGAAGCTCGCCAAATGATATCAAACAGTCACTGACTGAGAAAAAAGTCACTTTCTTTTGTTGTTGCTATCGCCCAGAACTACCCCAAGCGAGGTGCACCCCGTTCTCAAGACCCGAAGTGGAATGCGTTCCGACCGGAAGCCGAAACCGCCCACCGCCCGGCTTCGGGGATGATCGTCTCTAGTGTCAGCTCATGCCAACTCTGATATGGAGTATAGTTGACACAATCCCGGTAGTTACTACTGTTCTGAATGAATTCTACTCCAAGTTTCATCTTTTTCATAGCGATGTGAAAGCCTACCCCTCGCAATATAGTCGTTAATACTGCACACGGTATTAACGGCGTCGTTTTTTCTGACACCATCCTCCTGCGTCAATGGCAACATGTCAGTCTTGTTCCAGGCTATGGCCATAAGTAGGCCCCCTATCTAGGACGGCTTTCACCGCCGGCCGGGATGCCATCCTCTCCCCCCAGCACCGAATACTTGGGTATTCTTTGATGTCCACACTCAAGAATTCGAACATCCACGGCATCGTAAACGGAAAATACGATATATCCGCAATCGATGGCCGGTCGGGAAGAGCGATATAATCCTGTCTCGGGAGACTGAGTCTTCGCTCGATGATCTGCCACTGTCTGACACAGTTTTGATGGAGTCTGTAAATACAGTTATCAGCACGCTTCCGCTTTTCAACGATTATCACCTTGATCTCTTGACGTACTTCTTTACCGTCTTTGGTAAACTTTCGGGATTTTGACGGTCGGGGTAGCCCATCAAGAAGTAAAGCCAATATTTCGCTGTTGGTCTGTAATCCATAGATCACTGTCAATTACCATGGTCATCACAAGAGCTTTGGCAGGGCATACCCAAGCCCAGCAGTTTGATATGCTGTCCAAGAGAGCACAGCCGCTTTCTCAGCTGGCGTCCTCCCATTCCAAATACCACCCCGGTCGTACCGATCAGCAAGATACTGCAAGCAAGCCGTGCTTTCGAACACCGTAACTTCTTTCTCCGTGACATCACACCAGTCCTTCAAAGCCGGCACATACCGCTCCGGGTGCACTTCGTAGTACCATTGCGTCTTGGTGTCGATCACCGAGATAGTGTAGTCAGTCTTCAGCTCCTCCAAGAGGATAAGGGGTTTCATGTAGTTAATGTAACTCGTCTTGTCAGCTAGATGATTGTGTCAGCTCTGCGCAAATAGGCAATTTCCACTTGATGTTGATTATGTCTTGTGTCGGGACTTCGCGTACCCTTGATGATGTAGATAATGATCTTGCCGTCGTAAGGCACGTCCCCTTTGACTTCTTTGCTTGTTCTTGTTGGAGCCATGTGCGAGGTTCACATCTATTTTTCTTACATCACTTAAAAGCTTATTCGATAAAAGTAAAACTTCCTACAATCTTGCGAGACAAGAGTGCTTGGAGACTTATTCTCTCCCCCCTCGCGCCCCCGGAGTTCTTGCTCCTTATCGGTATCCGTCCGGGGACCGGGAAAAGATTAATCTCACAGCGGTCGGAGTTCAATCGCCTTCACCCACGCCCGCCGCAGTTCCAGAACCCGCTCCACATGCCATCCGCTCTTCTCTGCCAGCTCATACCACTGCTCCAAGGTCCTCTCCTGTCCGTGAGCCGTCATCATCATATTGATATCTCCATACTGGCTGAGTCGAGAAGAATGGCCGGGATCGAGAATTGATTCCAACACAACAAGCCTGCACCCGGGCTTCTTGATTATGTTCTTCCGAATAACCATGAGGATCGTCATCGCTTTGTTGTCGTTCCAGTCGTGTAGACACCATTTCATAGTGTAAAATACAGACGCCGGTACCGACTGGAAAAAGTCACCGCCGATCAGGTTGTCATCGCTGACGCGATGTCCGATGTCGGTGAACTCACCGTTCTCGTCGCGGAATTTCGGTCGCACGTGCTCTATCACGTGTGGGAGATCATATATACCTCCAGTGAGCGTCGGGAATCTTCTCAATAATCCAACGAGGAACGACCCTCCGCCGCCTCCGATATCAAATACATGCCCACCGTCGAAGTCGTGCCAGGGGTAGTCCTCCAAGATACCGGGCAACTGGGCCGTCGCGCCACCGCCTAGTGTCTGATGGAGTTGGGACATCCAGCCCCGTCGATTGAAGTACGCGAACATTTGCTCGTCGGTATCAAAGTTAACCTGTGCGGCGCTTCTCGAGGTATCAACTTTGATAGACTCGGGAATGCCGCGCGCGATGTCGTAGAACTGGTTCCCGTAGAGGCTGATCCAATTGTGCCATTGTGTCCAGTGCTTCGATCGTATCAGTGATGAAGCCGGGCTGTGCGAGTAGACGCCACCGGAATCTGATGAATGGGCGAAAATCCCCCGGCCTGCTAGTAACCCCAGGACCTGATTCAGTCTGTCAGGCTTGGTTTTTGTTGCTTTTGCCAGGTCGTCAATAGTCATGCGTCGATTTTCTAGGGCATCGGGTACGCCTGACTCAACTGCTGCAACTAGACATTTTGTTGTGACATACCCTGGCTAGCGTGAGTGACTGTTCGACCTCAGACGGTGGATTATAGGATGTACCGAGGAAATGGTCCGCGAGAATCAGAGCTGGCGGATCAAGCAACAGCTGGATCTGGTGGAGAGTATCAACAGATCTGGCGGCGAGCTGCATATCAGCTTGGTTTGGCAATTGAATGTCATCATGGAGACTCTTGGAGAGCTCTGGTCCTAGTCGCTGTAATTCAGCTAGACTATGTTCTAAGTTTCGGTAAAGCTCGGCGAGCACGCGTTGAATTTCGGACGAATTATCGTCGAGTTGGTGAAATATTTTGTCTGGCACCATGATGAAAGAGGCAGGTCCAATGAAAGGTTATAAGTGCGTTGCCTCAACAAAGATGGAACAGTCGAAAATCAGAGTACTTATGAAAGAAAGAAGAAAGAAGAGAGAAGAAACTCAAACATTTCGGTTGCCGAGTCTGCTTAGAATAGCAAGTTCAAAGCACCGGCAGAGTAAAACGATCAAATTGGCGTGCTATTGGTCACATGCATTTCGAAGCTGTCTAGATGCTAGTGGTTGGAGCCGTTTCTCCCCTCTCACCGGTTTCTTCAATGTGATCTGCATCTTTGTTCACTCATCTCTTTTCCTTCTCCTTAAAAGAACCGTCTGTGACATATTGGGAACGAATTGCCCTTCGATGTTGACCCTTGGTGGGCTAATGTCTACATCCCTATCCCACATGACTTCATAGTGTAGAATGAGATTAGAAATTACGAGCTTGACCATCCTCACAGCAAAGAAACGTCCCGGACAGACATGATTACCGTAACCCCAACTGTCAAAGTAGACTTTCAGCTATTTATGTCGGAAAGCTCTTCCCCCGGGGTAGATACTCACGCTAGATTTGAGAAGTCGACAGAGGACGCACCCCATCGCTTCTGATCAGGACTCGCGGTTCCCGATGGTTCTGAAGTTTTGAGGGTGAGGAATCGACGCCCATCGAAGGTTTTCGGATCTGCAAGCTCCGTACAGGAGCCCTGGATCGCCTTGGCTGGAAACCCGAATCGAGTCCCGACTGGCAGAGTCAGGCCATCCGAGAACTGGAATGGCTGCTCGAGAACCGTTCGTGCGGCAGTCACTATGCTTTGAATCAGGTTTTTTGAGTGATGGTATTTTGATTATGTTCACAAAACCCACCCGAACCTGTAGGGAGAAGCCGATTCGTTTCACGAATGAAACTGTCTAGCAACGAAAGAGCATTGATCATCCCCTCAGACCACCCGTGCTCTGCATGGCTGTTCTCTATCTCTTCTTTAATTGCCACAAAGTTCTCTTGGTGGATGAGGAGCTGATACAATACTTCTGTGATCATACCGCCAGGAGCGGCACTCCCAGCCCATAGGTTATGGAGCAACTCGTGCGCAAACCTACGGTGATTAACGCTGCGCAACGTCTCTGGGATGAGGTCCAGAGTCCATTGAATCGCGTCAACTTGAGATCCTGTACTGGTCCTTTGAACTTCCTCGATACGCGACTCGATGACCGGCAACAGCATGTTCGTGCATTGCCACAGTCGCCATTGATGAAACAGACTGATCGGATGAGCGAAAAAGCTTCGGCAACGTCCTAATGGCAACTTGGCCGTGACGAGGGCTGTGACAAACAGCGATTGAAGCATGCTCATAGATCGCTTGATGAACAGTTCGTCCCGACATAACTCCTTTCCGATGAGAAAGCGCGCCGCTATTCTGTGAGCTATTTCGGAGAATAAAGGCATAGCTGTGACCTCTTGCCACTCTGAGTGTGACTCAAGGATGCTCTCAAATGCAAAGTCTATCTCTTCTACAACCACGGGCGTGATCTGCGCTGTGCGCACTGTATCAGACTCGGATCAAGCAAGGACGACGTTCGCGCAATATGATCTTCAGCACTTACCTAGACGTGGGTTCAGTCCCTTTTGAACTATAGCTGGCATATTCTGCGCATTAAGAGCGTAATATAAGTCGCCCACACTACAGTGCAAGTGGAATGCCTATCCAAGTTAACATTGCACCTAGGCATTTGGCAAGAAAACACGTACATCGCTGATATTCTGATAAAAGCTAAGCCGGGTCCATCCACCAGATTTAATGTCTCTGAGATACTTCGAAGGGAGTATCAGGTAGTCTTTGGCCCACCATGTGACGACAAAAGGCTCTTGACCGTTGACCTATGCATGGTGAGCCGTCAAGACGTGGAACGAACGAGACTTTCTCGGCTGACCTCATGATATGCGTCTTCGATGACCTTGTGAATCGGTTTATTACTATTCCATGTAGATCTAAACCTTTTGAACTGGGCGTATACTGGCTCCGTGTTTGGCGTCAAAAAGAATATAATGAGCAAGATAGTGATCACCAAGATTGATTCCGGCAACAACTCTGTCTGAATCATGAAGATTGACATTTGGTCAGCTTTGTGGAGTCTGAATCGCCAATGTGTGTTTCAAATATCCTGAAACTAGCAGTCATTGAATGTCACCACAAACTGGTTATACACCGAAATATAGACCAGCAATCCAGGAGGATACTGCTGGAAGATTGGTGGTAGCTAAATCCCCGTTCGGATGCCGAAGGGGAGTTCAAAGGCAATTGGTTGTATGGAATAACAAAACATGTGATCGACTGACTACGACTACAAGAGGATTTCCCCCAATCTTCCAGTGATTTGTGCTGTTCCAACTGAAATCCAATATGGACACCAGAGGCGCCTATCATGCGAGCGTTGCAAACGACACTCTCCATGCTCCAAATGCATCAATCATTCCCCACCTCTTACTGTGCTTTGCTCAGATCTTTGCGCTCGCCTCACCCCCTCACCAGAGTCTTCGTATCGGCTTCATTACCGTCATTTCCGTCTTGGCCATATACTGCAACATGCACCCGCACTTTACAAACAACCTTGATCTTGCACAGCCCTTCTCTTTAGCCTGGTCCTTTTACCTCCCCACGATAGCAAAACTATGTATCTCAGAAAATAAGATCACAGAGGCGCGATTCTGGAGAGTCGATCGCGACCCTGCTGAGGCGATGAGATATGCACCTTTCAGGGCGAAGAAGATATGGTGGGCGCTGGCCCTCATGTTTAACCAGCGAGGTATCCGCTGGAGCCACCAGGTTAAGAACGTGCCGCAGCAACCCATCGTCAGCCACTCACGCTTCTTAATGACGCAGGTTCTGAGATTCTGCTGGTTTCTGTGCTGTGCGGACCTTTGCTATGAGATACATCAGAGAGTGAACTTAACCAGTCCGGACGGGACCGTGGGCAACCTTAATAGCAAATATCTCAGTGTTTACCATTCGAACTGGTCTTGGAGCCTACTAAAGACATTCTCCATTGGCATGTTGCCCTATTTCATGTTGAGTATGCAATATGCTCTTGGGGGCTTCCTTGCTGTCCTCTTTAACTTCAGCATTCCGCAGGTGAGACCCTTTCATGCTTGCTTGTTTGCTTTGATACAGGCTAATACTTTGAAGGACTGGCCACCGAGTTTTGGAAGTTTCAATGATCTGCGAACGGTGCGCCTGTTCTGGGGCTCATTTTGGCATCAACAACTTCGGTTTGTCAGTGCAGACATCACCTCATTCTCCGTCAATTGCAACACTAGGAATTGGTGTGGTCGACTAACTGAGCGCGCTGTAAAAGCTTTTCACATCATACTCGGACGCAATTGCGAGTTTCCTGCACATATCGCGCGGCAGCAATCTGTCATCCTACACCAAGCTCTACATTGCTTTTTCCATCTCAGGTACCTTTCACGCTCTTGGGCTTCTCTATTTACCGCGCCCGTCAAACATCGACGCCTGGCGATGTTCCTTTACCCTTTTCAAATTCTTCATTCTCCAATCGGCGGCGATAACTCTTGAGGATTTTATCATCTGGTGTGGGCGCCGCGTCATTAAAGGTAATCTCCACGGATCGGTTCGAATGATAGGTTATGTGTGGGTATTCTGCTTCATGTGGTGGAGTTTACAGCTTGTAGGTGACTCGGTGCTTGAGCTGCGTGTAGGCGAGGGAGCCTTCTCGCCTTTCCCGCTCATGCGCCCCTTTGTGAGGGCGTATGTTCGCGTCCCGTTATAGTAGCTTTGTACATAGATTATAAATTGATAATGATGGAACTAGAATCATTCTAACATTGGTATTTAGATAAATAACCGGACCCGTGAGCGTATGGTACTTCAAAACTTTAGCGTCAAACAATGACTCATCTGCCTCTGAACGGAGTTGTTCATCCATCGCTCGCCACGGTTAGTTTTCTAGTGCCAGTGAACGTTGTCATAGCAAAGAACGGTTTTACAACATCTTCTAGAGGCTGTTCATGCTGCTTCGAGTGTGCGACAAGCTCGACAGCTTTGAAGACACGAAGGAAATTGTGTCCCATGATGCCGAGGACCTCCGCATCCCCTAAACCTCGACGTTGAAGTTCCGCAACGAGTTCGGGATACTTCGAGACATCCTCTAGTCCGGATGGTCCCGACTCCATGCCGTCAAAGTCGGAGCCGATTCCAACATGCTCATACCCAATCTTCTCCCCAATGTACTGTATGTGATCCACCACTTGTCCCAACGATGCTTTGGAGCTGTCATTTCCAAGAAATTGAGGATAGAAAGTAACCATGATGACCCCATGGTTATTCTTGAGTGATTCAAGGACATCATCTGGTACGTTTCTGGTATGGTTGTATAAGTGGTACGAATTCGAGTGCGAGAATATAACAGGCGCCACAGAGATCCTCAGCACATCTCGCTGAGTATCGAAGCTGGTGTGTGAAAGGTCTGCAATCATGCCTAACCGATTCATCTCGGCAACCATGGCCTTCCCTGCTTCAGAGAGTCCGCCGTGTAATGGCTGAGCAGGCTCTTCGCTGTCAGCGTAACTGTTGTGGCAGGTGTGCGTGAGCGAGGCATATCGCACGCCCAGAGCGTGGTATATGCGGAGTATACTAGCGCTATTGCCGATTTGGTGCAATCCCTCGACTCCCATCAGCGATGAGATTCTGGAGGTCTTGTGTGCTCTGAAGATTTTCTCGACATCTGCGGCACTGTAAGCGTGTTCCAGATAGTCAGGGTATTCCTTAATCAGACGGTAGACGAGGTCAATTTGCTGCATTGTGTCATGAATTGTTTCATAATACACTTCATCAGAGGTACTATTCTCGTCTCCAGGACTATTAAACGGTCAGGGCACGGCACTATCGAGCGATAATGAGCGAGGTATGGGTTGATGGACGACAATACCATTCAACGTAGACACTCCATAACGCGGTTCCCAACTTGCCCTCCTTGAGCCTCGGGAAATCAACTTGACCAAAAAGAGGTTGGCCATTTGTGAAGTTGTTCTGGTATATGCGGTTTTGATAAAAGGCTCTGATCCATATTGGAAAATCAATATGTCCGTCTGGCGCTATGCGTCAGCGTTTGGATAATACAGATGAGTCCCTACTAGAGAATCGAGGGGGGAATAACTTACCAGTAAAGGGTACTAGTTGGAAAAGGACATTCTTGTCGGCGGGTTTCATCATCCATGTCACCACAATAGGCTTGACCATGAGAACGAATACCAGGCTCAGAATGACGACTATTTCTAGGTAAGGGTAAGCTCGTCTCATTGGCTTCAGCGCTGGTACATCTCGACACTTTTCATTGCTTGTCATCATGTTGCGGTTTTAGTATGGTAAAAGATAATATCCTCTCAAGAAAAACCGAAATGTAGGAAGAACGAATGCGTGGCACTGATGAGGATATAGTAGGCATAGCATAACCCTGGCCAAGTAGGGGGTCATCAGGCCGATATCGGGTACGGAGAAGTGGTTCAAGCATCACGACTATCTACATCTCTACTTCTTAGCTAGAACTACTAGCCTCATGCTTGACTGTCGAACAAGACTCGTAAAATTTCTGTGGTATGAGTGCGAAATGTTGTGTATCCGATTAATATCTAGTGTATAGCCGCCCCATTCTTTACGTATGTATGCCTATGCGAGTTTTATTACAACTCCCCTATCAGGGCAGCTTGCGGTGAGGGCTCTTGCGCGAAATAAAGGGGAAACTTGTGATGATGGGGAACGGGCGAGACGGGTTTGTGATATCTCATAGCAAAGGTCTGCGCAGCACAGAAACCAGCAGAAACTTAAAACCTGAAGGACAGGCCCCCTCCATTCCCTTGCCAACGGGTCTTGGCGTGGATACCAGGATGAAGGGGTGGTCCTCCATAATTCGTATATGGGAGGGCGTGAAAGGAGGGTTCAACGCAGGTGCGTGGCCATCGAAAAGCTATTTCTTTTTTCTCGCAAAATGAAGACTTGCGCACCTGCGGCGGGGCCTGTCTTGACACGGAGAGCGGGCCTGACCCCCGCGCCGATTAGACACGTAAGGAGCATGGGATCTGAGGGCATGACTTCATCTCCGGTTGCCGAGGGGCACTTCGTGACCGGATGCCGGGCAACAGCATGGCTATTTCCGGGCAAGCAAAGTCGTGGTTACCGATAAGTGCCGTCGCATCATAAATCACATGTCACTCCCTCACCTGCAAAGACACAACAGCTGTTCTCCGATGCAAGTAAGGCAAGGCATGTCCGCGCAACTAAAGTAACCGCGCTTCGATTGTCTAGCTACCTTATATTCTGATCGGATTGGCTTATAGTCGAGGTATCTATACTAGTTTTAGCCATAAGCATTGGACCTTGGTACAACGCAAAGTAAATTGAATCCCGAGTGGCCAATAGCTCTTGTCAATCAACCCCAACCCCCCTTCAAACGTAAGATCCAGGACTCAGTAAGCCCATATTAAAAGATACATGGTTGGCACGCATCCTCGGCCTGAATCTGTGCGCAAACTGCCGCTGCAGCCACCGAGCCAGTGAAGAGGGACTGCGGAATGGTCTTGATTCCCGAAGCCGCATCACCGCAAGCGAAAACGCCCTTCCGCGACGTCTCAAGGAACATGGGCTTGAGTACGGGATCCAACATAGCATTCATTTCCAGCCCGAGCTGGTCATATAGCTTCCCCTTGGGTTCCGTGGGCGGTTTGTGGCCCATGAACCCCTCCGTCACACTTTCCCCTCCTTCGAAGTGGACGATGATGTCGGCGAAACCGGAGCCCTTCTCCAAGCGCTCGATCCTCCGATTGTCTACTTTGAAGAGCTGGTTTTCTCCTTGTGCTTTCACAATTGCGTCGCCTAACTCCCCAGACCCATGGGTGTAGACATTGACGTCTTGGGCGAATCGGCTTACTGTGCGGGCTGCATGAAGAACTGCAGGGACTTTCGCGATATCGGGAAGGGCTAGGATTCCTGCAGACTTAGCTCCCCGAGCTTCGTAGCCCTTGCAAAAGAAGCAGTGGTAACTGTAGCGTAGTGTAGCATTGTGAGCAACTAGCTGGATCGTAGAAGCTTTTTCCACTGTACTCACATGCCCTTCGCCCAACACTCCGCGTAACCCGTAATTTCCGGGAAGACGTCGCGGACTCCGACCGCGAGAATCACTTTCCTTCCGGTCCATGATCTGCCGTCCGCGGCGGACACGACGAACTCCTGCTGCGAGTTTTCCTTGGTCGCCTCCTTGATGGTATCGACCTCCGCTTTCTCGAACTGAATCGTCGTATATGTGGCGAGAATGTTGTCTTTGGCCGCTGCGCGGAACGTCTCCGTTTCTTGGTTGTCCCATGTTAGAACATTGTGCATGTAGGGACTCGGTGCATTGCGGTACTCCTCAGAGTCTAGGACCATCGCCGTGTGCTGCTGTCGCGCTAGCGTGAGGGCGGCAGCCAGCCCCGAGATGCCTCCGCCGATTATCAGGGCGTCGACCACGTGGGATTGTGACTGGTTGTTTGATTCCATGGCTGCTCTGGCTCGGTTATTGGTACCGTAATTGTCTACGTAGGAGATAGCAGCCACACCTCTTGATAACTAGCTACACTCATAAGTACTCGGACACGTCTGATTAGCTGTAGCTTGTGAAGAAATTCCTGAGAAGTCCGAGCAGGCCGGATCCCGACGGGACTTGAACATACGATGCGATCAAGATGCCTATTGGATATCGTGACCATTCGAGGGCCTACACATTTTTAGGTATCATTTCCCCTGTGTAGCATTCGATGACTTGTGCACGCCCTAGTATATATGTCTGACACTTATGAGGCCTTAATCATCGGTCACAGCTCGGGGGGCATCGCCGCCGCCTGCCCACTCTACTGCAATCTTCACACCTGTCCCGTCTTCAAGGCTAGCAAGTCATGGGCATGGCCTCGGATAGGATAGGTATCAGGAATTACATAGAGAACTGAGGGCCTCGAACTTTCAGAGATAGCTTAACAGCTGATCTAGAAAATTCGGTCTTGGTCAATTTTGCGCTGAGAGGTTGGGCGCCTTGACGTGGATGGCCCAGATACGCATTTCAAGAGCAACATGTAGCGTATTCAAGAAGTGCACAATCCATCGCTGTATACTCTCCTTCTCATATGACCATTCTACCAGATGAGTCATTAGTAGTACAACTTCGGCTAGCAATAGCCAGGCTCACTCGCCCACAAAATGCATTTACCAACGGCTGTAATCCATTGTAAGATTATTTATAACAGCGTAATGTCACGGAATGACATAAGGAGTGCAGTACTATGCCACTACGCCACCAAAAGGTAACGACGAGTTATCAAGTCGAAGGCTTGACGTCTTTGCACTCACTATATAGTACTGTACTGTAACAGTACCCCTTACTTTAAATGCAATCGACCCTGATTGCATATAAAGAAGTGCATATCCAAAGGCAATGCATATAGTTAATACTTGAAAACCCCCGCAGTGGTTTTCCAATTACGTAAACGAGCTAAGTTCTCCACCTTCGAAGACTGCGCCAAGGGTTATTCATACGAGGGGTCACCAATCCCTCCATAAATAGAATATGGCTACCCAGTCGTGGAATCGAACACATAACCGTATGACTTGATAAACTGTCACGGAATGACATAAGGAGTGCAGTACTATGCCACTACGCCACCAAAAGGTAACGACGAGTTATTAAGTTGAAGGCTTGACGTCTCTGCACTCACTATATAGTACTGTACTGTGACACGTAATACACTACCTAAGCTAAAGGCAACAAACGAGGAGCATGCTCTGTCTAGCACCCGTGTAGGATAGGCCAAGCATCCAGGTATAGCATTAAATTCCTAGCTAACAGAAGGTTATCAATCCATCAATCAATTTGGAAGCGACTAAAAGTAGCTTGCTCATGCAATTCAGCAAGACTTCCAAGTAGATTAGGATTGCTCTGCGAATATTTCCGACTACATCGGCAACTAAGTTTAGGTCTGGTGGACCCGCCACCGACAGTGAACACGTCGACGTTTTAAATATGGAGACCTCGAACTAAGAGGTATTTCAACGTCTGGGTCAGGAAAAGAAAGCAGTATCTCGGTGAGGCATAGTGGGGAGTGAATAGATGTCAGAAGAAAAAGTGAACCTACCTGTCATCAGTGTGACCGCTCCCCGGTACAGACACTACTTAGGTGACACTTGTGATCGGATCATTGCGGGCGTTTGCCGGCCACCGAGAGCTCAACGTGCTCTCTTCCCATATGCGCCAGGATTTAAGCGCTTAAGCTTATTAAACATCAACCGTGCGTAGCCAGATGTACTAAGTCACCAGAACAAGAGCAGCACAGTACATCTAGGAGCCTGAGCAGAAATATTGGACACTTGTGTTGAGAATCACACTTGAACTACCGCGCTATCGACGACAAGTTCTTGCAACCCATCCGCTTAGTCTAACCTCAAGATGGTAGGACTCACCTTGACCACACGGATCATAGTTATATCCTCATTGTTCTTGCTGATCTCTTACGTCTTGGTTCCGGAGATTTTGAGCAGCATCCTTGACTTTGAACTTGAACAGTTTGATTCCAGGAATGTGAGCTCCGTAACGGACGTGCTAATCATTGGTGGCTCGCATGCCGGCCTCTCTGCCGCCCTAACACTCGCGCGCCACCAAATAGACACTATAATATTCGACGCAGGCGAGCCTCGCAATCAGTGGAACACGCCAATACACGTGTTGCCGGCATGGGAAAATCGCGACCCAGAGCACCTTAGGAAGGTTAGTCAGGCGGAGCTCCGGAAGTCGGGGATGGCACAATTTGTCCGCACCAAGATCAGTACTATTGCTCGATCGGGAGGGAATCAAAGTTACTTTACCGTGGGCAACGCCCAGGGGAAGACATGGACCGGTAAGAAATTGCTCCTGGCTACGGGGGTTCAATTTGCGTACCCTGATATCCCTGGATACCAGGAGAATTTCCCAGAACTCATGTACGTGTCTCCTGAAATGCCCCTCGTGCCCTTGGCTCTCATCGCCTGGTTTGATAACACTAATGGAGTGATTCCATAAAGCCTGCACTGCTTGTTCACTCGCGCCCTCGAATTCAAGGGCAGCCGCTCGGCGGGACTCCTTGCTACAGGGCTCACGGGGTCGCCGTTTCACGCTGCGATGCTAGTGCAAGACGCACTGAAGTTCGCCAAAACGGTGACCGTCTACACAAACGGCAATACAACGCTGGCGGACGAAGTGCAGAACCTTCTCCGGGAAAGGGGCGAGGATGGAGTCCAGATTGACAAAAGAAATATCACACAGTTAACAAAGAAACCTGGAAATGTGGGGATCCAGATCCAGCTGGATGGGTCGGAAATGGTGGTAGAAGACTTCCTCGTCCACCAGCCTGATACACATGCCGATTGGGATATTGTCGCCCAATTGAGTTTGAACACGGACGAACGCGGTGACATCGCGTCCAAGATGCCTTTCTACCATACCAATGTGCCTGGAGTCTTTGCTGCTGGTGACGTTGCCAGCCCTTTCAAAATAATCCCGAACGCCCTTTTCCAGGGTTCAAATGCGGGAGCCGGCATTGCGCGGGAGCTACCTCGGAGGGTTACCGGGCATCCAGTAAACCGTCCAATTAGACAAAAGATATGGCATCTTGAAGCTTGGAGTGATATTCTTAGCGTTTTAATGAACTATCGAGTTTAATTGAAAAGGGGGATTGTCAAAGGATACATTTCAAATAGTTGAATATAATTCCCTACTCTATTGCTATTATCACCACTCGCGCATTCTCCAAAGAGACGGTATATTGTCCGTTTTGTATATGGACTTATTTCAAGTATAGTAGCTCACAATCCGCGGTGGGTGTCCAAATCCCCCCCCTCCTCGGCCAATCGGCAGTCCCCGGAACCCCTTGCGTCTTAAAATCCCTACTTGGAATGAATACAGCGAAAGGTAGTAAATCGGAAACCGGCGACCTATAATAGATTCTTTGAACCGGTTCTTTCTTTCTTTCTTTTTTTTTTTTTTTTTTTTTTTTTCTTGTTTTACGTTTATAGCTAACCTCACATCATAGAAGCTGACATTATCCTCATCTCCCCCCAGTGTTGCATCTTAGAGACATGCTTTTACTTTACTTACTCGCTGCTCTGGTCGTAAGTGGAACGTGGCTGTGGCAATGGAGAGCAGTACCGAGCAACCACTTGGGCTTCCCCAGAGTACAGCGCGAGCCGCGGAGTTCTCACCCTGTTTCCAGTGCCGTACTCAAGGGCTATACTCAGGTTAGCACTTGGTTCCCATAATGCTTGCAACATGCCGATAGCAGACAACTTACTTACTAAGCGCGATAGATCTCACGAGTGTCCGGTCGACCGTTTTGGTTACGGTATTGGCAGCGAGACTATCTGGTGCTACCGGCCAAGTACCTCCCCGACATCCGCCGTGCCAATCGAGAGCACCTCTCGTTTTTCGACAGCATCAAAGATACGCTGTTTCAATACAATTGGCTAAGTGACTTGTTCAAGTTACGTCGTATGACTTTCGCTGTCATTAGGGGCGTGAATTCTCAGCTACGCAAGTACAACACATCACAGCTACATGCGCTGTTCACCAAACTAACTTAGCGAAATAGCCAAACTAGCGCCCATCATGTTTGAGGAGTCTCAATTGGCCTTTGATGAGATTGTTGGGCTCAAAGAAGGCGAAACTGGTTCGTTCGAAGCGATGAATATGATGACGGATATATGTTTACAAACCATGGTCCGGGTCGTCGCCGGCAAGGAATTGTCTCGAAACAGGCGCTTCCTGAATGCAGCTCGAGCGTACTTCGACGGCAACTTCTTAACTGGGATAATCATGCTGAATTTACCGTTCCGCGGCCAGCTGCGAGATACCATCGCATGGCCTCTCTATAAGTATCATCAACACTTCCGACAGCGGCCACTGATCGAGATGATCGAGCCTGTCGTCGCTAAACGGATAGAGGATCATAAGATGGGCCAACGAGATAAGGAAGAAAAGGATGCGATTCAGTGCACTTTGGATATTCTTCATGACTTCCCCTTTGATGAACACTCACGAGTTACACCTTCACACGCCTTGTCCCATGAAACCCTTCAGCTCATTTGGGCTAGTGGTCAGTCGCCAGCCCTCAGTATCACCACAATCTTGTTCAAGCTTCTCGAAGAACCCGATTATATTGAACCACTTCGAGAAGAGGCCAAGGCTGCCATTGACCACCACGGCTGGACCGATTCTATCTTTCAAGACCTCCACAAGATGGACAGCTTTATTCGGGAAACGCACCGATTATACAGCACGTTCTCAAGTAAGCTGAACACTCTTCAAACTCCCATTGACATGTAGAGAGAACTAAGGCATACGTAGTCAACGCTACAAGGGCCGTGATAGGCCAGCCCTTCACGTTTTCCGACGGGCTGACCATCCCCGTTGGCGTTCGCATTGGGTTCGCCGCGGAAGGTTGCCAGCGAGATCCCGAGTTCATCGCGGACCCCGAGCCCTTTGATGGGTTCCGTTTCGTCAAGCTTATCGCCGCAGATGCTAAGCAAGAAGACAGAGTGGGCAGGTGGGCCGCGTCGCACCCCAGCTACAGTAACCTTATGTACGTCTAGATTAACCCCTGGGATTCCACCGAGTACATCTCGTTCTTAACCTAAAAACTAGCTTCGGTTACGGCAACCATGCGTGTCCGGGACGATTCATTTCGATTCGATTAATCAAGATACTGATGTGCAGAATCCTTCTGTACTTTGAGATGTCGTGGGATAGAAGAACCTTGGAGCCCCCACGCCTCTCGTTCGAGGGACTGTCGTTTCCGGATGTGAAACAGAAAATTATTTTGAAGAGGAGACTAGCTGTAGCCTAGTTGAAGTTTGCTGTTTACTTTCTGCTAAAGGGCTTTGAAGATCGCTGCCAAAACGGCGTCTCAACCACAACTATGGTCATAGCGGGCAGATCCTTTCGGCTCCCGACCCCTTGGTTCGTTGAAGCTCTCGCCCAAGGTTGATCATCGGAAACAGATTCGTATTTTGGGGTATTCTCATTCTCATGTTCCCGGATCACTTGGGTCACCCAACGAAAAATAGCCACTTGTTTAGGCCACTTGGTATCATTGACAGCGTAGTCTTGCTTAGGTAGGTACCTAGCTTTCACCACTCTACCCTCGTTTTCGCTTGTGACTCTCCCGTTGTCAGTGGGGCACTGGGCCGTTGGCGCCCATCAGGTACCTACCGATTAACACAAATAGCGTCGGTTATTGAGTTTTTATGTGTGTGTTTGTGTGTGTGTGTGTATAGGTCATGTTATATCCAAGTCAATGTGATTTGCGAGCCATTAGAAAGATGTGTTGTTGCGCACTTCGACTCACCGAGGCTCCAAGTAATAGAGTGAGCACTGAGCAGGCTTGGCGAGAATGCCTTTTTGGCTGGCTAGACATTTCGACTAACCCGATGAAGATATGCCCAGAGCCTACTTACTAAGTAGTATCTTTCCGTGCCGACAGTAATAGTGGCATCAACTATCGTCACATCGCATGGCCTTGGTTGGAAATAGACATGTCGCATTTTCGCTGAGCTGCTGGCTGAGGAATTGCATAGTAGCATTGCATTGTTGAAATGAGGTCAGGTTATGAGGGACAGCATGGTATTGTGTTGTATTCACTTACCTATCTGAAAAGGTGAGCTTGAAGGATAGTATTTTGGTCCTCTTAACCACTTGACAGAAGCTCCCCCGGAACATGAGTTGGGTTTAGTCCAGTGTGGCTTGAACATTAGCGTACACACCACACTACAGCCAATATACAGTTGCTGCAGGCAGGCGTATACCAATATGTATGCATTTTTGTGTAGAGATTTTTGTCCGATATATCCCATTGGCCAGAAATCCGGCGTTCTTCTATTGCGCTGGTCCATTGACTGCCGATGACATGATTCAGTTCGGTCGGATCACCGAACATCGATCTGCCTGCCGACTTAGGCGTGGCTTATGACTTCTTTTCTGCTACAAACCAACAACACCACCGGCCCAGTCTTGGGGCCAGATGTGAGTGGGACACCACAGACACCTGCATATGCATGTGAAGAGGGACTCGAGAAGAAAGAGATCACGTGACCATAGGCTCACGATGCAAGAAGTGAGCCTCGTGGATCGCTGACGGTGAGCCGCGAGTCTCACGGATCATGAGGGTGATCCATGAAGATACTGAGGGAAGGAATCAAGTATATAGTCATGGGCATTTCCTCTGTATCTAGTCATTCCTTCACTCAGTTATCAATCTAAGCATTCCAACACCTCTTGGAATAGGAAGTATTTCCTGACGACTTAGTTCATTTTCTACTTAACTGAATATTGTTCACTTACCTTGCGTAAAAGGTGAGACCCCCAGTGTTGGCTTATTGACCTTACCTTAGGAACGTAAACCCATTAGGTACGGCTTGCCACTTTGGTAAAAGACCGAATCGTCATATTTTTTGTCACTACCACGAGCCTCCATGTCACTTGATGACAACTATATGAGACATGAGTGTGGCATTGATACATGCGTGACATACTGTTATAGACTAAAACGTAAGAGTCCGATAGGATGTTTTGTCACTCCTCCTTTTCTTTGTAGTGTCAACTACTTAAGTACCGTTGAAACCCGTTATGATGCACAGCCTACAGGTATGGAGGTCTAGTACACGTGGTGTCTAGGTTTGGAAACTCCCAGATTGACGCAGGTGACAAAGTTCAAGTCATGACCTACTCAAACTACTGTTTATACTGGATGACTATAGCAGTAAAGTCAACCTATTTTGATAGCAATTGTTGGAATATGGGGCTGGGATACACTCTGACTATAAGTAACCAGTCTCCCCCAATGACCTTAGGTCTGGAACTTAACCTTCTAATCATCCTAAAATACAATTTACTTGCCTATTACATGTATATATCCTACTCCTTCCGATATGAATAATACAAGGATTAATACCGATGAACATTCTGAATACATAAACGCCCAACCATGACCCAATCGTGATAAGTAGTACCTGATTAGGTATCTGATGCATTCGCGGGCTCTTGGCAGACCTTGGCCACCTGTTTTAAAACTTGACCTCAACCTCAAATGCTCCAAATGGTGGAATGAGTAGCTGTGACGGAGTAGCGCGAGGCTATTCCTGAAGGCTACGAAGGTCAAGGGTGAGATGGAAGCCTAGGCCGGAATATCTCCGGAGCAGTCGGAAGTGTGCTCCGCAGGCTTACTAAGCAGCATATACTGATATATATAGAAAATACGGGGTAATAGCCGTACGACTAGTTTTCGAAATAGAACAGAATAGACGATTATTTGGAGCCGAAATCTGTAAGGTTAACCGTCACAGTAGCGTAATCATGAAGTTATTGCACACGTTTGCTGGTCGCTGGCCGCTCTTCAAGGAGATGTTTCCTTCTCATTGGATAACTTTTTTGGTTCGAGTCCAAACTCAGTATCCAGATGCTCTCGCAGTTTAATATGTTTCTCAAGGAATACCAAGAGAAATCCGAAGAGACTAAACGCAAGCGCAGTGTACCATATTCTCTTCATGGCGATACCAAAGAGATTCAAGACCTCTGCTTTGGCAGTGCCAGATAGTCCTCGAAACCAATCACTGTTGGCCATGTTAAACGCTTTCCCACCCACCAAAACAGCCCGCACAGAAGGGATGGTGATGACACGATCGAGGTTGACTTCCACTTGGTTATTGAAGATCAAGGATGGAACTGTGAAGGCCCATACAAATCCAACCGAGCGGAAAAAAGCATGAAGGCCAGTGGCAGTTGCAACTTGATCTTCCGGAAGAGAATTCTGGATTGCAGGGAGAATGACGGTGATCAAGGATCCAAGACCGTAAGATGCAAAGAGCTGCCAAAACACCCATTCAACCTTTGAGGTCTCGGGGTTCATGGTAGAGAATAGACCAAAGGCCAAGGCGGCTATGCCGAATCCAACCCAATGAAGTGGCTTATAACGACCGAACTTGGTCAGTAAAAAGCCATTGAGACCTGCGACTGGGACAAGGAAGATGCTGAAGGGCAGAACTTCAACCCCGGATTGCAATTCAGTAGACCCTTTCATGGTCTGGAAGTAGTAAGGTAAAAAGTAGACCACCCAGTCGAGGAGCAAGCATGAGAGGAAGATGATGACAAATCCTGTGGCCGCGGTCCGGTTGGAGAACAGTGTTGGAGACACAGTGGGTTCTTTGCAGTAGGGCGAGAATTCGAAGACGATAAATATGGCAAACCCTATGCCGCCGAGGACGATAGGGACAATGACGCGCCAGGATGACCATGGGTAAACTTGACCGCCCTCGATCAATCCCAGAAGCAAAGAAGTAGTGGCCGCAATGAAGATTGCATTTCCCACGAAGTCGATGCGAAGTAATTTGGCTCGCCAAGTGGTTTGAGGAGTTTTCAGGCGAAGGAAAAAGACGCTCAGAACCAGTGCGAAGCCCCCGAAGGGAACACTGAGGTAGAATACCCAGCGCCATGTGGTTTGTAAGACCACGGCGCCTCCCACAATTGGGCCTAGGGTTACCCCTAGACTACAGAAAGCCAGCACGAGACCGAAGTATTGCGCCCGTATACGGAGAGGAAATAGATCGGCGGTAATCACTTCAAGTAGCATCATAACCCCCCCAGAGCCGGCTCCCTGAATCGAACGGCCAGCGATGAGCATGCCTATTGAGGTCGAACCACCGCACACGCCACTCCCAAGCGTAAAAAGGGCTAGAGATGCGAGCATAGGAGTTCGTCTTCCCAGAACGTTCGCAGCTTGACCGAACAAGGGCTGTACAGCTGCCGCGGCAATGTTGAAGGATGCCGTAATCCAGATGAAGTCATACTGGGCATTCAGCTCGCGGGAAATCAACGGAAGGACAGTGGAGAGGATGGTAACGTTGAGATTGACGCAGAACGCCGCCAGGCAAAGGGCAATGAAGACGACCCATGTGCGTGGATCGATCGTTGGCGATTCGGGTTCTGCTTGAGTTTCACTCTGGCGTATCTCAATAGGCTCTTGTGCCGTATCCGTCTTTACCGTGTCACCATTGTCAATATTTATATCTGTCTGAGACATGACGTCTGATCAGGTCAAGGGAGGTGGACGGGGTGGGATGATGTAGGGCGGTGTGGTAGGTGGCGCGTTGTCGAGCGAAACGATCGAAGCAAGGCGTGTCGAGTGAGCACAAGAAGGGGAAGGAAGCTGAAGCAGGGATCAACGCGAAGACGTAAACTTGTCAATGCGTTAGTGTCCATCAGTGTCCAAACAGACTTGGTACCCGACTAAATTGTGTTGGTGATAAAAGTCTTCATGAGAATGGCTGCCAGCTCTCAGGATGCGAATGAAACGAAGACGATGCTAGGAAGACTAGAAAAGATGAAGACCTACAAGTGGGATCAAGATTTGCAAAAGTCCCACCGAATAAGGACGGCTGCATGGCGTCAGGTGCCGAGAGCAATAATCTAGCCAATGTTATCAGGGTTCAAACGCAATGGAAACGGCTGTTGTTGTTGTTGTTGTTGTTGTAGTTTTTAACGTCGTAAGGGGCAGTCTATCCGCCGCAACTCTGACCTCCCTTGGGGTACTAGGACGTGGTGAACTATAGCTAGGTTAGTTACATAAGGTTATTCCTATAAAGTTTCCATTAAGTCTCCCTTTTCCAATCTTCCCTTTCTATATCCCTTCTATTATAACTAAATTACTAGATCATGCCTTCTATAGGCTTAACATTTTATTACTTATAGTTACTACAGTTTAATCCGTTAAGTTAAAGGCTATTTATCCCTTTATCTTTTATTGCTATATTTAATATAGTATTTTTTATTAATTTAAGCTTTTACCTTTACTTTATTATTTATTAATTATTAATAATTGTTTTCGGTAGCTATTTTTATAGCTTATTTTTATTATTTTATTATTTTTTATTATTTTTATATTTTTCTATTTATTATAATTTAAAAAAGTTATTATATTTAAAAAACTTAAGGGAGCATTACTTTTAATTCCTTTTTACTTTTCCCTTCCTTTTTTATCTTTATTTCCTTTATCTTTTTTAAATCCTTTATTATATAGTACTACTTTCCTTTTAATTAAAAGAATAAATAAATCTTTTTTTAATAATTAATTATTTAATAAAACTTTAAAAATTCTTAAGGGTATTAAATTAATTAAGTTTAATATTTATATTAATTTTTAAAAAATATTATATTAAAGTTATATAGTTTTATTAGTTAGCTATTTATTAATTATAATTTACTATTATCTTTTAGCTTTAATTTTAATAATTAAAGCTATTTATTTTTATAAGCTTTTATAATTTTATAATATATTATATATTTTAATCCCTTTTTAATTATACCCTTAATATATAAAGTATATATATAATATATTTCTATATTATAATATTTAAATTTTTTATAGTATTATAAATAATCTTTATATATAAAGGTTATATTTAAATATTAATTTAACGCTTTTTTTAATAGGTTTAATACCTTTAAGTACCTTTTTAATCTATATTTTATTTTTATAATTATAAATCTATTAGGTATATTAATCTTTTTATCTTTAACCTAATCCTTTACTATTTTTTTTATTTAATATTTTATTATCTTTTTTAATCCTATTACTATTAATATTAACTTTAGGTTAAATAGCCCTTTATTAACCCTACGTTTAACTTATACATCTGCTCTTTTATTACCTTTAATATTATAATATTTTAAGCTCCAATATAGTTTAATATTATATTTTTCCATTAATTTATATATTTTAATAAATACTTATTATAATAATATTAAAATATCCTTTTATACATTTAATAATATTATTATATTATTTATATATAATATAATTATAATATTAATAAGGTATTATTTTATAACTTTTTATAGGGCATATAAGGCCCCTATTACTTTTATATTAAAAACCACTTTAATAGGGTCCATTTCTCCGTAGCTTTTTATAATTAGCTCCTTTTTTTTATATAAAGTATAGCTATAGCCTAAACCTTTTATAATTTCTAATCTATTTAAAAATATTATAATATTAAATATAGATTATTTTATAAATTATTATTTAAAGGCTTTTATTACCTCCTCTTTCTTTATACCCTTTATAAGGTTATTTATATATCCTTTTAAATATTTAAATAAATATAGTATTAATTTCCTTATACTTAATAATAAGTTTACTATTATTTATAAATATATATATATATATTAAATATACCTTACTTTTTTCCCCTTTTAAATTATTTATAATATTAACCTTAATATTAATAAATATATTTTATATATTATTTTAATCCTTAAGGTAAACCTATACCTAACCTATTTTAATATTATATTTATTATTAATATCCTATTTATAATAAAAAATATATATTTAAAAAAAGTTCTTTATATAGGTAATATACCTTATATTACTTTAAATAAAGCCTTTTATATTATTAAAATATATCTACCTAACTTAATATTTATAATCTTCTTTTTCCTATTTATTATTTTACTTATTAATTTTATTCTTCTTTTATATTATACTTTATATTTATAAAAGAATATTAATAATAAAATAATATTAATAACTTTTTATAATCCTATTATTAGCGGTCCTTAAATAATTATTAAAGTTATATATATATAGTTTATAATTTTTATTCCTTTAACTATTTATTTTTCTATATATTTTTAAAACTTTAATTTTTTTTTTAAAAATATTCTAAATTACTATAGTACTAAAATCTTTTAGGGTTTTAAAGGGTTTATAAAAGGGATTAATTATATTTCTATATTATCTTTTAAATATATTATAGGGTTATTTTTTATCTTTTTTTTTATAAAATAAATCGCTTTTATTTTTTTTAATATAAATATAATTTTATTCTTTTATTTATATTTAATAATCCTATTAACCTATTTTTCCACTTTTTAAGTACTTTATTTTAAGGTTTTATTTATAGCTAGGATTTTAAAGTTATTTATATAGCCTTATTTATTAAAATTTCCTTTTATTAATTTATATATATATAATATATATAGCATTAATAATATTAATAAGCCTTATAGGGTTTTATATATAATTTCTTTTAAGTTTATTAATACATTTTTTAAAAATATAATAACTTTTCTTTTAGTTAAAAAGCTTTTAATTAATAAAATAGCTATATTAGGCTACCCTTATTTCTATATTTTATTTAATAGCTTATTTTATAATAATATGTTAAATATACCTTATATATTTAATATTATTAATATAGCTACCTTATTATTAATTAATACTAGTTCTATATTATAAATTAAGCTAGCTACTAGGTTAATTATTAACTTTTTAGGTATAGCTTTTATATATTATAAATAAATTAATCCTATTTAAAGTATTATCTAAATTATTCTTTTTGCTATAAGTTATTTTAATCCCTTCCCTATATAAAATAATAAAATAATTAATTTTTATAACTTATAAATTATAAAGTTTATTTTTCCTACCTTTAATAGCATAATTATGTTAACCTATTTTTATACCTTTAAAAAGGTGCTATATTTTAAGCATTTTTTTAATAATGCCCTATAATATTCCCCTATTATTAATTATACTATTATAAAATATTTAACTATTATATAATCTTTTTCCAATAATATAAATATAACTTTTATAGTATATTTCTTTATCTTATTTATTATAACCTTAATATTTTAAAATAACTTTAATATTTAAAATATTTATACTTTAAATTCAAGTTCTTCTTACTTTATTAATTTAAATATTCCTATAAATTTATTTAAATTAACCTTTAATAGATTATTATTTATATTAAATTATTAAAGGATCCTTTTTATAAAGTATTTTACTTTTTTTTATTAACCTTTTATAATATTTTTACTATTTATAAAAAATAATACTTTAATTATACTCCTTTATTAATATTAATTAATAACTTTTATAAAGTCTTTATTAAACTTTATATTATTTATCCTTTTTTTTTAATATTTTACTTTTACTTTTTATATTATTAAAAGGAACTATTACTTTATAATATTTTTATCTTTTATATTTTAAGTTTCCTTAAATACTAATTATACTTTTATATAATTATATATTTATTAAAGAGCAATCTTACCCCTTTTACCTTTATTAATTTTAATAATACTTATATATATTAAGATAAACTTTATTAATACTTTAGCTACTTTTTCTACTTTATTAAGCATATTTATAATATTAATATTTAATAGTATATATAGTTTAATGTTAACTATATTATATAATCTTTTTAATTTTTTATTCTTAATATAGATTTTCCTTTATTTTTCCTAAGGTTTAATTAGTTATTTCTATAGGAAAGTTATATTTAATAGTTTATAATCTAATAATATTTTTAATTCCTTTATTATTTAGCTATTAATATAAAGTATATTTAAAAAAGGTAAATTTATAATATATTTTACTTTATATATTAATTTGCTTAATTTTCCTATAAAGTATATACTTGTTCTTATTAACTATTTTAAAACCCTTTACCCTTTATAAAAGGTTATAATTCCTAACTTTTAATCTAAATAATATATATTTAAGTTACCTATTATTAAACAATTTTTTAAAGGTTTTAATATTATAATATAATCTATTATTACTTTTATATTTAATACCCTATAATATATTAAAAATTTATATCTATTAATATTTAATTATATTAAATCCTAATAATATATAAAATATTTTATTTTAACTTTTAATTCTTTTTATATTTAAATATATATTATAACCTTAAGTTAGTTTTATTCCTTAATATCCTAAATATTTCTTAACCTATAATTTTTATATTTTTAATAAATTTATATTTTTTTATTTTTTCTTTTATTTATTTATAATTTTATAACTATAATAATATTTATTTCTTCTTTTTAATACTTTTATAAAAATATAAAATAATTATCCGCTTTATACTTTATATTTTATATAGTAATATAGATTGCTTATATTATTACTATTTCCTTTAAGCAGTTTTTAATTATAAACTAAAGTCCCCTTTAATAATCCTTGCTCTGCCTTTTAATTTACTTCTTTATCTTTTTTAAGTAATTTTTATTACCTTTACTACTTTTTTACTAATTCCTATAAATCTAATTGTAATATATATTATAACTATTGTTTTTTTTATATCTTTAATTTATAAAGGCAATATTAGTATAATTAGTTATTTAGCTATTATAACTATTATTATTTCCTTTTTTATATTATCTTTTTCCTACTTTTCCCTTATTTCTTTATTCTTATTAATTATAGATGTAGATTCTAAAGTAATATTATTTATAAATAATTTTTCTATTAATTAATCTATAAGGGTAGTTTTTTAAATAGGTTTTTAAGGGGTATATCCCTATAGGTTAAGGTCTTATAATATAAATTTTTAAAATGCTGGTAAGGCCTTTTTCTTATTCCTATTACCTTACTATTTTAATTAACCTATTATAATAACTTCTTTTTTTATTACTATTAATATTAATAGTATATTTTTATTATTATATACTTTATTATTAATATATTAAATGGCCTTTATTTTAGCTTATATTAATAGAACTATATTATTATTAACCTTTTTTAGCTTATATAGGTAGTTTTTATGGTTAATAGGATATAAACTATAATAATTTATATATTATTAAAAGTTTATATATATTCCATTAATTATTAATTTATATTATTCTATTAATATATTATAATTTTTATATAATACCTTTTAATTATAGAACCTAATTATATAATATCCTTAATACTTAGGGTTATATTATATAATATAAGTTTAGTATTATTTTTATTATAAAAGTTTATTAATTAAAAATAATCTAAATTGCTATATTAATTATTTAAAAGAAATTACCTATATAACTTTTTCTATATATAGGTTTACCCTATTTTATAATATATATATATTTATTAAAGTTATTTCCAATTATATTTTAATTTTTTTTATTATTATTACCTATATAATAGGTATAAATATATTAATGGTATAGTTAATTATTACTATAGGGATTTATAATATTATATATATTACCTATTTTTCCAATAGCTTTATAGCTTAAACCTATAGAATTAATTTAATTATTCCTATATTTTTTTCTTTTAAGATTTTATTTTTTATAACTAGGTTTATAGCTTTAATTATTTAACTTATCTTTATTAATATTACATTTTAAATTACATTTTTTAAAAGACCTAAATGCTATAAAAATAGTATTTTAATTATATAAATATTAACTTAATTAAATATAAGCGCTTTTTTATTTAACCTTATAAATATATATATATCTTTTTAAGCTTTAATAGTTATTATTAATATAGCATTATAATTTAATAGTACTTATAAAGTTATTAACCTTATTAGATTTACTTTAAATATAAATTTAATAAGCAGTTTAATTCTACCCTTATTAACTACTTTAATATATAATATTATAAATATATAAAACATTAAAGCTATTAATATTTTTATTTTAACCTATATATTAATTAAATATAAAGGTATAATAACACTACTTGCAAATTATACGTATATTACTACATTTAAATATTAACCTAAAATCTTAATATAATCCTAAGCTATTTATTAATAACTTACTTTAATATTTCCTTTAAATAATCTAACAAATTTATTAAATATAATTACTAAATTAATAATTACCTTTTTATAAATCTTTATTTTATAGTTAATTATTATATATTATTTAATAATTATCTTTTAAAGTAATATTTTATAATTATTATTTTTATTCTTTCCAACTATTTTAAGCTATAAAAGGTTTATTAATTATACCTTTATCCACTTTAAAAGTTAAAGGTTAATATATATAGGCATATTAAGTTCTATTACTCCTATATATATATTATTAAATATTATAATAGGTTACAATAGTATTTTTAAATCCTATATAATAAAAATTTAATAATTTTCGCTAAGCAGACCCTTTTAGTATTTTATAGGTTTGTAGCTGTTTTTAACGTTTATTAAGGATTTTAGTGGTATACCTGCAATTGCACTAACATTTCCTTATGCACGGATAATAAATAGAAGGAAAGGTGCAATGGAAACGGCGATAGCCCCTACAGACGAATTGGAGACGTGAGATCCTTGACCACCCGTATCTTCGCTTAACCTATACAAGGGGGAAATGCAGCAATCATTGGTCGCCCTAAAAGCCCGGCAATCAACCGGCTCCCGTTCGGATGCCGAATAACTACTAGGGTACGAGGAATAGCAGGATGAGAGTTCAGGTCCGTTAAACTCTGGAATGTATCATGATGTGTTAGTGAATAGAGGCCTAGAATCTATGGAATCTCACGAGAAACCCCTATACATGGGGACAACTAGATATGGCAACGAGCTCCGCGAAATGAATAGAACAAAAGTAGAAGCCGCTAAAATCAACGGTAACTAGGTCTTAAGTGCAACTTCAAGTGTACCTCAGGCCAAGATTGGAAAAGACTAAGTAACTACCAAATACTATTACATCTCGACGAGACCTCATCACCACCCTTTTAAGCTGGGCCACCGGTAAGCTGGCAGCTGTGTTCTTGGAAAAGCAACGTCAAACGGATTGTGCGCTAACAGGTTCGATACACTACTGTTGGCTGGAGAGCTCGATCCCGTGACAGCCCCTAGCGAGTCATACATGCCCATCTAAAGCCGGGAAAAGTACAGAAGCAGCACCAGGAGCAACGTTCAGAGGCAGACAATCCAGGCACCGTGGCGGCCTCATATCGTGAGGAGTAGTATGGTAGTTAAAACGCAGTGGAAATTCGAGAATACATGAAACGATTTCGTACGCGAAGATCTTTGAGATGATAAAAAAAGAGGCATTTTCTTTGTTCCCTTCGTGATTATACAGAGTAAAACCGCTGGTGTAGCGACATAAAATGGATTCCAATGATCCCGCATCGCCAGCGAGCCTTTTCACTGCTTCAAAAGCAATGGTTTCCTGCCCCAGACGCAATGTATTCGAAAGATGCCCCCCATGTTCAGATTCTCTTCGCGGATCCTACGTTCGAGGCCATCCAGCTCCTCGCTGTTGAATGATGTAGGTATTGCTGATGGAACACGGTCAGTCGGCATAATTTCAGTTTTCGATCAGCCACTTACTTCTCCCCACCTCAATTAGTCCTCGGGCTCCATACTCGAACATTCTTGAGCTTTGCGACTTCATAGTTTCATCTTCATTTCCCAGCCCTAGGGGAATATCAAATATCTTCTCCTGGACGTCTTCGAACCCAAGATCTGGAAGCCAATCTTTCAGCTGTCGGGCGTAATCCGTTCCCGTCCCTATCTTGGCGAAGATGTCGCTGAGGAGGCGAAAGAAATCCGCCATCGCCGGTCCTTTCGAAACGCTGTGGTCGGCTTCAACCAACTGAATCCAGCCTCCGGGCTTGATCAGTTCCATAAACCGACGAAGCGTCTGACGGACTTTAGTTCTATTGGCTGCAGGAAGAGCCATTCGCTGATGGACGAGATCGAAGCTTTCCGCCATCTCCTCCGGCCAATCTTGCAGCATGGACTGTACCTGATACCTAATACCAGTGATTGGTGATACTGGGAAGAAGACATCAGTGATGTCCGTGACGATGAAAGTGGATGAATTTTGAATATCAGTCGGCAATGATGCGCGAAGGTCTTCGGCCCATCTCCCTGGACGCTTGTTAGCTAAAGAAAAAACGGCTGGAAGAGCATGATAGGACATGCCATTCGCCCCAGCAGAGTCCAGAATGCGGATGTCTTGTCGTGAGAAATCTATTGGAGCCCAGATCTGCTGTTTCATGGCATGCTTGATAACCGCCTGCCCAAGATCCAAGCGCTCCAACTCGACCTGGTTCTTGTCCAGAAAATAGTGTTCCTCATTCAGCTTCGATTCAGATGACATTCTGTTTCCGTTTCAATTGTCAATGAGCACAGTTCCTTGTAGACGTGAGATAGTTCATCTATATTGATATAAGGCTCTCTTCCGCGCAGAAGTCCCGGAGACCGAGTAGATACCGAGGGCATAGTGCAGAAACATTGGACCCCAGTCTGGCTTCTGCACAGTTTCCCTCGAAGTTATTGCCCGAGCCGAGATCAGAACGCACGTCTCGAAGCTCAAATTCTCTGCCTGAAAGACAGACTACCGAATCTGGTGTCCGCGTACCATCTGACTCCGTCGTTATTTCTTCTGGCTTTTCTATGGTGAAAACAGCTAAGTTAAGGAAGCTACTTGATTGCGATAGCAACACACGCAGTACAATTCATAACCCAACTTCCATCGTCCAGTTGCTCGAACCCAGGGCTCTTCTTCCATTCTTGCTCAATCACCGCGACTGCGGACTCCCAATTTTCTTCATCATCCGAACACCATCCTTCCTCCGGACGTCCTAACCAGCTCCACGAGGTCCTTGCAAAACTGCCAAGGTCTCCGACAGGGACCTGCTGTTGCAATGTGTGAACCGTGATCTTGTCTTGGTCAAACCCCCCCAGTTCAGCTCGACTCGCTAGAAACGACGGTTTCTTCCAGTCCTCCGGGAGACTTCGTATCTTTGCACCATCATCTCCCCGGGTTTCATCATTAGCTCGTTCTATTCCCGACATAGCCGGGAAGTACTGCCAGGCGGTAAACACTGCGGCCCCGCCTTGTTTCAGTACCCGATACATCTCGCGTAGAGCTGGGACACCATCATCCGCCGTCATGAAGAGGACAAAGTTGGCGACTGAAAGGTCAAAGGTGTTGTCGACAAAGCTTAGCTTCTCAGCTGGCATCAGTGACACTTCAGCGGGCCATTGATTGGCCTTGAGTTCGGCGGAGTAGAAGTCCACGTAGCCTTGCATCAAGTCATTTGCCTTAATCGTGACCTTGCCAGTTGAGGGGCGGGACAGAATAGATTGAGTCACGACACCTGTCCCGCACCCGTTGTCATGGATGACCGATGAGTCGACAAGGGGAGGTATGAAGTCCAATGCCCTCTCAATGAAAACTTTCGTGAAACTGGTCGCAAGTTCTCCGTAAAAATCCTCGTTTTTGATACGTGCTTGTTTAGGAATGAAGGAATTGTCCACTTCCAAATCCATCGTTGCGCTAAGATACGTATTGATCGTGTTGACAGTTAAATAGTATACTATGATAATCCTGTCAGGATACGGGATGTGAATTGGCGGGGTGTTTGTAACCAAAGTTTACTGCAGGTACTTGGTTAATTGCAAGCAGGTGGAACTATGAGGAATGCACAGAGGAGACTAAATATTATTCTTATTCTAGATACCCCATTACCGGTCAAGCTGATTCGCTATTCACGGGTGTCACGTATATAAGACTCGGCTACCGAGTGGCTTCATATTAGGCATCCCTCTCCGGCACCTTCATCCTTCTGTCAAAGGGCAATCGGAAACTTCTCGGTCTTGACCTCTGTTCACCTCTTTGAAGTCATGAATAATTCCGTAGTTGACGCTCTCATCATTGGGGGAGGCCCTGCGGGCTTGAGTGCTTCTCTTCCGATCATACGCCAGCAGTTCACTGTGGTCATCTTTGACAACGGCATCTCGCCTATCGATGACACCAAGCTATTTCACCTAATCCCTAGCTGGGATCATCGGCATAAGGATGAATTTGCTTCTTCAGCTAAGGAGAATCTCTTATCAAGGTATCGGACGCTACGTTTCCAGCAGACGACCGTCCGAAGCGTCCGCAAGGCGGATACGGGTCTTTTTTTGATAGAAGATTCGGATGGAAACCAATGGACGGGGAAGAAGGTTATTCTAGCCAATGGGGTTCGATATATATTTCCCGATGTCGAGGGATTCGCACAATGTTGGGGCAAAGGAATGTGGGTGCACCTCTTATCACTATCTCATCCACGTCATAGCTCATTGTAACAGCTACCGATGTTGCTTTTGCAATGCTTTCGAAGATCGCGGAGTTGGCTCCGTCGGTGTTCTCGCCATCGACTTTTTCGGATCCACGGAGATGGCGATTCACGCTGCTACAGACTTTAAACGATTCGCTAAAACAGTCATGGTTTATACCAACGGATCGGACGATTTGGCCGACAAGCTGGCGACTCAACTCCCCAGTACCCGCATGAAAATCATGCGTCAGCGCATCACGCGTCTAGAAAAGACCGGGACAGGTGGAGAAGTGACTGTTCATCTCGACGACGGCACAAGCCGCGTCGAGGGATTTCTCGGCCACATACCGTCTACACGACCAAATGGCACTTTTGTTGAGGACCTAGGCCTCGAGACTGAGGCATCTGGAGACATCAAAGTCTTCCCACCATTGAATTCAACCAGTCTTCACGGAGTGTACGCTGCGGGGGATCTGTGTAGCTTATCCAAGATTGCTTCTCATGCTTTCTATTTGGGCAACATTGCAGGTGCTGGCGTGGCCGAAGAGCTTCTAGTGGAGTCAGACTAGATTCATATTCAGCTCTCAATTCTCAAATTGATTTGTATTGCGCATTCCTAGCTATTGAGATACTATCTTCAAACCGTCATGAATCACCCATTCATATGTCTAGGACCTCTGGTGGACGCCTTTCATTGAGGCTTCTTTCCCCAGACAACCTTGTAGTGCCAATGGGCATTGGTCGGTTCCGTATTCATCTCCTTCTCCAGATCCGTCTTGATCTGGGGAATCCGGGCTAGGGGAAGGGACAGGAGCTCTTGAGGGAATGCTGCACACCAGTCAGTACGAGGATCAACGTCTTGGGGAAGGGGGATACTACTTTGCGCGACACCTAGAATGCTCTGCGCAGTGAGCAGTGCCGATTTCTTGGCCAGGGTTTCCAGCTCCTTGTCGTCCCGCGTGCCAAAGTTTCCTTCCAGCACGACCTCTTCCACGTCGACGAGTCCCAAATCTAGAAGCCATCCCTTGGCACGGTCAATATGAGTGACCGAGGAGCCGACGGACGCGACCAATTCGGCCACACACGTTGTAAAGTCCTTCCATCCCCGGCCATCGCTATCTGCTGTCCAGCCTTGAACTTCCACATATTGAATCCAGCCGCCCGGCTTCAACAGCTCGACCTGCTTCCTGACCGCGTCAGAGGTTGATTCCACGCCTCCCGAGACACAAAGAGTGAGTCGCTGATGAATCAAGTCAAATGAGCCCTTCCATTCGGCGGGATAGGTCCCATTGATGTCTTGGACGTGGTACGAGGTATTCTTGGGTGGGCCAGACGGGAAGTACGAGCCCTCAATGTCGATGCCCACGTAGGTATGCTGCGCTTCGTCAGGCTCGAGGTCGGATTGCAGATCCCGGATCCATACTCCTGCCGTGTGTCAGCACTCCTGGTGTCCGAGCGAAAGCGGGATTGTATTTACCATCGGCAGTGCCGCTATCCAAGATGCGCAGTGCCGATTGCTTCAGGTCGACTGGCGCCCACACCAGCTTATTGTTCATAGCATCTTTGATGATGCGATGCTGCCATGCCAGCCGGGTAAGCTCGTTCTCGTTGTTGAGAATGTACTTGTTTGTGGGGGCCTCTTCAGCCATGGTGTCGATGATGGAGACGATGCTCTCTGTGTTTGCGGATGGGTTTGCGGCGGGGTTTGGACTGCCAGCGGTGCGCGTCATTTATTTATCTCTTGTGTGAAAGGACGGCATAGCTCGGCATCCGAGCGGAAGCCTATTGCTTGTGTAACCCCATCCGTGGCAACGGCCCTCTCCCTTTTGATAAGCCCAGAAGCGGCAAGCTTTTTATGACTTGTCTTCTTTTCTATTTGTCAGACTTTGTCCTACTATCATCCATTTGCTGCCTCGTTACGGATGCGCTAACAGGAGGCATGCCAGCCATCATGTCCAACCCGCCGCTTGCCCCTCCGCCTCCGGGTGTGGTCCCTGATTTTGAACATCCAGCTTCCAAGAAGCCAGCGATAATCGCCTGCTTGTCTGTCATTCTCCCCATTGCAACTCTCTTCGTCTACCTCCGAGTCCACGTGAAGGCATTCGTGATGCGCGAGTTTGATGCCTCTGACTGTAAGGGACCGGCCCTTTGACTCCGGACGTACGACTAACAGAGTCATAGGGTTTTGCATTATCGGTTTTGTAAGGCATCCCAATCCGCGCTATCCTGTGGACCGCGCAGGTCACTGATGCGCGAGTCCCTCTAGACCATGGTTCTTGGATATACTTATACCATTTATGACCGTAAGTTTTGCCAGAAGGTTGTCGGGCCCCGGACTCATGTCCCATCCAGTTGCGGTCATCCCAGGAGCTGGCGAGCATGACTACGAGCTCCATCTCATGGATATTCCCCAGAGGTATTACGTGGTAAGCTTAAACCTTTGAGTCGACCACCCCGTCAGTGGTTTGACAATTGGATAACAGGATCTCATCATCAGCGGTGTTTTCGTCGGCACGACTCTACTCTTCATCAAGCTATCTCTTCTCTTTCTCGTGCTACGCATCTTCTGGATCCGTCGATGGGCCCGATATACGACTATTGCCGGGATCGCAATTCATATCCTTGTCTACGCGGTGTATACAATTCTATACCTATATTTGTGCGCGCCAAGGCCAGGTCAAACGGCAATGGACGCTGCTGGAAGCCCACGATGCCTCAAAGTTGTGAGCCTGAGCTCGTTTCAGGCCGTATGGGACGCAATCGAGGACTTCCTAATCCTTGGCGTTTCAATCCCCATCCTTATGGGCCTGAAAACCACTCTGAGTCGACGACTTCGAGCGAGTTCCGTCTTTTTCGTCGGTCTTACGTGAGTGTGGTGTCTTCCGTGTCGATACGGGCTGAAGCTGATTCCACGCCTACAGAGTCACTGCTTTCAGTATTGCTGGCGCCTACTTCCGTCTCACAAGTAGCCCAAGTGATATCAACTGGCAATACCCGACGCTTTTCATCATCACGTATGTTTTCCATTCAAGATTGGTCTCAGACGCTGACTCCATCGTCCCAGGTACTTTGAGATGTCCCTCGCTTTGATCTGTGCATGCCTCCCTTGCTTACCGCTCTTGGGCAAGAGTGCCACGATCAAGAGAGTCATGGACTCTCGTTTCTACTCGTCGCTCAAGAGTTTGTCGATGTCGCGCTTGAGAACATCTCAACGGAGCGAGCTGCTCCCCGACACCGACAGGCCCAACTCATCTACCACCAACCTTGCAGAAGGAGACAGTCAGAAGTTTGTAGCTACCACCCAATCCTTCAATGTTGAGCACTCCTACGAGCTTTATCCCAAGCCTTCGCACGGGGTTTCAACTCGCAGTTTTGACCGCTTGCCGCCGCGGAGCTAAAGGCATGCTACCACTTGCCAAGTGGGAGGCAAGGGACTCCCATATAAGATGTATGTATGACTGTATGGACTCTGGGGCTTGTAATAGGATGATTGAAAAGGTGATTTATTTGTGTTTTGAATAAGTCATGTGGGCTTGTTAGTAGTGTGAATTCGCAAGGCAAGGACATCAGGACTTGGATCAAGGGTTTTACTGTACTGCGTATGCCGATGTTCGCCCCCAAGGTCGGTATGTAAGGTATTTATGTGTTATTGGTCAAATTGACCATCACTCTATAGAAACACGGTCACGCTAACAAAGCTCAAGATATTCTTCCCTTATTTCGTTTTTTGGTTAACGTTTAAATATAATAAAATAAAAACTAAAGCCCTTTAAAAGATAGTATTTGTATAAAAAGAGGATATGATAAAGTAGATAGTTAATTAATTAATATTTAAGTTCTAACGTCCTTTTAAAATAAGTTGATAAATTAAATAAAACTTAAAAGTATTAAAATTATAGTTTAATATAAGCTCATATTTATTATGTTAAGTCTATATAGTGTGTAGTCCATAGTTGCGTTTGAGTTTCACTTTACCTTCGTCTCTATACTCTATATTTATAATGTCGTTGGAATATAGGGTCAAAGCGCGAGCGCGGCTACATTGCTTGCAAGTTTGTTTCAAATAGATCCTCACGATCTTTCGGCAACGCCTCATACGTTTGCTCGCCCCGATCTTGCAAAAACCGGCTGGCTATCTCTTGAAACGACTTGTCTTCAAGGATTGCCTCCAACAAGACCTTTATGAAATTCGCCAGAATCCCAATACTCTGGTCGTCGAAGCACTCCTTAGCCCACTCGAGCCTCATCAGTAAACAGCCATCATTTGCTTTGATAAACTCGGCCATAAACTTGAATTTTGCACCTTCTGTCCAAGTCAGCAAAGGCTGCGCATCGACACCCTGCATGCCCATGTCTCCAATGCTGTCCTGGTAAGAGACCACGGCATCCAGGAGAGGAGCATCAGGTACCGATGGTGTCAGTCCCAGCGCATCAAGGATCATCGACCAGGGTAGTGCGTGCGAAAGAGCCGACTGGCTGCAGCTCCTTACGACCGACAGTAAGTCTTTCTGCCCACTCCCGGGGTTGGGAAACTTGATTCGGATCGGAAGCAATTCTAGAAACAGTCCCACAGCTTTTTGCTCATAGCGCCCAAGCCTACCTAGATAAGGCGCACCGAGGACGATATCCAGCACGTCCGAGTTACGGCTGAGAGCAAGAGCAACCGCGCCGAGTAAGATGTGATGAGGGGTAAGTCCTTTGGAGGACGCATAGCGAGTAAGTGACCGGCCCATGCTGGTTGGCAGCCGATAGATATAAGATGTCCCATCCCACGACTTACGCGGTGTCCATGTCCCAATCCTATACTTGGGCTGCTGGAAGCCCTTCATATATTGCTGCCAGAACTCTCTGTGCCCTTCCGGATATTTCCGTTCCAGGCTGCTGTAGTAGACTGGCGATGGCATGGGTATGTTGCGGTAGGCACAGCTTGCTTCTTGAAGCGTGGTCTCAAGAGACTTGTAATCCATTATGATGTGACTTGCTACAAGAAGCAGCGTGTCGGGTGATATGAGGACACGGATACAGCTTTGCTGCTCCAGATCAAAGGGACGATGGATCTGATATCTCACGTCCAGCTGTTTGAGCTCTTGGACCTTTGGACTGCGATCCGAAAAGCTTTTCTTTACCCAACCGGCCGAATCAATCTTGAATCGACAGCGGAATATATCGTGGCGCCCCAAGACGACATTCCATGCCTTGACCAAACGCGTTGGATCGGTTCCGGGACCTAGTCGGAAAGCTGCGGATACAGTGAATGACGACGACCCTCCTCGGAAAGCATAGTTCCTGCACCAGTGCTGTTCTAGCTGTGTCACTACAGCTCTATCAGTCGCGGGAGTGCTGGTGACAAGAATTCCGATCTCGGAAGCTACATCATTGAGCGTTTCTACTAGAGAGCCAAGCGTCGGCGAGGAGACGATCGAAAGAAGCGGAACTTTGCGCCCGAGAACCACCGAGAGCTCGTCTGCCATTTGGAGCTGTAGCAAGGAATTGCCTCCCAGCTCCATGAACTTGGAATCCGCCGTAATAGGCCCTTGGGTATGGAGTATCTCCTTCCATACATCACCAACTTGCTTCAAAAGCTTCGCGTTGCCCTGGAAAGGAGGTTTTTCTTGACACGCAGCATTGAATTGCTTGAGAGCCTGGTAATCGAGTTTTCCGGCTCTCGTTTGTGGAAATTCCGCCACTGCGACGATGCGTCGGGGAAAGGCATAATGCGGTAAAGCCTGCGCTAGTAAAGTCTCGACCGATTTGATCGCAAGACTTTCCGGTTGTACATAGGCACTTATTTGGTTCTTAACACACACGACCATTACACCTGTGCAATCGTGAACGGAGTTTCTAATCCGCTCTTCCAGATCATCCAGATCAACGCGATATCCATGCAGCTTAATCTGTCTGTCGGTTCTTCCACAAAACTGGAGCTCGCCAGTCTCACACCAGTACCCACGGTCTCCTGTGCGGTACATACGCTCCCCGTCCCGCCTATACACCGTGTCCTCCGAGAACACTTTGTAGGTCTGGTACGGCATGTTCTGGTATCCCAGCGAAACTTGAACCCCCGCGAGGTAAATATCACCTATCACGCCTGGGGGGACAAGCTGGCCTTCGGCGCTCAGAATGTAGATCCTCATTGATGGGTTCGGTCGACCCAGGGTTATGGGCTCCCCGTACTGCAGCTTCTTCGTCGTGGCGCCACAGGTCCCCTCCGTTGGCCCGTACATGTTGTATAACTCGACCGCCTTAGCCCACCTGTCGCGTACTAATGGTAGGACGGCCTCGCCCACCAGGTAGAGAGCGCTCAGGTTAGGGAAGTCATTCGGATCCAACACGCGCGCGATCGATGGTGTCATGATTGCCGTATCTACACTCTTCAAGTGGCTGAAGGGATCTTCGGAACAGCCTAGGACCAGCGTAGACCCGTACCCTAAGGCTGAAAAGATCTCATGTATACTGCCGTCGAAAGCAGGAGACATGATTTGAGCGATTCGCCACCCTGGTTTGGACTTCATGCGGACGTCGAGCTCGGATTGGAATGCCACAAGAGCCTTGTGAGTACACAAGACGCCTTTAGGCTGGCCAGTCGATCCCGACGTGAAACATAAGTAGGCTCCGCTGTTGGGATCAATGACGGGTGGTTTTACCGAGTCTGTTCCTCGCCTTCTCTTCGTCACTCGCAGAAGCAGCTCCTCGACAGAAAAAGAGTTTGCGCACGACTCGGGCTTATACTTCAACTCTCTAGCACCTCCCGCTAGGAAATGGCGGCTACCGGACTGTTCAAAGATTTGATTTCGAACTCGGGGCGGTAGCGACTGATCTAGCGGGCAGTATACCCCCTTAGCTTTGAGGGTTGCATAAATAGCGATAATCCAGTTGACGCTACGGTCCGCATGAACACATACCACATCACCTGGCAATATGTGGTGACGCAGTTGTCCTGCAGTGTGGTTCGCCATCTCTAGGACGCTTGAGTAGCTGAGTTTCTCCGATCCCCTCTCGATAGCTATGCGATCACGTCCCATTCGGACACTCTGATCAAACAACTCGACGAGGTTGTTGTTCCATGATTCCGCACGTGTCAGCGCCGAATACACATTGCTGTTCGAGAGAGCGATGTGAATATCTGGCGCCATCAAAAGCTGCCGGCCTTCTTCGAGCGTCTTCTCTGAAGACATGAGCAGCTTAATAGCTTCGAGGAATGTCTTTCCCAGTCGCTTGACGTTGGCGGAGTGTATGATGTCTTCCTTGAACATGAGTTTGATCTTGCCACCAGAACGAACCTCAACGGCCAGATTCAAGTTTGACTCCATCGTGCTACATGGCTCTAGTACCAGTCCAAGGGGATTTTTGTTCAGTAGTTCCTCCTCAATATGGATGTTGAGCAGCGAGAAGGGTAACGAAGTAAGTAATTGCGCTGGCGCATTCCACTGATACTGATCCAGATCCAACGAATGCTTGAATACCGACTTGATGTAGTCTCTAATGGACATGGTCCAGTCCAGAGAGGTTTGAAACGGCATGAGGTTGATTAGGGGTCCGACTACTGTTTCCACCTCGGGAACTGGCACAGTGCGGCCCGACAGGACAACACCGAAGCACACACTGCTTGAGCCGACGAACTGACTTATCGTGAGTGCCCATGCAGCGTAGATCATGGAGGCTATTGTGACCTCGCGCTCTCGGACGCACTGTTTGAGGTTTTCGAAGTCGGTCCCCAACTCAAACGTATGGCTCACATACGTTGAGGCACCCGGATTGGGCCCGGTCTCCGCAAACAGCAGGTTTTCTCTCGACTGAGCAATGAGCTCCTGTTGCCTTCCCCAAAATTCGAGTCCCTCTTTTGCTTGGGACTCACGATAGACCTCGACTTTCCTCATGAACGAGCTGAAAGAAGGTCCCGGCTGACACGACCGTCCCGACAGAGCACCTCGGTGTTTATTGAGGAGTATGACGCTCGAAAATCCATCAATCAAAGCATGGTGGACGGCCCAGATGACTGTACTTTGGCGCTCCTGGCCACTCATCTCCAGATGTACTACATTGAAGGCAACGCCAATGAAGTCTGTGTCAGGGGTTTGTTGTAACAGTGCAGTGTCATAAGCCTCGCGGCTTTCCGCTTTCGTCTCGCTCCACAGAAACGGTGCCTCTGCATCTTCAACTATACGATACGTACTCCCGGCCAGTTTGAATTTTGTCTGGAAAATTGGTTCGGTGCTCGCAACAGTTTCCCAGGCATGCTTGACGACAGGGATATGCTCGGTACGATATGTTTCCAAGTATCGTATGACGCTCTGGCCAACATGCGTCTTGCTAGCGTGTATAAACGACAGTTGCAGCGGTGTCACGTGGGCCGGGTCCTTTCGTTCCTCGTCGTCCAGATAGCCGTCAGCTCGGAAGAGCCCAAAAGTGGGCGAGGACGGCGACGGGGAGTCCCGAGACTGAAGAAGCTCTCTTGAGTGGTGTGTGGACTCTTGCAACTCCTCGAGGAGGTGATTAAGAGTGGCATGCCGCAGAATCATTCCCACTGTGACCGGTATACCTCTTGAACGACACAGCGAGGTTATATTGATTGCGGATAGTGAATTACCTCCGTTTCGGACGAAGCCCACATCGAGATTAAGCTCTTCATGTGGCAACCCAAGCTCTTGTGCAATGGCGTCCGCCACAATGGCACTGACAGGGTCCGTGTATGACATTTTCACAACGGCTGAGAATTTCCCACAGGACTGATGATGCTCGGCTAACTTACTGTGCTCGCAATGGCTGATAACAGTATACTGAATAAGTCTCGTAAATCAACTGGACTATCCTCAATGCGGTGAAACCCGTGCGTGTGCAAAACTAACATTTCAACATGCAGCCAAGGAACCACAGCGTTCTAAGGTTCCAGTTGTAACTGATGGAGAGTTAAGCGTCAGCTGGCAGGCGTTGACGCCGTTGAGGCAACGAATGGGGGGCTGTTCTGCTAATCGGGTGGTACGGACTGGGTGACTCTAAGAGTCGGATCCCGAACCAGATTGGTCATCAACCTATCAATGACCAAATTGAGCGACTGAGTCTCAAAGTCGGGACAACGTATCGTATATATAGTACCTTAAACATATTCTCTATAAACAGGCCAATCAGCTCAAGCCCCCCAGCGTTTCGCGTCCGATGCCTTCCGGGAGGCCGGTCCCTCACTAGACAATCCCCCGCCCGACGTGAAAGACTCTCATCATCATCATCATCATCATCATCATCATCACTCCTGGCCGGTTGCCTGATACGCCTTCCTTTCACTTTCTCAAGTTTCCTTGCCCTTCTTCTCAGTATGCTGGTCCTCAGAACACTCCCCACGCCGGATTCTGATGTGTGGTACCTTGCTTACGGATCGAATCTGGATCATGACAAGTTCGTTGTGGACCGTGGAATAGTTCCACTGTCCTCTGAGCTGGTGACGATGCCGGGTTGGAGTCTAGAGATGAACAGCGCAGGTTTCCCATACTCGGAACCCTCATTTGCCAGTGTCACGTACTGGGACTGGCCATCCCGCCAATCCCGCGATACTCAAGTCATTGGTACCGCGTACAAGCTCACACCCAAGATGTACACAAAAGTGCTGGCCTCGGAGGGAGGGGGAATTGCCTATGCCGAAGTCGAAGCAAGAGTGCTTCGAGTCGCAAACAAGGCAAAATCGGAGGTAGAAGATGAGAAACAAGTTTTCACTGTTCGGACGCTTGTCACGGCTATGAGGAGGGAGGCAAAACCCAGTCTCAGGTACATGGTATGTGGCAAACCTTAGTCACGCATATCTTTTCCACCTTTTGAACATTGATGCTAATGAAACTTGACGACGTAGGAACTAATCCGCAATGGTGCAAGAGAAGCGCATGTTCCTGGCGCATATCAAGACTTCCTTGAGGCGATTCCGGTGTACAAGCCATCAAAATCAACAAGAGCAAGATTAGGTGCTAAACTTTTTAGGCTGGTGTGGTCGCCTGTCTTCTCTGCGCTTGAGAAAATCACCAAAGACAGTCTCGTTGATAGCGATTCTGGAGATGCGCCTCCTTCAGTAGTAGCTTTGGTGAGAGGTGCAGTGTATGTCATGTGGTTTCATCACGACTATCTGCATGCGCCTATATGGGGTAGAGGAGACGGGATGTGATATTCTTTTGCCTTTAAGGCGACATCCGCTACCTATCCTAATACACATGATAGCTTCGACTGGTCACATGGAAAACGCCGTTGTACCTGCTTGTGTTTGAACAACATGCCCCGTTTGACACTTCTACTCCCTAGTCTCGGCTCTCTGCACATGACCATATCCAATCACTCGTCATAGAAAACCAAGCATCTCACTTCGAGACTCTCACGGGGTTTCGCCCCTTTATTAGCATGAGGATATGGGAAAGCCCCATGGGGACATACTGGTCGAATCATTAGCAGTGTAGTCCAAAGATCCAAGCAGCTAACACTCACACTTAGCAACATCCTCTTTGCTGTCCCAGATCTTGATGATTGTTACCTCGTCTGTTCTATGATCCGGGAGGTAGTACCATATTTGACCAGTGTTGTAGTTGATTGAAACTGTTTGCCCGACCCTTTCATAGCGTTCCTTGAAGATGTTCGTTGGGTGAATGTCGGTGTGCTGGACACTGCGGTAATCCATGCACGCCAGGGGCCAGTCCTCCACTGTCCCATTGGTAGGACGCCAGACACTTCGAAGAATCTGAGTATGAACAGCCTCCTCATCATAGTATGGGTTTGGGATTTCCTTACTTCAATACCTGCACTCTTCCCCTGAGGAGCTTTTCCGCGTCCTCCCCTGCGTGACGCTTGACTCGACCTATGGCCCCAATCTCAGATCTTCGCTCACAATCAGCAAACATGACCCGCCGAGTATGGATATCATTGCCTACTGGTCCACATGGGCCTATGCACTTCATGATCAGCCAACGTCCATGACGTAGTGCTCACGGCAAGCAACCTTACCAAAGTCGCGGGTTGCTCGTTGCCATCCTTATTCACGTTAGGATCCAGCGACGGATCTCGCCTTCGATAGGTATGATCGAAGATGATGACTCTCTGTGCTCCCGTCTTACTCTTCACTATATCTTCAACAACAGGGTAGTACTTCTCGGCTATGAAAGGCTTGTCCTTGCGCTGAATTGCGCTGACTAGCTCCTCGTCGATGCCGGCATCGCTGTGAAACTCAAAACCGTGCGTATCAAGCTTGAAATTGTCTTTTTCCGGTCTAGCACTGTGAAACTTGACGGCATACTCTAGATTGCTGAAGTTCTGACGGGGGTATTCCTCAGTGGTCAGCCCCCTTATGTATGGGCTTTCCTGGTTCCCAGCCCACGGCTCCAGGAACATCATCTGGCTCTGCACCACTGCCATTGTTAATTAGGCTCTGATGATTCAATAAGTGATAATAGAGAAGAACGTAGTTCTTGTTGTTTTGGGGGGCTGTAACTCCCAGCGTGGCTGTTTCATCGGACCAATGTACATCCAGAACGGCTTCGTTGGCCTCGGCATCTGTTTTCTACGAACCATCGGCAACCGGCACTGCTGAGTCTTCGGCATCCGCGCCACATTAACCTTAGAAGCACGCGCTTTCAGCCCAGTACGTCAGGCAAGCTGATCGGCCTACGGAGATTGATTTAATTCGTATTGAGTTGAAGCAAGCTATCTTCTGTTACCTGCAATGCTGGACATCCTATCAGGATGCCGTGACCTCCGCAGGACGCTTCGAAGACTCCAAACCCCGGCGTACCTTAGGTATTTGCATATTCAACAGCGTACTCAATAGCATGCGCAAGTACCCACGCTAGCTATTGGATTCTGATACTATACTGTAGATGTTTCATTGTAGGTCATGTGCTACTAGCGTATGCCCTGTTCGGACTCACTCGTGATCGTTTGCACAGAGACGCGATGGAAGTCGTCCCAGTACCCGAGACCGCACCTTTACTTGAGACTGATTCAACCGAGGTTGCAGTCCTCAGTGCCAAGTCACCCGAAAGCCCAAGGGTCAGTGCTTCGTTGCCTTCCAGCCGGGCTATTAGCCCAAATGCCATCCGACACATACTCCCTCTTGCATTCACGGCGGCATTCGCCATAGCCGCTACATCGGCGACGACCGTCTACGCATATGCTGCCATCCTGTGCGATGACCCCAGTCAATGTGCAGATGACGACAGGAGCCGCTATACTGCCACCGTCGCGCTGGCTAGCTTTATAGCCAATGCCACTGGTATAGTCGCGGTGGGGTTTCTGCGACCGTTGGTTGAGTCGCGTCCGAAGTCCGGGCTATGTTTCTGGTTAGTTTGTCGAGCTTTGGGAGTGGGCTTTCTCATCCTCGGAGGTAGGTTATGCGCTGCTTGTCGTCATCCCTGATTCTCAAGCCGACGATTGCTGTTGACATTCACACGAACTAGTGAGCCTTCGGAGCATCAGTGTCGCAATTTGCGGCCGGCTTTTCGAAGGTCTCGCATCAGACAACATCCTCCATTACTCCCTCGCAGCCGTATACGTTCACGAACCCGATCCAGCGCGATTTTCGCGGCTCATGGGCACGTCGCTAGCATTATACATGATTGGGATGTCAATCAGTCCGAGTTTCGTTACCATACTGCCCAGCTTCACGTCTAGTTTCATCGTGGCTATTGCGATACTAGGCTTTTCGCTCCTCTACCTCCTAGCGTTCGTCCCAAACCCTCGAATGGACAACCAGGATCATTTTGACAATATCGCATGCCCCGGTGTTGACCACCGAGAGGGATGGAAACAGTACTTCCGTCCCATCACCAACTTGATCAAGAATCGACGAATTATCCTCTCAGCTATGGCGGTCTTCTTCTACAATTGTACACAAGCCTACCTTTTTCCATTGATCATGGTGGACGCTGCGCTCCGTTTCAATGCTACCAGCAAGGAGAACGGTTACATCATCTCCATAGCAGCGACTACATCGTCCATCTACCTACTCTTCATCTCTGTCATCCTTCCTAGAATCAAGCGATCTGGACAGCAGCAACATGAACCCCCACCCGCTCATGTGAGCAACCAAGAAGCAGCACCTCCTTCCCCCAAGGCTTTATGGTTAGATGTGATCAGCGCGCTCATCTCTATGTCAGCTCAATTGGTCACGCTTCCTTTCTTTAGTGTCGCAAATTCACTTTCTACATTTTACGGTCTGGTAGTGCTGGTGTCACTGGGACTTGGTGCTCCCAGCTACATGAAAAGTCACGCGGTTGCGATCTCGTCGGACAGGAACTCGACTCTCGCTTGCCTGGCAGTGCTTGAGAGTCTCGGCGGTCTCATCTCCCCTATTTTTCTGGGTGCTATTCAGAGCAAGATCAATTCGAAGGCCGTGTTCGCAGCATCATCTTCATTCGTGGGTTCTGCTATGCTGTGTATCATAATGAGTTGGTTTTTAGCTAAATAGATAATCGTCAAGGCCCCATAATCGATCTCATATTCTTGGATTACTAGGTTGCTGTAGTCCGTCCTCTTTGTGATATACGCAAGATCCCACGGTCCAATCGTGTCAATGCCTCGTCCAGTTTCGAGGGTTCGAGCGCGAAATTAAGCCGTGTCCATCCCTTCTCGTTCTCGGGTACATGGTAACTCCTGGCCATCGAGATTTGGAGGCCTTCACTTCTAAAGATCTTAATAATCACGTCCTCTTCTTCCCACGTCTCTAAGTTGGGTGCGATCTTGGCGAAGACGTACGGACTTCTGCTCGTGGGTATATGATCGATGCAGTATTTCTTCAACACGTCACGGATCTTGAGATATGACTCGCTCAAGCGCTCTGCGTTCAACTTGAGCAGTCGGGGCAGCTCGGAAGAAGTCAGCAATGCGGCAGTAGCCACGGCCGCAAGTGAGGAAACCTGTGTATTTGACGTCAACGCAAGTCCGGTCGCCAGAGCCCCATTGTCTTGTGTTATGCAGCATCCCTAGACTGAGTTAGAACGATTATCGTGACGTCCCGAAACAGGTCTCCATTCTGCTTACCACCCGTAGGCCGCTCGATCCTAAGTCTTTACTCGTGCTCCAAACAGCATGCATCCGGGAGAGGTCGCACCCCATTCCCTTGACATCTATCTGCAAGAGGGACACGAATGGTACAGGATCCGGGTGGTCTGGATTCTCGAATCCTGACATGGCATATATCTCATCCGAGATCAGGTGTATCTTCTTCTCGTGGCAGAATCTGATAATTGATTTCAACACCTCTTCTGGGTAGCAGGTTCCCAGAGGGTTATTTGGATTAGCGAGTAGCAGCCCTTTGATCGGCGCGATAGACTTATGAAGAGCGTCTTCAAGGGCGAGGATGATCTTGGGGGAGATAGCGTCGTCAAGATTTTCGAGTTGGACAAAGATCGGCTTGACCCCTGAACGGACTCCAATCAACCAATTGAACCCATCTGCATCGCTCGGTCACGTCAGTCGCATGAGCTGCATGTCTCATGTTTTTTCAGCTTCATTCACTTACTCCAGGCCGGGCTAGCAATAAGAAGGCCATCACCTGGGTCACAGATATTGAAAAGCAATGCGTCGAGAGCGAAGGCTGCTCCTGGAGCAGTCGCAATATGGGATCCCTGAACCGGAATGAGTGGCGAAAAATAAGAGTTGAGAAACTGGACCAGAGCATCCACCAAGCGTACGTCGCCGTTGAAACCATCCGGGTACGAGAGATGCTATTCCAACACGGTCAGTATGCTCGAAGCACCTGGTACAGACGCTAGGGGGAATATCAAGAATACGAACTTGACTTGTGAGACCATTTTGAATAGCATCTTTATAAAGCTGGACAAGCTCCTGCCGCAAGACCCAGTTCTCAGATGTAGCCATATCGATAGATAGAGATTGTTCTTGCGAGTTTACTCGATCTTTCTCACGTGTATTGGCCGCTTTCTTGATGCCGGGCCATATTTCTGCGACATTGTCAACGCCTCTCTTGGAAAGTCCGCAGAACTCGAGGTTATCCATTGCTAACGCCGAAGATGATGCGTGCAATGCACAAACAGTAATTTCAGACTGTGTGCGATTGAAGCTATCAAGCAAGTAATCAGCAAAAATGATCGAGTATGAAAAAAAAAAGGCACAAACGTGAAGGGACAACCTGCTTGAACTAGTGGCTTTACATCTATACTTATACACCAATGGCAATGTAGGTTGCTATGCGTCGTGGGATCCCCAAGGGTGACGGGTACCTGATAAGTACTGTACGTGGAAGATAGTTGCCTATGCAAACTCCAAAATTGCCTCTTATCGGATCGGGAAGCGTTGAATATGTTCCTGTTCCGTTGAGAGCCCGTTAGTGTACAATCCAACCGTCATGTCGGGAGGTGTTTCCGGCTGGGAGCAGATCCAGCCCCGGGATCGGACCAATCAAAAGGGGCTAATGTTTGTGCCCCCAAGACGGAAGCCGAAGTCATTATGTATGGTTACAGTATGTCTATAATCTTAACTAGAAAGCTCTTACAGACCATGGCCGAGTTTTGGCTCGATTAGCTTACTTTCAAGTATCGCTTTTCTGGTGCGCATACTCAATACCGAGTCCTCGAAAAACGCAATTCCTACCCAACATGTTGTCTTGGACATATCCCATATTGCTATGGCTCGGATATATTGCGTCTCATATCTACCAGGCGCTTCTACGGCGGTCGCCCGTCCCCGCACGTCAACCCTCTTCAAGGAGGCGCCGTGCTGATCTGATCATATTAAGTCTTCTTTCAGTTCTTTGCTGTAATCTAGTCAGCGTTCTCCGACTCTGTTGGTTAATGTGAGAGCACTAACGAGAGACAGGTCGCAACAGCCGGACTATATATTGCGACAAGCTATTCCAACAAAAACGACAAGGCTTTCATGGACTGTGGCGTAGGTCTTTGTCTGAGTCTTTACGTTTTACATATTGTAACTAATCCTCATTCGCATGGCCATTATCTAGTTATCCATCAGTGCAGTTGCTGCCTTCTACGCCGCAAGACTTCTGCCTGACCCGGATCAAGCCTTCACCTTTACTCAAGTAGACTTGCATACTTGGCTGCTGAGTCTGCTCGCGGAGCTCATACTCTTACTCTATCATCACTTCGGCTCTCATCGCAGGGTCCTCCCGCCGCTAGTATTCGAATGGGGTATGTCTTTCATAGTCTTGGGGAGTGTGCGCATTCTGGTCCTCTTGGTTTTGATCGGTCTATCCTGGATCACGACTCAACGGATACCCGACAGCAGTCATTTCGGAGATGATCCTACTCAGCCGTTACTGCGAAAGGACCGTGCTATAACAGGGAGCGGACATGCTCGACACTACGGCGCGAGTTGGACTTTGACGGCAGCCACTACTAGTGCAGTAGAAAAGCCCAATGACGCCCAGAACACCAGCTGGACCGATTACCTGTTTGGGTTTGGAAAACTATTTCCGTTTCTCTGGTATCATGCAGATCAAACTAGGCCCGCCGGCTCCAAGACTCTTCAACTCCGGGCGATTTTCTGCTTCGTCCTTCTCATTATCCAGCGTGCCATCAACATCATCACACCCCACCAGCTCGGCGTCTTGGTAGTCTCTCTAGGTCAGGGGAAACTGCCACACAAGCAGATCTTGCTCTATGTGCTATTCCGCGGACTTCAGGGTCAACAAGGGGTTATTGGTTCACTGCGTGCTGTGCTCTGGATACCCATCAGTCAATCCACGTACCGACGACTGAGTTCGGCTGTCTTTGAACACGTCCTGATGCTCTCGCTTGACTTCCATCTGAGCAAACGCATCGGCGAGGTAACAAGTGCTTTAAGCAAGGGAGGGACACTCAACACATTTCTCGACGCTCTTATATTCCAATTGTTCCCCATGGTAGCAGATCTCTGGATAGCTGCCGGGTACTTCCTGGTTGTCTTCGACGCCTCGTATTCGCTGATAGTCGTGACCATTACATGGTTCTATCTCTATCTTACGATCTATATGGCCAAATATCGCGGTCGCGCTAGACGCGAGATGGCAAAAAGAGAGCGTATGATGGAGGGCGCAAAGTATGAATCTTTTGACTCTGTGAAATCCTAAGATATACTGACACTTGCAGGACCGACGCGCTGTTATCATACGAGACAGTGCATCAAAGCGGCGCAGTGCCTAGTAAGTTTTATCTTCCCACTCTGATCACCAACGCTGTGAGGCTTCTAACTTTGCGGTGATAGTTGAAATGTCCAGATTCCAGTCGCTCGTTGGAAATTTTCAAGAGGCCGAGTACAGTGTCTTCTTCTCACTTAATATGTTGAACGTCGTGCAGAACAGCGTGTTCACCCTGGGAACGTTGCTGGTGTGCTACCTAGATGCCTACCAGATCTCAACAGGCCAACAGACCGTAGCTATGTTCGTCACACTACTGACCTACATCGCCCAGCTTCAGGCACCATTGAATTTTTTCGGTAGCTTTTACACGCAGGTGCAGAATAATCTAGTCGACGCCGAGCGGATGTTAGAGCTGTTCAATGAGGTCCCGACAATCACCGACGCCGAGGATGCCAAGGATCTCGAGACGTGTAGGGGTAGAATAAGCTTCAGGGATGTTTCGTTTGCATATCATCAAGGTCAACACCAGGCGCTCCGGGGCATTTCCTTTGACGTCGACGCGGGTACCTCGACGGCAATTGTTGGCGAAAGCGGGAGTGGGAAGTCTACGATCTTGAAGCTGCTGTTCAGGTTCTACGATGTTGATCAAGGGGCTATCGAGGTCGACGGGACCGATATCCGATCTCTCCGCCTTGAGAGTCTGCGGTCACATATCGGCGTTGTCCCACAAGAGTACGTAACCCGCCAATCAAAATGCCATGATGACAAGCCTGAGAGAGAGAGTGCTGTTGGAAGACATGCGCTGACTTGGATGCGCGACCAGTACTGTTCTTTTCAACGACACGTTGATCTACAACTTACGATACGCCAAACCAGACGCCACCGACGACGAGGTGTATACAGCCTGTGCAGCAGCCAGCATACATAAAAAGATTTTGAAGTTTCCGCAGGGCTATTTGACAGTTGTAGGCGAGAGGGGCCTCAAGCTCTCTGGGGGAGAAAGACAGCGGGTAGGGTCAGAGAGAAACTGTTGGGGGAGTGGCTGACTGACAAGTTTGTAGATCGCCATCGCGAGAGCCTTCCTCCGATCTCCTCGTATTCTGCTGTTGGATGAGGCTACAGCATCGCTTGACTCGGCAACCGAGAGACAGATTCAGGGGTCGCTGGAGGGGGTGTCGCAAGGCAGGACTACAATCACTATCGCGTAAGGCTGCCTGCTACCTGTCCTTGACGAGGTCCCGCAAGTTGCGCATGCTCATACTAAATAGGCATCGACTATCCACGATTACAGAGGCGGATCAAATCATTGTTCTGAGCGACGGCCGCATCGTGGAAAAGGGGAGGCATTCGGTGCTCGTTGGTCGGAATGGAGTATATGGTCAGATGTGGCGCAAGCAGAATGAGAGAAGGGCCGATGCAGACGCGGCGCCGTAACTGCACAGCCCGTCGCGTTGGTTGGCAAATGTCACCCTCCAGCCAGCCTGATCCAGAGACAAAACGGACACTTGGATTACTTGGTATGTGTGCTCGTGCTCGTGCTCGTACTTAGTATGTCTCTATAAGGGAATTTTCTCATCGCATTTTCCAATGACATGCCTAGCCGGCCTCGCGGCCGTCTTGCCCCCGTGCGCAGAAACACCTGGAGCTGTGGTAAAGATCAAAAACTGTGTGGAAGTTGGGGTTATGTTGCACAGAGCATCTCGTATTATTGAAGTGCTACATCATGCATGCACTGGTCGGATTCTGCAGTGGGGGAATTTGGAGTTTGCTGCCAGCCTGCCGCTGTCACGTACATGCACTCAGTACCTACTCTATTTCCGGAGCGGGGGCCGGCACAGAGCGCACACCTTCCGGAAGTCAAAATTTAAAAAGAGGTGGAAGGTGACTCTGAATTTGTTGTAAAGCATTGGAAGGATTACGGCCAGTCCAGCCTGCGTCCAGCCTGCATGTAGGGCGGCCAGTCTAGATGGGCCGAAGACCGGGCCCGGGCATGGGGACGGGCCGTTAGCGAATGAGATAAGAGATAATTAATTACCTTAAGATATTGCACGAAGGGGCTTATGTAGATAGTCAAGGCTGCTCAGTATCTTAGATAGTCGCTTACATACACTTACAGTCAGTCAGTTATTTGCAGTTAGTTATTGAAATATAAGTGACTGACTGACTGCAATTGACTGACTGGCCTTGCGACAGATAACATTGCTATATTTATAATGGACTTGGTAGTGGTTCTGTCAGATTGAAGGGGTGCTATGACTACACCTACGGTACCATAGCGCGCCAGGGGGGGGGTAGGAAAATGGTCACAGCTAGGTTATTAGGTCCTAACAACCTAATACAGCATGTTGAATATATGTTGAACGAAATATATTTTTACTGTATGGCTATGTTTAACGTATAACTATTGTATAGCTTAATATTCATTTAATCCTTTCCCCCTACGGTATTTGACGAAGGCTACGAAACCTTCCGTTAAAGTCTTGAACTACGAAGCGATTGCGATAGGTTTCCTAGCCTTCAGGGTGGTGGTGGTGGTGGGAGTAGATTGGATTGGATTGGATTGATCCTTGCAGCGATTATCCTTGAAACTGGCGATAGATTGGATTGGTTGAATAAGTGGCTAGGTCTGTATGGCAGGGTCTGAAATTTGACCAAGTTCGAAGTCTACGGCTACGGCTGTACTGGCTGTACTGGCTGGCTGTAGGGGCTGTAAGGCTATAGGGGGCTATAGGGGGCTATAGAACATGATGTTCAACACCATGTTAGAATCATGTTGGAAAATGAACACGATTTCGAAATAAAGTCATTTCCAATAAAGATACTATTAGAATGCTAATATAATTTAATATAGGTATACTTTTAATTTAAACATCTTTGTGTCAGCTAAATGGGCTAAATATAATGAGTTCACTTTGGAGAATATCTAACATAAATTTCTTACCCCCCCTGGCGCGAAGGTAGTCTCCCACATGTACCAGTACACAAGACACACGGAATCAATACACTCACTCTGGAATCGCTTAATTCTGAGGGATGCGCCACAACCCCAACACGACACTGAATTACGAATGCATTATATATGGTAACGATGAGAACTGCCGGATTCAGGTGCGCAAAGTAGGTATATAAACAGCTTCAGAAACGAGGTACCTACTTCCTAAGCGGCAGCAAGCCGCCTTGCAATTTCACCCAATCGAAGCTGCAGGTCAGCGTGATGATACCCTCCTATTGCTTGTGATTGTGAATGGGGAATGCTCTGGCCCGTGTCAATGACAGCCAGCTCCTTCAGCTTCTCCAAGATCTTGGTGGCGTGCATTGCTTCTCTGTGCATCGCCTGGGTCCTGATCGCCAACTGCTCCTCGGCTTCCACCCCATAGTCGCCAATGCCCAGGAGACCGCTCCGTCCGCTAGTTCTATTTCGCAGGCGGTCTTTTTCGGCCATTGCGGCCGAAAGGCATATTTCAAATAGCTCTATTACTTGGTACATGAGGGTAGCGAATAGCATGCGACACCGTAGATTCTTGGCTTGCTGTTGAGCCTCGATGAACTTGGAGAGTTGGTCCAAGGCATGTTTGATATACCCGAGAGCTACTTTAGACGTCTTGAGCTCGCCGTCGATGATATCCTCCAGGTCTCTTAGAAGATGACAGCACTCCAAGAAACACTGGCTGTCTTCCCCGTCCCGTGGCCGGGTGCCGAGGGGCAGAGGAGCAATTAGAGTCTCAGGTAATTGAAAGTGCTGCTCAAGTACACTTGCGTCGGCATCCCGAAAGTTTAGTTCGAGGTCGGCGAGACTATGGTTCTCCACGGATGCCTCGTAAACTCCAGGGGTTGAAGAAACCACCTGGGAGCTGTGAGAGACTGAAGACTCCTTGCGCAGGATGTGCGGAGCGACCTCGATTGAAGGCTCTTGAGGGGAGTTGGTGTCGAGTTCGGTCCCATCGAAATTCCAGTCACACCAAGACACCGGATCGGTTGTAGCGGCGCTGCCATCGATATCAGGAAATGCATTGCCTCTATCAGACGGTGAGTTCTCATTGCTTGGCGTCCCGTCGGCTCGGTAGTCCTCCAGGGCTTGGCTATGGCTGTGCTTCTTCTTTGCTCGTATACCAGGGACCTTGCCAGCCCTCGATTCAAGATAGAGGCAACTACTACCATTTGCGCGACATCGTGTGCAGCCTGTTCGTTCTCCTGAGCACTTGACCTGTTTTTGTACTGCGTGTCAACTGCCTGTTCATCCTGCAAAAGGGTATACGTGAGCGGGGATAACGATCGAACCTCACCTTGGCAGAGCAACAAGCATTGCAAGCATTGCGAAGTTTGACTGGCCTTTGGCGGCATGGGCCCTGGGTCTTATTGGTCGTGGGGCTAGGTGACGTCAGCTAATGTAAGTAGGAGATTGTAGAAGATTTTTTATGTGAATACCGTACCTCTGGGACAAGGGCTGCATCGTTTCCATCCGGCTTGGGGCACTTGAGGAGAGAGTGGTCTGCGCCGTAATGATCAAAAGACAGAGAGAGACACACACACAGGAAGAGAGAGAGTAGGAATCGAAGTGACCGCGGCAGGCTGGGCCACAGACCGCCATATATATATATATATGAACAGCCTTCTTTTAGGCATTGCAGCCAACAAAGCAGACGGTGCTACTTCACTCAGGTTCATTCGCGGATGCTAGGTATCAGTGCAGGATCAAAGGCTTGTATTGTCATGGTTGATTTTATGCAAGTCAATAACAGGTCAGATGTAATACGCGGTTTGGAGGCACGCAATGCAACCAACAGTTGACCTCTGCAGAACCAGGAGATCCTGAGGATCTTGGGCTTTGGCCTATACACATAGGGTGTCATTACGGCTAGCAAATAGTAAGGAATTGCATATAATTCATGACCCTGCTCCTGGTGGCCACATGGAGAGATCTCGCAGCCCTTGCAGCCCTGTGTAATCCCCGTAGGCCCACCAGCAACCGGTGGCGCCACGAGGAATCTAATAATTCGTTAGGGCGCGAGGGTGGGGGGCGGGGTACTTTAGGTCATCATCACTGCTAGGAACTTCAGGCCCAACAGGGTCATGTCAAGATATAATAAGATTCGATACCTTAAATCTGTCACGGGCACGGTTTTTTGTATTAATTGAATAAGCTTGTTTTTATTGTTAAGATCATATTTATTCAAAAGGGCGGTTTAGCTATACTTAGTATTGATAATAGATAGAGACGATGTTTTTTTAGGATTACGCATAGGTTCGCAGCGGGGTTTTATACTAGAGGGGGTCTTTTTGGTCCCTTGTATGAAAGGAACAGATGAGTCGACATTTGAGCGAGAGCCTATCTCTTATACGACCCAAGGACGGTACCTAGATAGACCATATACCCAATTTTCACTCGGGAAAAAAAAAACAGAATCCACAGGGTTCGACTTTATAAAATCGCTTTTGAAAAGTGTTTTTGGCAGATTCAATTGGTTTGATTATAAACTGTTAGATTTAACGATATGCAGATAGAGGTCATTTCCATAGGTATATCGGGGCATAACAAATAGCCCCAGCCACCATGGGAAAGCCTGGAAGGTGGAGAGGGAGAGAGAGAACAACTTAGATAGAGACACAGAATTCTGACTTCAATCAATTATTGGCTCAAATCTAAAAGGGGGAGACTGGTTACTTGTAGTTAGATATTAGAGAGTATCCCAGCCCCATATTCCAACACTCATTGTCTCAATCTTTTCATGGAACCACGTACGCATATTTGGTTAATAGATGAGGCCGCGTAGAAATTATTAAGGCCGAGTGTATCTCTCATTGGTCTCAAATTCGCCCCCTGCACAAGTCTACACTGGGGCTAATTCTCGAAGAGGCGTAGGGGTCTGTATCAGTTGAGAATCCGCCTTAATCTTTAGTCTCGGAGCTGCTCAGGGTTACCGGTAGAATCTACGATAATGATGTTGTCTTTAGGGCAACATAGGTTCTCGATCCATCTTAGGAACAGCGCTCTAGAATCCACCCCCACAGCTCGTTAGCTCACCATCGGATCGCGAATGCGCAACCCTCGATCTAATAAATCTATATCATAAACCTTACACTCAACGTAGCAGCACTGATAGCCATACTATGCTACTAGAGTAGCTCTTTTATTAAGTATCTTGTTATAGTTATAGGTGCTGTTAATTATAACACTGAGACCTTGTTTTATTATATCCTAGGCAAGCGCCTACTGCACGACGTAAGCTTGTTTTGCTATGTTGTCGAATGGAATGATAGCTGGTTCGAGAAGACTAGATCTAAGGATGTCGTGGTCAATGATTACTGCGCCGATGGCTGGCCGAAGTAACCCAGCGATTGTTCTTTTCCCTAAGCTAGGTGCACCAGACATCTGGACGAGTACCTGTGTGGCGGCCTCATGGAGAGTGGACATCCTGCTTATTGTCAAATGGTGGTGCTAGCTATGAGAATGGGAGGCCTGGAGTCGATTTCCTGTAAAAGATTCATATGGCGAGACCAAGCAGCGGCAGATACAACGAAACCAATGTGTTAATTAGCACGGGCATCTTGCACAACGTGCATGCTCCAAGATTTCGTAACAGGGCTTAGCCACTTACCTTCCAATACACCACTTGTACGTCACTGTATACCACAGCGAAATCCTGTCGTTACATTGTCTATTGGAACACTATTCAGTCACGTCGTCTGTATGCATTGTGTAACATATCCTGTGTCTTAGCCGAACATGAACCATTAGATCTTTTTTGAATACACGGTCTAAAATCTTATAGTACAGATTATTATAGACTAGCCCTGTTTTACCGGCTTACTTCCGTTAGCATGAGCATGTGACAAGGGCTCTTCTAGAGGGCTTGAAACTTAGTTGTATTCAATAATAATTGATTAAGGGTCTTAAGGTCCTTTGATTCTTTAAGTCCTTCGAACTTGGGAATCGTCAGGCCTTCGTATAGACAGGTAGAGAGTCCTAGGTATCTAAGTACAATCTTTACTCATTGGATAGAACCCCTCACGTTAGGCATGTTGTGAGTACTTCCAGCCGACAGTCTTTATGTATCCAATCCGCTGACTCCGAAGGTCCGTGACTTGTCTGTATGGTTCGACCGTTCCGTTTCTTTTAATACGGTGCCTTAATAGGTCAGTCAATACGCCGATAGCAAAACGGAGGCCCGGCGGCTACGAAGTGGACCGCACCGCCACGACCCGCACGATGAATCAGCATAGACTCTCGCGCTGAGTTCCTCATATTGCTTGGGGACCTTACAAAGCCATTTCAAAGCAACGGAGAGATTGAACTATCGTCTGAGATAGACGTAGATGAGGCGATTAAAGCTATCGAAGGGATTAACGACGATAATAGCGATGAGATGCCTAGCAGTCCGTTGCAAGCGCTGGGAAGGCAAGCAGAGCAGTTATATTGGGACCCATAGATTAGCGCTGCAATGCTTGAAAACGCCAAAAAGGCAATATTCAGGCCTGATTTACAGCTTCAATTAATCACTTCTATTGTAGTTGCGGTGTTGTTGGTTTATTAAAGGTTGGATTCATTAAATAATCATAGCAAAAAGTGAGGTTTGTATGGGGAATTGTATGGTGGGGCTAGCGCCGCCCACCGACCAAGTATTATTTTATTTGATTGCTAAATAACTTGACCAATTAAAATAAGATAAGACCTTGTAAATTATTTCATAAACCAAAATAGATTTTTGTACTTAACTCCTTTAATTTCAATTAATTGTAAGTAATCTTTTAATTTTTCTGATTTTTTTACAGGGTTTAGCCATTAGAAAGTTGTTGTTGAAGGCTTCGAAGGTTGGAAGGTTGTAGGTGACTGACCTAACCTAACCTGACCTAACCTGACCTAACCTGACCTAACCTGACCTAACCTGACCTAACCTGACCTAACCTGACCTAACCTGACCTAACCTCTGACCTGACCTGACCTGACCCAACCTACCACCTTAAGTGTAGTACGCGTTGCGTAAGGGGACGTCAACGCGTAAGGCGCCTGGGACGTTTGGGTAGCTGGCACCGTTATCGTGAGATTAGTTATAAGGGTATGCTATTTCCGTATTTTCTAATTGATTGATTGATTGATAGTGTTTAACGTTGTAGGGACTAATCTGCGTTGCAGTTAGTTCAGGCCTTTGCAAGGGCATTGGAACGTGGTAAGCTGTCCACTACTGTTTTATATATATAGTGGCTTTAAAGCTATTTTTTTACTTCTTAAATGTATTAGGTTATGATTATGTATTTATTCCTTTTAGGACTTTTATGCTTTATATGTTTAATTTATTTCCTTTAAGCTTAAAACTTAGTTTAATATACCTAAGGGGTTTAATATTAATTATAAAGGGCAATAATAAATATAACTTTATATTTAAGGCGGTGGTTTAACTAATTGTTATTAAACGTTTATAATTTATTATAGCTATTTATTATTAGGGCTTATAGCTAAGCTAAGCTACAGTAGGTATATAATAGGTTAATGGATAGGTGGGTATAATAGTAATAAATAGGCTTATCGTTAAAAATTAAAAGGGTATTATACTTTTAAATATATTAATTTACATTATATTTGGAAGGGGTTTTATACTTTTAGGTATATTAGTTTACATTATATTTATATTTATATATAAAAGGCCTTTAAGGGTATTATAAATCCTAGGTCTTTACCTTAGGCTAAGTGGTAAAGATATTAACTAATTATACTATACCTATTTTTATATATAAATGTAATAGTTTTATTAGTTATATGTTATTTAGGATTGTTTTTTCTCCTTTAAATTATTAATCTATTCCTTTTTACGCCCGTTTTAAGCCCTTTTTACTAATATACCTAGCTAGCCTTAGTTTTAATTATAATAACTTTAATAACTTTTCCTTTAGCTATTTATACTTTAGCTTTATAATAATTTCTTTAAATCCTTTTAATTAAGCTATAAAAGCTAATATTATATTATTATAACAATAAATGGAATTAGTTAAATAGGTGAAAAATTTAAAGAGATAGCTTATTAAACTATAGGAAGACGAAATGCTTATAAGATAGCAGTAAAAACAATCCAATTTAAATTTGGATTATAATATTAACTTAAAATGTTTAATTAAATCCTTTAATTTTTAATATATATTTTATTAATAAAATGAATAGTTATTAAACCTTTAAAAGGCTTTTAAAAGTACTTTTAAAAAATATTATAAAAGCTATTATTAAACTAATTTTACAATTTTAAAGATGGATAATTAATATAAACCTCTTTAGGATTGCTAGATTTAATAACTTATAAATAAAGACTTTATAAATATTATATAAAAATAAAGTAATTAAGCTTTATTTATTTAATAAACTTTAACTATTATTAAGGATATTGGTTATTATAATATATATATTATAAAATAGTTAAAGTTTATAAGGTAAAGTAATTAACAATACTTTAAAAATTTTAATAACTATTTATAATTATTAGAAAATTAAAATAAATAAAAAATACTTATAATAAACGTATAATTTTATTATATAAAGCTAATAAACCCCCTTTATATAAAGTTTAAAAGTTAAATAACTTTATTTTTAACTATTTATAAGGGTATAATTTAATTAACTATATATTATTATAAGCTTATAAACTTTAATTAATTAAATTTAATAATTAATTTATCGGTAAATTAATTATAAAATATTATTAAATTAAAAGCAATTTAACCTATATTAATAATACCCTTAATATTTATATTAATTAAAAACCTTAACCTTTTAACCCTATTAATAAATAGTATTTATTAGAATTATTAAAAAGTTATTATACTTTATAAGCATTAACGTATTTCCCACTTAACCTGGCCACCCAATTGAGCTGGCCACCCCCTTAGCCTATATAAAAACCTAATGTTTTAATCTATAATAACTTTACGAACATTAATTGTACGATTTAATAATTAGTACCATTAGATCCGTTATTTTATAAGGAATCCAGCGGTATTTTTTACTATTTTTTATAAAATTTATTAAGCG